TTCTCCTTGCATTGAGTGAATGGGTCATAATCACGTAGCTTTTTCTTGTTTCTTTTTTTTTTTTCGGAGACCGAAACTTCAACAGGTCTTGACTTGGTTCAAACTTTAGTCACGTTGAGGAATTGCGGTGTATAGAACGGGCCTCCGTCCTTTGAACTCTTCGACTGACCGAATCGTAGTTGAGGAACATGGATCTCCGAGTTGACATAGTTACCCATTGCGGTATTAGTCCCCTGGCGGAGTCTCCGCCGAAACCTCGTGTTTGCGGAGGTCCCATTTACACTGTAGCAAGATTTGATGCGGTACCATATTGACAGGTTTGTTGAAATTGGAATCGCCTATTCCTTGGATTGTGACTCTTGCCAGAAGTTGTGGACATTCTCTTTGTACGAACGCAGTTCTAATGGACATTTACTCTATGCCGCTTTCAGACCATTGTGACTTGATGTAGTGCACTATCTCGTGGACGGTACGGCCCCACGACCGAGACCAAGTGTACTGTGTGGAGTAGCATGATCTGTGGATACGCCTTCCCACTCCGCCGTTAAACCCTCACTGACCTCATCATCTCGACAATTTAAAGATTAAGATTCTCTCTACTCTCCTTTTACACTTCTGTTTTTCTAAGAACCTAGAAACCAGCAGCCCTTATACTGTACATACCTCCGACTTGACCACCACCTCTCTCACCTGACCTGAACCTCCATCATGGCCAAACAACAAAAAGACCAGGAAATCATCGAGATCGCCAAAACTCTCAAAGATGTCCCCTGGTGCGAAGAATATGAAAAGATGATCTCAGGCATGCTGTACGACACGCCATTCACTTCTAGCTGACGAATTGATATCTGACTGCGGGGTAGCTACGACCCTCTTCACCCAAAGTTGCTAGAGGGCCGTCACAGAGCACGCGGTCTATCCTACAAGTTCAACAATCTAGATCCCAACACCGGAACATATGAGGAGATCGAGAAGAAGCGTACTGAGATGTTGTCTGGGATGCTCGGAAAGGTTGGCTCTGGAACATTTATCGAGGCGCCTTTCACACCAGACTACGGAAGCAACGTCTCTATCGGAAAGAACTGCTTCATGAACTTTGGGTATTCTCTCCTTCCTGTCTCGACGGCTAGACTGTAATTTCTGACCTCTCTCTCCAGATTGACAATCCTAGACACCAGTCTCGTCATAATCGGCGACAGAGTGCAAATGGGCCCCAACGTACACCTCTACACAGCCGGCCACGAAACGAGCGTCCTCTCAAGGATCAAGTTCGTCGAGTTCGGACACCCTATCCGCATTGAGGACGACTGCTGGATCGGAGGAAACGTGGTGGTCCTTCCTGGTGTTACCATTGGAAAGGGCTGTACTGTTGGAGCTGGTGCAGTTGTCACGAAGAGCCTGCCTCCTTACTCCATCGCCCTGGGAGCTCCTGCAAAGGTTGTCAAAACGATACAGAGTGTTGAAGAGGAGAGGGCGGATCCCAATAATCCTTTCAACAATATGCCTGATCGGGAATAAACAGTTTTGCTGTGAGGTAGAAGTTAAAAATCATTGAATAGTCACTGTTTTGTTATTCCGGCTCTAAGCGAATTGTTAGGATTGAGCCGAAGCACGGCAGAAATTGAGTCTCACATCTCTTAATTAGTTAGGTCATTGCTCTTGAACGGCCGAAACGCGGAAATACTTTAAAGCCGATGATTATTTATCAGCAGTTGGGCCTTGATTGGCTGCGCAGCCACTAGAGATCCTTCACATCGGGCATCGGACTCGCGAATTTCCATGCTGTAGTAAGCAGTAAGCCGTGAAGAGGTTTAGAGCTTCCGTGGAAGTAAGCTGACGAAGAGGTGAGTGAGACTGCAAATATATAGAAGACCATTCCTCCTAGATCTTAGGTATAAATAAAATCCCACATTCAACCTTTGGCACTTATCAATTCAGCTACTAATCCTTGACCACCATCTACCTTGGACCAATCCATCCATATTATATCTCCAACCAGCAGCTTCAAAGAAAGGAAAATGGCTCACCCAATTCTCTTCAACATCACTCTTCCACTCTCCCTCTTTCTCTTTTCCCTTGGGCTGAATGCCAGCTTCCGACCTGAAGCGCACCTAACAGCCCTCGAATTCCCCATCCCCAAAGATGCCGAAGCCAAGAAATTCGCTTACGCCCTCATGCGCATTTGGGGCATTCGAAACATCTCAGTCGGCCTTCTTCTCACGCTTATCTGGTCTAGTGGTGACGAGAAACTCATGGCTAAAGCGATGGGCGTGGCTATTCTTTTGCCTGTAACAGATGGCTTTGTGAGTAGGATTATTGTTGGGGGCGGGGAGACGCAGCATTGGGTATTTCCGCCTTTGCTGGCTTTCATCAGTGCTGGGCTGTTTGGATGGTTTTGAGGCTATTAGTGTGGACCTGTGAGCAGAAGTTCAATATTCCTTGGGTAGGCTGTTGACGACGGAGGTGTACAAGGTCTTATACTGGGGGGTGGTGGAGAGGGCGTGGAGGATGTAATAAAAGCATGGGGCAAACCAGGGCCCGATCATTTCATCTTCATGATTTATACAATTGATATCATAATTCATTGATTATCTGGCATGTAATGAATTATGAACAATTATCTAGCTTCCTCGACCTGAAGGTTCACCCCTACAGACAGGTCAAAACTCGAGCTTCCTGGACGGGTCAACCTCCAAGTCGAGGAAGCTAGATAATCGTTCGTAATTCATTACAGAAGCCGCAGCAAGCTGATTAATAGTACGTAAATACCCAATTACATATATCGCTGATCAAACCCAAGACCATTAGAAAGCAGCCCCATCTCCTGTGCAAAATAGAACGCTTGATCATTCTGGGCCCAATTAACCGCACCCTCCAGACGCTGCAGCAAGTCTTCAGTGGTTTCCGGCGCCGACACACTACTCGTGCTCGTCCTGTCGGCAATCTCGTAAGTCTGCGACTCTTCAGACACTGGGGATGACTCCTCGACCTCCTCGGTGCTATCTGAATACGCTCGTTCAGTAACTTCTTGCACCACATGCTGCGGGGTGCCAATATCGATGCCCATCTGTAGAGCAAAGCCAACAGTGGGATCATCTTCCATCCACCTTGAGAAGCTCTTTGCATAGGTGTTCGGTGAGAGTGGACGGGGCAATGGTGCTGGTCTTGCTATTTGTACTTGCATCGGCATCGAGATGCTGGGCTGTCCTAAGAGTATGGGCATGAGATTTTGGTTCCTGTTGACGAAGCGTCGAAGGGCAGCGGGGAAATCGCTATCTTGCACAAGACGATCTTGGCTTAAACACACATCAATTGTCAAGGCTAGTCGGAGGTATTGAGCGGGACTTCGGGCGAGTACGTCGGTGTTGTCTGTGAGCAACATTTGTTGCGCAGGTTCGCCGGCGCCAACACATTCCATGAAGTACCGAATCGTCTTGGAGATAGAGTGCACGCCATCGTATTTCGGGTGAAGTTCTCTGAACACTTGGATCAGAACATTTAGTCGTGACTGTTTCGATGCGACATCCGGTCGAGCCCAGATCTCGGCGGCTGAAGAGGCGGAAGACATTTTGATGTCGACCATGTGCATCGCAAGTGGTAGGGCTGTGCATGCTACTGCACTACTCGGTAGGAAGCGCGTTAATCGGTGTGGATGGAGGCGAGCGAAACATTCTGCTATGCTTTTCGTGGCGCTTCTTAAATCTCGTCGGTTGTTCTTGAGGAATTGTGTTTCTTGGGCGGACGTATGGTTTTGTGTTAGAAGACCAAGAACGAGGCCGAGGTGAAGTTCGTAGTTGCAGACTGCTACTTGGCTGGCGCTGTGATTTTGTTAGTAAAGGATGCATTCGAGCTAGCATTTTGGTGACTTACTGGAAATAAATCCAGACCAAATTCGTAAACAGGACCGCGGAGTCTTCATATAGTCCAGGGTTAGGAGGAAGATCCTTAAGAGCCAGAGGTGGTCTTGTAGCAGCAGCCCAGCATCTCAAGGACCTCTTATGCTCCTGCACCTGGGCATAAGCCGTCGAATGTGCCGCGGCGTCCAATATCGGTATACTTTCGGTGGGATATACCAAGCTCAGAATGTCCGTCAAGGTAACACACAGCTCCGTCAGCCGCTCCAAAGCTAGAATAAGTTTATGCTTGGTCGCAATATTATAAACGCGCGATGCCTCAAGTTCGTCCACCATGTCATCGTATCCTAGCGGCGAGCATGACGCAAAGTCGAATTGAGCGCTGGATATCTGGATGTTTCTCCTCACGCAAATTGGCATTATACGGTCGCGAATAATGCAGCACCACCATATACGTTTGAGAATATTTCGTCGTTTCATATCTTGCTGCGAGACGTGTAGACCGATAGAGGGCATTTCGTATTGGTCGGCTCCGCAGGACTTGGCGTGCTGAATGGCAATTCGAAGCCATCTGCTGTTTGGCTTTCGGGGACCGGAGCGGAAGGTTGGACACCAATACGTTAGGAGGAGAGCAGCTTGTGCGATGGAGACGGGGTCGGGGTCGGTCGAGAAGTCGTATAGTAGCTGCGACGTTAGATGCGATCAAGAAACGAGACTGCAATAACAAGCGTACCTTGGCCTTAGTATAGAAGGACTCTTTTGCTTCGAGAATGGTTGAGAAGCCGAGTGTTTGGAGGGATTCTTTCGGAACGAACTGGAACTATTAGACAGAGCCTAAACATTGTCGCGTAGACCTACCGTGCACGACGCAAACATTATTGATTGCAGCAGAAGCATCGATACGGGTGTGCCAGGGTTCGCGTTATTGGGTATCGGATCATAGGCGGCCCAAAAGTCGGCTTCGTTTATAAGAGGTAGTAACGGATGGATATATAGGAAATAATGTCGAATGAACTCGTCGAGAATCGGCTTGGACGGTACGCGTAGACATCCTTGCGCATTAAGGTGATTAAAATCGCAATCGCGCATATTCAGCGTTCGTAAAAACGGCATCGACGAGTAGAGCGCTTTTAATTGGGATCGGACAGGCTCGCAGGGCTCCTCGACTGGTACGGTCGATACCATGGTGTCAAATGCAGTCGGCATGCATCCTTCGAGCCGTTCAATCTCTTCGACAGGATCGTTGGGCGTCGGCGTAATCGGTGACTCGATATCGGCTCGATCGCGGTGGTGTACGGAGTGGTATTCGCTTTCTTCTAGGTTTTGTAGGGCGGAGGAAGCCTCCTCGATGGGAGTTGGCGGGTTGTCATTGCTGGAAGTTGGTGATGTCGCCGACGCGACGGCTTCGCAATCGCGAAGGATGTCATTTGAGGTGATTGACTCGGGGCCGTTGGAGATTGGGCTACAGCAGCATATGTTAGAGATAATAAAAATAGAGACAGCGATATAACATACAAAGCATCTGCACGTCGAGCGACGACACATTCACAACCGTCAAGTCGACAGTTGGTGCAGGGCGTCGAGGTGCGGGTGACATCACACCTAACCTTTCGCTTGCGACATTTGAGGCAGGCCTTTGTCGCTCTCTTCCTAGAGACCTGCTTCTTGGCAAAGCGAATAGACTGCTGTTGCTGGGAGTTGTCCATGGAGAGCGGAGCACGTTGCTACCCGAGGTTTATTGATGATGAAAGGAGACCGGGAGGAGAAAAGACACGAAATACTGAGGTGCAAGGCCCTGAACCCCAGATTTACCCCAACTATTGGCCCCTGTAAAGGAGTCAACTAGCGGCTCCTACTTCGGGATCCTCGGACAGAGGGGTCATGGCCCCATGGGGAAGTTCTTTCTATTACTAAAGATAATTGATCCTGTCAATCTGTTTACTGTTTTTCCGGTCTTCATTCTCTATTATTCGTGATATCTTCAAACGTTTGTTTTATTTGCTGCAATTGACATCCCTTGTGTCGTGATGATGCCCCCTGTATGTGACTGAGGTGTGATTGTGACGAGAAAGCGTCAGCGGCTAAAGTGGCAAAATGGCAAGTTAGAAGTTATTTGAACTGCCAAGAGTTGTTTATGTTTTGATACGCATCATCCATCGAATATTCATGCATGTTTATGTTGGGACTTTTTTATTGAGTCGGCTGGTTTTCAGTCACAAGGTTGCTCCTAAAACTTTTAGACAAAGTTTATTAAGTATATCGACTGGAATGCGTCTGAAACCAGCCAAAACTGCAAATGCTTTTCACTGATGTGACGAACAATCCCGTCCAATAGAATGCGGTATAGCTCGGGTGGAGACAAGGCTTGTTTCGAGGACGATGCTACGCTAACAGAGTTACAGCAAACCTGCAGTAGTTAAGTGGTGATAGAGGGTAGCTTGGATAGCGCAGTATCCCCATCTGCATCATGTCTTTACCGTATTCAACATAGATAAAATCATCTTTCTGTAGATCTTAACTTAAGGAGAGAAGAGAGTGCTTATGTTCCTCCCGAGATGCATTGATAAATTCTGTTGGGGCGTAACTTTTTGAGCATTAAGGATTTGCATGTAATACGTACACCAACTTGCTGCGTTTGAGACCTGGCTTCGACTACAGATGAATAAAATATATGTGTAAAATGACTATATTTTACAGATGAGCTGGCGTGACCTTGTGCTGTGGAAAATAACTATCTTCTTGTACCAGAGCACTTCTTTCTCTTCAACTAACGTGATGTTCCGGCTTCATATAGGGTAAGCGAGAGCGAAAATGACTTGGGACATTACGTCATATGCGAATCCGACGATCAACAACTCAGTAACGTTGTCTTCTGAACCAGCCTCGCGTGTTGCGTAGTCCCTTCAAAGTTCAAACATCAGACGAACTAATCCCGTGATACAGTGACAGTTCACCAATTGCGTCACTCGTGATACGCCTCAATTGACGCGCTCGCTTCTCCCGGCCGGCCCGATCGTTGGCACGACACAGCCCAGCCCACTCGTTATTTTTAACTCGTGTTAGTGGATTGTCCCGCTACCCAGCCACCAAAAATAAACAAAAAACAACCACTAGCAGCAAAATCATCACCAAAGCTTAGGTACCTTAGCGTCGGTCGCATTCGCAACATGCCCAACCTCCGACGTTACCATCCCATTGCACTTACAATAGGTAGTCAAACTAAAAGTCCGTATGGATGGATCATGAGATACGAGAAATGTATGACAAGCGATCGGAATGCGATTGGCGTCCTTTTGTCTAACTATTACGGTTATTATCTGCCCGTCCTCCCTGCGTGTCTCATAACAATCTCAATTGACTTATTGACGCTCGTTTCATCTGCAAGTTTTTCTTCAACGGTTCTTGCACTTTTATTTACCTTTTATTCCCTCGACATGCATTGTTCATGACACTCGTTACAATGGTTAAACGATTTAATGGGTTCGACTTTTGGGAGCAGAGGTACAGGGCACAGCAGGGATTGGAATCTGAAGTTGAATCTGAGCCCGAGTCTGATATCGACAGCCAACCCTCCCTTGTCGACAGTCCAGTCATTGCACCCGAAGCGATAACACCAGTCGAAATACAACAACCTTGGCCACAATCGTCTAAAACAGATGGCATCGTTCGATCAAGACCGATACTCATCCAGAGCATTGGCGTTCACGATGTCCGCAATTCAATGTCCTATACTCCTTCGTTAGACCACTACAGCCAATCTGCATCCGTCTTGCACCCTGGCAGCTGGGAAGAGAAAGAAGAATTCCTCACAGTTATCAAGAGGAACGATTCAACCACTTCCAGCAAACAAAGTTCCCGCCATGCAAGCCCAATTGAGTTTACAAAATCTCCAATCGTCATCGTCCCCTCCAATAACACACCACTCCTACGACGCTCCCCTCTCAAAATACAAACAACCAACCTCTCTCGTGGCGCACGTGCCCAGCAACGACACTCCGCACTTCCTAAACTCTCTATCAACAACAGCCCTCCCAAACATAGACATACCTTTATGTCTTCAGCAGACTGCACGCCCTGTCAAACAGACAAGGCATTTGATGCCCTTGCCGACGTCCTCAAGCAGAAGCAATTGGCAATGATAGAACCCTCCACAATCCTCCGACCAAGCAAGGACAGTCCTATACCTGAACTCAGATCACCTACACCGATTCGTCCAAAGATCATATCCCAGCATCTCGAGAGGGCGCAGCTTTGGGCAGAGAGTCAACAGGACTTTGATAGCTCAACGGCAAGCACCTTGTCCAGCCCTATGAGCCCCATGATGTCAATTGATATAATGGATAATAAGAAGAGTCCCATCAAGCCAGGGATCGTGCCTATGGGATGTAATCTGGATCACGACTTGAACGACTTTCTGAAGTGGGAGTCCAAAAATGTTTGTGCATATGGTTATGGAACGAATGGATGGAGTTTCTCCCCATAAATATGGATGATGATGGATATGCTAGGAAATGGGATACCGGATTTTCTAGAATGATAATGTTTCATAATAATACCCTAATATTAATTTATTAACAATATTCTCTTTACATATCCTGTCTGTCTGTAGTTGGACATGTTCAAGATTGATGCAGAAAGTGATCCACAACCTCGGGTTTTGTGCCCATCTCTGGTTAGAGTTAAGGACTTTATCCAATAAATGACGTCGTTCTAGACTTCGGACCAAGGGACCTGAGACTCAAGACAACGTCTAGAACGTGTGCTTGGTCATGTATCCCACTTGAATAGCGTAACTAATTGGGTCATTCGAGTTGATCAACTGCCGGGGATTTTTCTAATTACGTGAAATCGCCTTTTTATCACGTTAAGCTTAGTAACCGGGGTATCTCAAAATTGGTGCTTCAGTGAGGGGTTCATGAATCACCAGACGAGACAAGTATAAAAGCCCCAATCCAACACTTGCAGCAACTCTATCACAAACAATCTACACCGATAATTCAAAATGGCTTCAGCTACTTCCTTCCGCGAACTCATCGGCGTCCAGCCCTCCAGCGCCAGTCCCAGCGACAGCGTGCTGATCATCATTGACGCCCAAAACGAATATGCCGAAGGCAAGCTTCAAGTCACCAACGTTTCTGAATCTCGCAAAGCCATCGCCGCACTCCTAGAGAAGTACCGATCTGCGAACGGAAGTATCGTACACGTCGTGCATGCTACCCCAGAGGGCGCCCCCGTTTTCACTCCAGGAACAAAGCTTGCAGAGGAGTTTGCTGAGCTCAAGCCCAGAGATGGAGAGGCGGTGGTCCAAAAGAACTTTCCTGGATCCTTCGCCCAGACAGATCTCCAGGAAATCTTGGATAAGACGGGCAAGAAGAAGGTTGTTCTTACTGGATATATGGTAAGTCAAACAAAATCATGACGAGGAGTAAAGCTAACTTGAGCGTAGGCCCATGTTTGTGTCTCGACTACTGCGCGACAGGCTGCTGAGCGTGGCTTCGATGTTTTGATTCCCGAAGACGCTGTTGGTGATCGAAACATTCCTGGTGTTGATGCTGAGCAGCTTGTTAAGGTTGCTCTGAGCGAGATTGGCGATGCGTTTGGAACTATCATCAAGAGCAGCAGCATTGCTTAGATCGTGAAAAGAAGATAGAAATTTGAATAATATTCTATTTATTACAAAATCTAGCATTACTTTTCGGAGAATTCTGGCTGTACCAGTTCCCTTCTGGTGAATCTCACATTAAAATCAGTCTGCTTGACGAACCATGCGTTGATAATCTTCCATTCCTTGCTGGGGTCGTCAAAGCCGATCTGTCTCAAGTTAGTATATCGTTGCATAAATGAGAGAATGAGTGAAGCTTACCTCAAATCTTCGCAGAAGACTTGGCACAACCTTGTAAATTTCCAACAGACTAATGTTCTTGCCGATGCATGTTCGGCTACCCATGCCAAATTGAAACATCATACCGGTCATCTTCTTGATACGCTTATCTTCATCCTCAGGGTTGAGGCTAGGGTCGGGAAGCCAACGCTCAGGACGGTAAGTATCGGTGTCAGGGCCGAAGATCTCCTCGCGGTGGTGGATCAACCAGGCAGAGACACCAACAATGGTGCCGCCCTTGACAAACTCACCGTTAATCTCTGCACCTTGAGGAGGGACAATTCGTTCGAGGGGAAGACCAGGGGCGGGATGCATGCGGAAAGCTTCTTGGACACAAGCGTGAAGGTAAGGGAATTTCTGAGCTTCGGCGAAAGTGACAAGACCGGATTCGTAGTCAGAGAAGGCACCGGACTTGGCAGCATCGTCAAGTTCCTTCTTGAGCTTCTCGTAGCAAGCAGGGTTTCGAAGAAGGTAGTAGAAAACAGCAGACAATGTAATGGCAGTAGTCTCCGAACCAGCAAAGGCCATAGAGACGGCCATAGTCTGTACGAGAGTATCGGTCATGAAATCAGGACGAGCTTCGCGAGCAGCGATGAACTTGGACAGCAAATCTTGACCGAGAGGCTGTTTCTTGATGTTGCTAGTGGGCAAGGCATCATTGGCGTGGAGCTCAGGAATGAGACGTTCAGCCATGCGAGCGCGGGCAAATCGTGCAACAGGGAAAGTAGAGTCGAAAAGACCCCACTGAGAAAGCTTGAGGTAAAGGGGGTTCTTGAGGAATAGAAGATCAAGGAAGGGGATCTGACCGACGGGTGCAACGTAGAGGAAGAGCTTGGACAGGTACGCAACGATACCCTCAACATCTTCATTCTTCTCAATAAAGCCATGGCGCTTGCTGTAAGTGATCTCGCCAATGACATCGAAAGCGTAGAACTGTAGCCATTGGGTAAAGTCACAAACATCAGATTTCTTAGCGAAGAGGTTTTCTGTCTGTTCGAGGAAGAGCTTGGTGGTGTTGTCCACAAAAGGCTCGTACTGGACAAGGGCGCTCATGGAAAAGGCAGAGTTGACACTGCGGCGGAATGAGGAGTGGAAGTCATTGTCTGTTGTGCTGAAGAGGGATGCTAGACGGTGGCCTTTCACCACTGATTGCTGAACGATGTAAAAGTCGGACTATAGAGTTAGTATCGCGGTTGCCAGCAAGGGAGAAGTACATACCTTGACATATCCCTTGCTAAGACCATAGATCTGCTTAAGAACAGCAGGATCCGAAAAGGATAGAGTGTTAGGTCCTATCCGAACAATATCGCCATGCTTGGCATGGAGTTTTCTCAGTGTAACCTCAGGTCTCTGGCCATAAACATCCCAGAACCTCCACCAATCTGTTATAGAAGCCAGAAAAGGTCCAGGATATTTATTCAGACCATGATGATATCTGTTTCTCACGAGCCACGCAAGGGTGACTGCTGTAAGTGCCAGCGCCCAATGTGCTGCGAGAGCGCTGAGAAGAGTTTCAACCAAGCCGCTGTGCATGTTGAAGGCACAATTGAAAATGGCAAGATAATAAAAGATGTTGAAAAGAGTTACTGAGTCTACTACATTTTGATGGCTTTGGCTTGGTGTTCTTATATCACTTTGACTTAGACGAGCTTGATATCTCGGCTGCGGCTGTTTTTGCCCCCACAACCTATTCTGGGGTAGTTTGGGGAAGATGATCCACTATCGTCGGCAAGTGAGCACGGCAAATGAGCCAGGTATGCAGCCAAGTGAAGCGTAAAGCATGTTTTGGTACATAAAAGCTGTCAGAATTATGCGTATAAACAGTGCTATGCTGTTGGTGAGGCGAGGAGCGCTAATACCGACGTAATTCTGCGACATGACTGTGTTGGAGCTAGCAAACGTCGTCGGCAGATGGTAACGGGAGCAATGAATTGGCAGGTAAAGTAAGCAGAAGTTGCTGATAAAGGCTTATCATTTGTACGCATCGAGATGGATATTTCGGGTTGTGGACATTCCTGCATCGTCATTATTCATTGTAGGGTCAAGTACCCCCGTGCCAGGTTTCTAAATATGCTGTGCCCTCATGGTGTTTCTGTCTTCCATGCGCTGGGCAGAAGATAAGAAATAGAATGTCGAGGGAAATAGGATTGTTCAATCTCTTAATGCTTGATATCTGAAAGAATCCTCTTTGACCTTTATTTAAATTATTTTGCTAATGTTCTGATCTTTGAGCCAAGACTTCACTCGGCATCCGGGCATGACTTCGGATACCCTCGGTTGTTGCAGACTCAAGGAATATCTATTCCAAGAAAAGTTACATTTATCTGTATTATGGTTCAACTCCAAGGTATAACGAATTATTGATGTATTGTAGTATTATCAAAAGTATAGAGAGAAGGGCACCGCTCTGTCTGGCACGGATCACATGCAGATAGTAACAGACTTCAACAGTACAACTGCCGTTAATAAAGCATAGGTCTTTTAGTAAACATAAATCTGTGACATATGCCGACACAAATATGGTTCTAGGTGCGTTGCATCCAGATGCAACGGGCTCGGAAGCTTAGTGAGCTTGGCTCTGCATGCGTCACTGCTCATTCGCATCATACCTATATTTAACATCTGGTTGGCCCTGTTTCTATTTTAATTCGTGATTACCAGCTGAAGCCATGCCTTTGAGTTCCTGATTTACTCCAAGCTTTTACCTTGATCAGCAATCAAGTTGTACAAATTAAATCAACGGACCGTTGAGTCTTTGATCATTGGCAAGACTATAGGCTATGAGAAGTTTACGCGGATGGCTGCTACTACATATCTATGGCACACCGTTGTTGTTGACTTGAAGGCAAAGTCGGCCCGTCATATAGGCACGCAAGTGAAGTAATATCAAGAGGCCTGAACCGCTTACAAGACTCTTCGATATTGATAAGAGGACTATTAACAAGACTGATAGTTGTTATAATTCCATATCGGCAATCCTTCAACGCTTCGAATTGATCGATTTATCATGACAGCAGTCGATGCAAAGCTACAAACTTCCTGTACTATATTCGGCGTAACTCCTAACATGGACAAGTCATAAAAGCACCTATATTATCGACTTCAAGCTTAGTATAAGACCGTGAAGAAGTCCGTGAGCTATAACTCTTACTACATATGATCACTTACGATTAAAGGTGCACAAACGTGTCTGCAGACCTACTTAGACTTTAGAATAAAACGACAGGTCTGGGTCATTACCTCCATGGCCTTTCGGGGTATATATTTTTAGCTCCTTCCTCTCTTATTATTTTTTATTCTGATAAAAGTGGCGACACACACAGATTTATAATGAACATAAAGGAACATTGTTGCGATTTGATGCCTTCTAAATCCCAATTCTTGCGCACATACAGAACAGCGTGCACCTGCTATCAGAAAGACCCAATATGTTATCTACAAATCAATCAATGCGGCTTATATAGCTACAATATAAGATAACTCTACAATCATATCATATCACCATGTTCTTGATAGGTTCAAAAGATCTCATGAAAACTAGCGGCGTGACGTGGCATGCAGTCAAGGGGTTCGCATCACAATTCTCCACCAAATCTTCACCGCAGCAATGGCAATTGATCAACCTGAAGACCACCCAAAGAAATGGAAACGACCGCAAAAACCAGGGTTGAAACACCAATGGTGTGGGTGGAAATTGCAGGGCTCTCATACGCTGATGTAACGTAGCTGTGTTGTCAAATACCACTTTAGCTCTCCTCAATTCTGAACCGAGAATCTCATCTCCAACTCACAAACGTCCATGATAGGATTTACAAGATGGCAGAACATCCGACTGAAGCTGAAAGTTCACCACGACAGCCTGCACCGTCGTCGCCTGTTCCCGAACCAACAGCAGAACAGACCGCTGCCGAAGGATCCGGCGAAGACTTCCATGGTCCTGAACATTGGGCTACATTGACCGGCGGGGTAAGATGAATTCCAGATAGAGTGATGGCATCACTGATATTGGAAAGAATGCGCCCGAAGAGGAAGACGATGCGGACTCGGCAGTAGGCGAAGACACGGCCAGCTCGACCGAGTCTATGTCATCAAGTATTCTTCATTATCGTTTGATGAATGGCAGAACATATCACGCTGAGCGAGGGAATGCTCATTACTGGTATGCATGTTGTTGAGAAGGATGTTCGGGACTGACGAGATATAGGACACCGAACGATGAGCATCATAGTGAGTCTATGGATATGGCGTAAGTAGGGTCATATTCTTTGAGGGGTGTGGACTTACAGTTACAGCCATCATCTGTTGTCCTTGTCGTTGGAAGGCAAGCTCCATCTCGCTCCGTTGAAAGATGATATCCAAGTATGTGCAGCATTCTGGTAATCGGTCTCATTTTACTAACGGATTTTCAGAAAGTATTGGATATCGGAACGGGAACTGGTCAGTATCCAACATGAGCCTATCCAAGATTCAAATAGCATGCTGACTTATAACAGGTATTTGGGCTATGTAAGCACACCCACGCCGACAACCCAAAGACTTTACTGACCTAGTCAGCGACTTTGCAGACGAGTATCCCAATGCTGAAGTCACCGGAACCGATATCTCCCCAATCCAACCCAGCTGGATTCCCCCGAATCTCAAATTGTAATCTCAAGCCCAAGCCCTTATCGTGTTGCTCTAACAAGCTCAGCGAAATCGAAGACTGTACCCAAGAATGGACCTTTGAACCCGAATCCTTCGACTACGTCCACATGCGTTACATGTATGGAAGCATCAGCGATTGGAACGCTCTGTTCCGTGAAGCTTATAAAGCCTGTAAGCCCGGCGGCTGGTGCGAGAGTTTCGAAGCCTCACCAAGAATGGAAAGCGATGATGGAACAGTGACTGAGGATTGTGCTATTAACGAATGGGGAAAGTTCTTTATCGAAGGCGGAAGGAAATTGAACCGCACGTTTGAGATTATCGATAAAGATTTGCAGCAGAAGGGAATGGAGGAGGCTGGCTTTGTGGACATCAAAACCTGGGATCATAAGGTATGCAATACCCTTGACTTACTCTACGAAAGTATAGTGTTAACTGGTTTAGGCGCCGATTGGAGACTGGCCAAAGGACCCTCGACTTAAAGAAATTGGTCAGTTTGCGAGGGCAACTCTTGAGCAGGACTATGAGGGCTATGTCATGTATATGGCGAGCATAGTTCTCGGATGGTCGCGGGAGGAAGTTTCGCTTTACTGTGCGCAGTTGAGGAAGGAGGTCCGGTCTGGGAAGTTTCACCCGTATTACCGACAGCGTGTTGTATATGGGAGAAAGCCTGAGTAGATCCGAGGTTGAGTTGGTTCATGATGTGATGCTGGCACGGATGAGCGGCTCATCACAGAAGTCAATTTGAAAGTACGCTGAGAATTATGAGCGATCTTCATGCGTTTGAAGATCCATGATTATTAATCTTGACCGAAACTCATGTATGTATAACGTTCAAAAAGTAAAGCTGTCAACTCGTCCTCTCATGAGCTCTCATTCTCAATGAGTAAGTGAGGTCTGAATCATGATGCGTCATTCGGAACAACGGATGTGATAGCTTGACGCATGCACTGATCGTCGCTCTCACATGCGCTAAGCATTAATTGCATCACAAGCTTCACAAACCTCGGACTATCAATTCATGATGATCTTGGCTTACAGGCAATAAAATAAAATGGCATGGTCGCATCATCACCAGACTCAAGTCAAGTCAGGTGACCAAACCATCAATGCCATTTTTTCCCACAGTGGACTCTCTAATTTTGTCTTTGTTGGGAGACGTTCCCAACAAAACCCAGTCCAGAGACAAATACCCTAGACAAATGGAAGGGAAAAGCTCTGACCATGATGCTGGGCCTCATCGTAATCGCATAAAAGCACTGCCCTTCACAAGCTGATATTGACCAGGTTCATGCTTATGCCTCTGACTCGCTTCCACGTGGTAATGGCAATGCTATGCATGCCTGGTCTGTCAAAAGGCGAAGCAAACCCAAGCTGGCGGCGCAATTACGAACTGCTCAAGGTGATTATTTCCGCTTGGGGGAATAAGTGGGATGATCGCCAAGGCTTGTTAGGTCTCTCTGGGTAAGCGGTAAATTGAATCATGGGCAGAAAAAAGAATGTCTGATCCTAATTCTATTCAGCAACAATCGAATGATTGTACAGGTGATTAGGCTATCAGATGCTGTGCTGTATTGGTGATACGCAGCCATGTTTTAAATAAATCCTTAATATTTAAGCCACCAACAAATAATTAATTCCCATGGCGCAAACAAACAGCCAGACCTCCGTTAACCTCAACCACTGAACTTTTTTGTTGATCTTCCGCCTCAAGTTTTGATTGGCGGTCTAAAACCACTTTTCATTCCAAAAATTAACCAGATCACCAAACTGACGAACGAACGCCCTGCGTCATATCATCGTCCCCATCCGTCAGCAGGGATCATCCTCACGGACCAAAGGGAACAGAACCAGGACCCATCTTCCTCTCTTCTCGTCTCTCTACCTTCTCCCGATTCTCGGTGAGAATTCACCTAACAAATCCACCGAAATTGTCTGGCTGACATAACACTCCCTGCTCGCCCGCCCCTTTTCCTCTTTCAGCCTCAATACTCTCTTAACTTACTTACTACCGCTACTTCTTACAAACTCTTTTCCCTTATCTTAATTACAGCTTCTTTTTTTCTTTTCTTGTGATACCTTGAAGCTATTTACACACACATCATGCGTCAAAATTTACCAACTCAACCTGCCACCAACGGGGATGGCCAGGACTTGTGTACGTCCCCCACCCCCCTATAAAATTTTGCTAGGGGATAATTGAGCTGACATTGAGTTTAGATCTTCCCGACAACATGCTTGCACGTGCGTAGAATCACGATAATGAGTAGTCAAATGCATACTAACGGTGACTTTCAGGACACCCCAGCAAGCCTCACATCGGCAGTACGTTCAATTACCCCAATTGTGAATTTGGGAGCTAGGCTAACTTTGACAGGCCTGGAGGAGTACCAGCAGATGCATCAGCTCTCCGTGACAGAACCTGATGCTTTCTGGGGAAACCTTGCTCGTGAACTCCTCACATGGGAACGCGATTTCCACACCGTCAAGAGCGGCTCTCTCATCGAGGGAAACCCTTCTTGGTTCCTGGGTGGAAAGCTAAACGCTTCATTTAACTGCGTGGACCGCCATGCGCTCAAGGACCCCAACAAGGTCGCTATTATTCACGAGACTGACGATGGAACCAATGGCCAGTCTATCACTTACGGAGAGCTTCTCAAGCAGGTCAGCAAGGTCTCTTGGGCTCTCAAGGATCTCGGTGTGAAAAAGGGCGACACCGTTGCCATCTACATGCCCATGGTTCCCGAGGCTCTGGTCGCCATTCTCGCCTGTACAAGAATTGGCGCTGTTCACTCTGTTGTCTTTGCTGGATTTTCTGCTGGTTCTTTGAGAGATCGCGTCGAGAACGCCAAGAGCAAGGTTGTTATCACCTCCGATGAGAGCCAGCGTGGTGGCCGAACAATCGGAATCAAGAAGATTGTCGATGAAGCACTCAGCACCCTCGAGGGTGTCAAGACTCTTGTTTTCAAGCGAACCGGTGCCAACGTTAACTGGGTTGAGGGCCGTGATCACTGGTGGCATGAGGAAGTCGCCAAGTGGCCCAGCTACATCGCCCCTGAGGCCATGGACGCCGAGGATCCTCTCTTCCTTCTCTACACCTCTGGCTCAACCGGTAAGCCCAAGGGAGTCTTGCACACAACCGGTGGATACCTTGTAGGCGCTGCCGCGACGGGCAAGTACGTTTTCGACATTCACGACCAGGACCAATACTTCTGCGCCGGCGACGTTGGTTGGATCACAGGCCACACTTACGTTGTATACGCGCCTCTGCTTCTGGGTGTTTCTACCGTTGTTTTCGAAGGAACGCCGACGTACCCTGACGCTTCTCGTTTCTGGGATATTATCGCCAAACACCAGATTACACACTTTTACGTTGCCCCTACTGCTCTTCGTCTGCTGAAGAGAGCCGGTTCTGATCCCGTTAACCACAACACTGACAGCCTGCGTGTTCTTGGATCGGTTGGTGAGCCTATTGCCCCCGAGATTTGGAAGTGGTACTACGACATTATTGGAAAGGGCAACTGTCACATTGTCGACGTGAGTGAAATTCTGGCTTTTTGGGGTCAAGAAAGCGAAACTAACTAGTTTTACAGACTTACTGGCAAACTGAGACCGGTTCTCACGTCGTTACTCCCCTGGCTGGTGTCACACCCACCAAGCCCGGTGCCGCATGCCTGCCATTCTTTGGCATTGACGCAGTCCTAATCGACCCCGTCTCTGGCGTTGAGCTCGTTGGCAACGGTGTTGAGGGTGTCCTCGCTTTCAAGTCCTCTTGGCCCAGCATGGCCCGCACAGTCTACGGTGACCACCAAAGATTTGAGGAGACCTACCTCAAGGTCTACCCCGGTTACTACGTGAGTCATGATCTCATTCTGTCATATTACAAACTTATGCTAACAACGTCCAGTTCACCGGTGATGGTGCTGCCCGTGACGAAGACGGTTACTTCTGGATCCGCGGCCGCGTCGACGACGTGATCAACGTCTCCGGCCACCGTCTCTCAACCGCCGAAATCGAAGCCGCAATGGTTGAGCACTCCGCCGTCGCCGAATCCGCCGTTGTGGGCGTTGCCGACGAAGTCACCGGCCAATCCGTCATCGCTTTCGTCTGCCTCAAGGAAGCCTTCCGCTCCAACCAGGCCGAGGTGCATGCTGAGCTCAGACTGCAAGTGCGCAACAGCATTGGACCTTTTGCCGCCCCTAAGAAGATTTTCATGGTTCCGGATCTGCCCAAGACTCGCTCTGGAAAGATTATGCGCCGTGTCTTGAGAAAGATTGTTATGGGTGAGCAGGATCAGTTGGGTGACATCACCACCCTGTCTGACCCTTCCATCGTTGAGAAGATTATTGAGATTGTTCAGAGCGGTTAATGGGAAATGGAAAGAAAATTGGTAAAGACGGGTAAGGGAAGAAAAACGGCTTTGATATCATTATTAATTAAGAACATTTATTATTTCGTTAAAGGAGCAAGAACCTATATGACTGTGATGGTCTCGATTTGTGAAGATACCATTATAAAACTTAGAAGCGAATAAGCATGTGAATCGTCGACTTCAATTATTCTATCTCAAGATTGACATTTTAAACCTTTAGGCTCCCATCATCAGAAATCTGTTTCACGAAATCTTCAAAGTCCTTCAACAAATCCTCGGGTTTCTCCAGCGCCGCAAAATGCCCACCACTCTCATGCCGTCTAGCAAACACCAGATTTCCCGTCGTCTCAGCCCAAGCCGCAGGAATCGGTGCAAGCTCCTCCGGAAACCAACTATATCCCAAAGGCTTGGTAATTTTCCAATCCGGTCCATCGTGCGCGCCTCCCGTGCCAGGCGCGAAACGCTGACGGTATGGGTAGATAGATGTAGGGAACGAGTCAGTGAACCAGTAGAGGGATACTGAAGTAAGGATTTCTTCCATGGGGGGATCTTCGTCTGTCCAGTGGAGAAACTTCTCGCCGATCCAGGATAAAAGAGCGATGGGGGAGGATGAGAGAACGAAGCCGATTGTGCTGGGCTTAGTGGCGTGGAAGAGGGCGTATGCTGAGCCGCGGCTTTGGAATTCTTCAGCGCGGGCCAGGCCTTTCTTTTCGGCGGGTGTGATTTCACCTGATGCGTTGGAGGGTTCTTGCATTATGCAGAAGTTGATATGGGCAGCTTTTATCGTGTCAGTGTCTCCGGCGACAGTAAAAGCAGGCGGATCGGAACATCACATACCTTTGCACTCCTTGTGACTAACAGCGAGCACTCGAGCAACTCTGCTACCAATATCTCCACCTTGCGCAACATATCCGTTACCAAAGCCCAGCTGGACCATAAGAGTATTAACAATGCGGGCAATATCCTCAACACGGAAGTCATTATCTAGAGGGGGCTTGCTCGAAAAGGCATAGCCAGGCAGAGACGGAACAATGACATGGAAGGGAAGCGTTTCTGGAGTATATCGTTCCTTGAGAATTGATAGAATCTTGAGAAACTCGAGGAAACTGCCTGGCCAACCATGTAGCAGCACGACAGGGACAGCATCCGGTTTGGTCGAGAACAGGCCTGTGAAGTGAATATCGAAATCGCCTGCTGTGTCCTTGATGGGTACGGTCCAGTGGTTAAATGAGTTGATGTGCTTCTCAGCATTTCGCCTGTTATATCATTAGCCACCGGCACAGACTGTAGCACTGTCCATGTCTTACCAGTCGAATTTCATCCAAGCAGCTTTGGCATCGGTAAGCCATTGGTGAGTTATACCGTAGTTATGCTCCTTCTGAGTAGACTCGTAGGTAGGCGGCGCGATCTTGCCCAGCTTGACAAGAAGTTTGAGCTCTTCAACCTTTTCATCTTCAATTGAGACGTGGTAAGGTTTCGGCTGGACTTGGGCGCCAGAGGGAATTTTTGCGTAGCCGTCGGCCATGTTGAAGTTGATAGATTTTTGGGTAATTGAAGGGTTACTTGTTGAGTTAAACAGAATAAAGTGTTGTGAGGTTATATGGCATTGTTTAAATATGGTTACAGGTCAATGAGGGGATGTTGTATGGAGTTTAGCGTTACGTCATGCAATTCAGCTCTCAGCAAAAACAGCGACCAAAACAGCTGCAATTTCCTGACTCAGAATCAATAAATTACAAATCAATCAACTCATTTCAAGGGCCGCAGTCCTTATTTGTATTAAGGCGGTTTGTAAGCGGGCAAATTGGATGTCGTCTACAGGGCGCGTCTTGTCCTTCTGCCATTTCCCCGCCTTCTTTGGTGGACCGTAACACAACCCCCACTGCACGCCTTGAACACGACAAGCACCTGATTTACTACTCATTCGTCTCCGTGACTTATTAATTGACGAAAAGGCGTGAAAGGCAATAAGCCGATAGTAACTTTGTTATGTAGAGAACAATCTGAGTGATCATACACGGCATCAATCCTAATTGCCTACAGCTTCGTCTTCTGGTACTCAACCTTGAAGCTGAACTCATCCTCCCAATGCATAGCCCAATACCGATCCCAAATAGCTCTCGTCACAGGTCCAACCTTTCCATCCTTGACAGGCTTCCCATCCAACGTAGTAATAGGCATGATTCCTCCAGCAGTAGTACACATAAAGATCTCATCAGCCTCGTAAACCAGCTGGACGGGGACATGCTCAATACGAGTTTCATAGCCGCAATGCTTGGACGCATCAATAACACTCTTTCGGGTGATGCCCTGCAGAACTCCACGAGATGGGTGGTAGAGAACATTGTTTTTCACGAACACGACATTGAAGCCAGATCCTTCGGTGATGTTGGTGTCGCCGTCGGTCAAGAAAGGGTACTGGGCTCCTCGGTCGTAGGCTTCGAACATGCCACGGGTGAAGTCATTCCATTGGAGGTTCTTGATGGTGGGATCCATCGAGCCAGTAGGGATACGTCGAACAGTTCGGGCGATGACGGCACTTCCGCCATGGTACTGCATCTCAGGTTTCATGACCCAGACATAGGGAAGAACAAGCAAGTAAAGATGATTCTGAAGGACCTCGCCAGGAGTCATCTCCCTCACAGGCTTATTGCCCCTTGTGACGATGATCTCAACGAAGGCGTCCTTGATCCCGCTCTTAGCAAGCATCTCGAGTAGAGTGGCTCTAATCTCTTCGCGAGGTATAGGAAATTGCAATCGCATCTTCTTGACGCTCGCCTCAAGGCGATCAAGATGTTCGTCAAGACGGAAGAAGCGACCATCCCAGACGGCGGGGACGTCATAGGTCAAGTCGCCATGCATGAAACCTTGGTCCATGATGGGAATGCGGGCTTCATGGAGGGGTACAAGGGAGCCTTCAATCCACACGATGCCCTTTGTGAAGATGTTGTCGCTTGCCTGCAGGGCCGACTGGCGCTGGGCATAGGCCGCGAAGATACTGTCCATAGTTGACATTTTGGACTGTGATGGGATGGGATGAGAATGGGTTGATGGTCAGTGTTGAAAAGGGGATTGAGAGGTGTAATAACAAAGAAACTTGACAGGTGGTCAGTGTAAATTGAGTTCACTTGCTGTTCAACCTGGTGCAGACACGTCTTTACACAGATAAAGTCTCATGAACAGAACTATAGTTCAGATAACAAACTCAATCACCTCCAGCAGAGGGGCAGAAGCTCGACGCTGGGATTCTCAATGGTTTGTATAGACCGACGAGTCCACCTGTATACGTTGTCACCACTCTTGTACAACCCCAGTATCTATCACCGACGTCACTTCTTTGTTCAAACAAGAGTAATCGTATCACCCCAAGCTTGTAACTCCGCTACAGATTACTGGATAACGAGTTTTAGCTCAAGCCACGAAGCAGTTTGTGTTACTTTATGACCCAGGTATGAGATCGGCATTTGTCAGATTAATGTCATCGCATGACCATAACACCGGGACAAAGAGTTCTGTGGCAAGTCATGGGACTGGGGAATGAAGATGGCTTGGGGCTGATCGATTTGAGACGCGCGGGGGATAAGAAACAAAGAAACTTGGTTTGTACGGACAACGGGTAGAAACATCGGCACTTGGTACTCGTACAACATATTCTTATCTTCAGTTCATGTCCTCTGCCGCTGTCACTCGAACCTTGAGTCCATAATCCCGAAACAGAGCATAACTCTCAGAAACCATTGGCCTGAGCGGCTCAAGAAGTTGGAAGTCAAATGCTCGGAGCAACTGCGAATCATATATCAGTACTCGTAATCATAATAGATTACCATCTTACCTCAAAGTAAACCTTCTGCAGCTCCATAAAGGCCAAAGGTTTTCCAGCACACATCCATCGTCCATTCCCAAAATTCATCTCAACATTGCGACGCATCTCGGCGAGATCCGGTCCTGAAAGGCCGATGAAGCGCTCTGGTCGGAAAACGTCGGCGTCAGGACCGAAGAATTTCTTTGAAGCGAGGATGGCTGAGAAATTGACTGCGATGGATGTTCCGCCCGGGATGAAGACTCCGTTGACGGTGTCGCCTCCTCGAGGTACTTGTTTGGCTTGTTGGCCTGTTGTTACTGGTCGCATGCGAAGACCTTCATATATGACTGCCTATAAACTCCATTAGTAATTCTGTTAGATTCGACAGTCTGTAAGTATGGACCAACCTGGAGGTAAGGTAGCTCTCGCGATTCCGCAGCTGTGATGGGACTAGACGCCCGTCCTTCCCTTATAGCAGTGCGAATTTCGTTTTTGAGTTTCTGATAGACGCGAGGCGTAGACATGACATAAAGCATCGTCACTCGGATAGCCGACGCCGTGGTGTCAGATCCTGCTATGAACATGAAGAGCGCTTCGGACATGGCGTCACCTTCGGGTAAGCCATGAGCTTTAAATGAGCTCTATGCAAGGTTAGCAAAGACATTGAAGTTGTTTGTGGTAACCGCGAATACTAACCAGCATGTCTACCTTTTCGTTTTGGTCCTGACTGTAATGTTCTCGAACATTTTCATTTGTAACCCTTCACCCGAATCATTAACATGCGAACATCATTTCGGAAATCACTTACTTCATCATAGGTCCCATCCCGTGCGGATCGTTTTCTCGCGGACCAAAATACTTCAAGAAAGTAGAAGAGTACATGATTTTTCGTATCCAAGGCACATCAGTTGTCAGCGCCATAACAGGCATATGCTCAGCCAACCCGTTGTAGAATCTATAGAGATCTGAATTCGTCGCGCAACATCCAAACTCCGTGCCCAGAGCCACCTTGGAGATAACATCCATCGCGAAATAGAAAACAACATCAATAAGAGGCAGAGTCCGAAAATCGCCGGCAGCAGGATCAGACAGATACCGTCTCCGGATAAGCGAAATCAGATTCATAACTTGCTGGTCAACAGCTTCCTCGATGTTCGGCGTATCTCTTCCACTATAAGCAGGCGTGAGCTTTGCTTTCACCCTATCATGCTCCTTCGGATCACGCGTAGCAAACATAGTCTCATGATAAGGGTTGAACCGAATGCCATCGGCCCACGAGCCCTTCCCATAAGTACTTTTCGTTGCAGACATACGTTTTACAAGTTCCACATCTGAAGTGAGAAGAACTTCTGGGCCGATGCGGACGAGTGAGCCGTACTTTTCGTCGAGGGCCGTGAAGACTTGGTGTTGTTCACCTTTGTAGGCGGTGTAACCTACCCAGAGGTAGCTGAAGCGCGCGAGGAATGGACCTGGGATGTGCCGGAGGCGGCGGTATGAGACGATGGAGGTCGCGAGGTACCATGTTGTTAGGACGGTCAAAAGGGATATGGCGAAACCACTGGGGGTCTTGACGATTGAGAGATCGAGGAAGTCCATTTTGTGTCTGATGAAACGTCTGTATCTTTCTGAAGTTATGATGGGGCTCATAGGGTTCCAGAGTACTTATCAAAGTAAGACGTGGCTGGCGAGAAGTAGACATATAAATCAGTCAGCCCTCAATTCTCGGGCTCCGATCAGGATACCATGTTGGGCTAGCAACACACACTACACCCATACTCATTCTCATCGGAAACACACCAATAGCATAGTTCAAGTTGATGGTTTATGCATGCCCGTTTGTAATTTCACCTTTTCTTCTTTTTAGCCGGCATAGTTACACGCAACATATGCTGAATAGAGCTTCATGCATACACAAAGGGTGCCCTGACTTAGTTAGATGCCACATGAAGGATGTGTAATATATCCCTTCCTTACAGAAGAAGCACAATCGCCCTTGATCCGTTGTATACCCGCTACCAATGGGCCTTATCTTCATAAGCCAACATGCAGCTGGAAAGTCTTGGGGTTACATGATATGCATCACTTTACGGGAGAACGGAGATAATTACCCGGGCCGCTGCAGCAACCACCAATGAGCTCGTCAGAATTACCATGGCAACGTACGTGCTGACCCCTCACAGAGCTGTACAGGTCCCCGAACTGGTCTTGGTTGCCACATCGAGAAGGTGGGTTGCTCGCCGAGTCGAAGAACTTCAGTGTCTGAGCCAAATGTCGAGAATGAAACTGGCGGGTGAAACTTATTCACCCGCCGGGCCCTTCTAAAAGGATATCAGGTGCCCAAGGCACTCGGCGCTTATCTGTCTCATCACTGTTGTCCGCTATTAAATCTCCACCTGCCTGTCTGAAGAGCTCAAGGTTCTTCAGAAAGATGAGCGACTCTTGGAAGATGCTGATACATCCAGATACCAATCTCAGAAGTCACCACATGCACATTCAGTCACAATTCACGAGTGCAGATGAGAGTGTTTTGAAGGAAACATGTATTGTCGTATAGACACTATTGCTATCTAAGCTAATTCTTTTCATATCAAAACCAAAACAGAAATCTAAATACAAATGCAAGTTCATACAAATCGTAATAATATGTCATTCTAGATATGTGCGTTCATAGCATCAAGGTTCCAGACTCAAGATGCTTAGTAGGGAGGAGGAGGGTAGTAGCCAGCAGTGGTCTTCGCGGAAGCACTGGTGACGAAAGAGGTCTCAACAGGCTGAGGAGTTTCAATGGGCTTAGGAGTGTGCACGGGAGTCTCGTACAGCTTGGTGGGAGTGTGGTAGTAGGTGGAGGTCTGGTTGCCGTGGCCGAGGTAGGAAGTAGCCACGACAGGAGGGACGTAGTTGGAAGGAGGAGGCTGGATCTCGGTGGTGGCTGTGGCGTAGACCTGGGAGGTGACTTGACCGTAAGGGCAGTCCTTGACAGAGGGAGGGCAAGCACTGACGGTGAAGTACTTGGTGGTGTAAAGAGTGGAAGTCGAGGGAGCGTGAATGACTTGGGTCTCGGTCACAGGGCAGATGGTGGTGGAGACAGCGATGGTCTCGGTGACGATCTGAGGGCCCTCGCCGTTGCAGCCGGGAGTACCAGGGGCACAAGCAGTAACAGTGCGGACGGCGGTTGTGTAGACGGTCGAGGTGGAGAAACCAGTTGTGACGACCTGAGTTGAGACGGGGTGAGGAGGGTTGCCGCCGGCGGGCTTGCTGGGAGCAGGCTCATCGGACTTGCCAGGCTGCTCAAGCTTGGGAGGCTGCTCGCCAGCAGGCTGAGTAGGAGCAGTTTGGTCCTCAGTGACGGGGCAGACGGTGGTGGAGATGGCGATAGTCTCGGTGACAACATGAGGAGTAGGAGAGCAGTCGGGAACCTCAGGGCCGCAGGTAGTGACAGTTCGGACACTGGTGGTGTAGACAGTGGAGGTAGTGTAACCGGTAGTCTTGGCTACTGGCTCAGTGACGTGAGGCTCAGTAGGCTTGGGCTCTGTAGGCTTGGGCTCTGTAGGCTTGGGCTGAGTAGGCTTGGGCTCAGTAGGCTCGGGCTCAGTGACATGAGGCTTAGTCTGCTGCTCGGTAACAGGACAGATAGTAGTAGAAACAGCGATGGTCTCAGTGGTAACATGAGGAGTAACTGGGCAGTCGGGAACACCAGGAGCGCAAGAGGTGACGGTGCGAACGTTGGTGGTGTAGACAGTCGAGGTGGTCCACTCAGTAGTAGAGGGAACAGCAGGCTGAGTAGATCCAGCTTCGGTCTGGCCGCCGGTGGCAGGCTTGGTAGCGGGCTTAGTCTCAGTAGCAGGGACAGTCTCAGTGGGGTGCTCCTCAGTAGCAGGCTTGGTCACAACCTCAGTCGTAGCAATAGTCTTGGTAGATCCATTCTCAGTGATGATGACCTTGGTAACAGGAGGAATGATCTCAGTGACGGGGCAGACAGTGGTAGAGATGGCGATAGTCTCGGTGGTGACGTGAGGGCCAACGGGACAGTCAGGCACATCGGGAGCACAAGAGGTGATTGTGCGCACGTTGGTGGTGTAGATGGTTGAGGTGGTCATCTCAGTGGTGCTGGCGGACTCGGTAGGAGCGGGCTGGTCCTCGGTGCCGGTGACAGGGTGAGTAGAGACAGCTCCGCTCTCGGTGGGGACTGGGTACTTGTTGTCATCGGTGGTGGCAGGGACGGTTTCGGTCTCGGTGGGTTGCTCCTCGGTCGCGGGCTTGGTAGAACCCTCGTGGTTGGTAACAGGCTTGGTAGGCTGCTCCTCAGACTCAGTAGTAGCAGGAACAGTCTCGGTAGCAGGCTTGTCGCCGGTCTCGGTAGCAGGAACAGTAGAGGCTTCGGTCTCAGTAGCGGGCTTGGTAGGTTGCTCCTCGGTAGCAGGGACAGTCTCGGTAGCGGGCTTGTCCTCGGTGCCGGTCACAGGCTTGGTAGGCTGAGCTTCAGTAACAGGGCAAACAGTGGTCGAGATAGCGATGGTCTCAGTCGTGACGCGCTTGTTGTTGGGGCAGTCAGGAATCTCAGGAGGGCAATCAGTGATGGTGCGGACAGCAGTGGTGTAGACAGTTGAAGTGGTCCACTCGCTGGTTGTCTCGATGGCAGGCTGGGTCTCGGTACCGACGGTCTCGGTGTTAGGCTTGGGAGGAGGGTAGACACCGGTGGAAGACTCGGCAGGTTGAGTAGTTCCAGCAGCAGGAGCAGTCTCGGTCTCGCCAGGGAGGGTCTTGGTCTCAGTCTCAGCGGGAACGGTTTCGGTCTCAGCAGGAACAGAACCGGTACCCTCAGGAGGAGGGTAAGCACCAGAGGAAGTAGCAGTCTCAGTAACCTCGGGGACCTTCTTAGTCTCAGTCTCGGCACCCTCAGTGGTAGACTGGGCGGGAGGAGGGTAGACACCAGTGGAAGACTGCTCAGGAACCTTCTCGGTCTCGGTCTCAGTCTCGACAGGCAGAGAAGCAGTACCGGTCTCGGTGTTGCCCTCGGGAGGAGGATAAGCACCAGGAGTGGTCGTCTCAGGGACCTTCTCAGTCTCGGTCTCAACGGGGACAGAAGCAGTAGCAGTCTCAGTGTCCTGCTTCTCGGTGGATCCAGGAACCTGGTACTCGGGAGTAGAAACAGGAGTCTCACCCTTCTCAGTGACAGGGCAGATAGTAGTAGACACAGCGACGGTCTCGGTAGTGACGTGCTTGTTGTTGGGGCAGTCGGGGACCTCTGGAGGGCAAGATGTCACAGTGTAGATGTTGGTGGTGTAGACAGTTGAGGTAGTCCACTCAGTAGTAGAGGCACTCTCGGACTCAACCGTAGTGGGTTGAGCATCCTTGGTGGTCTCGTTGGAAACCTCAGTGGTAGTGCCTTCGGGTACAGACTCAGTGACGGTACCCTCGGGAGGAGGATAGGCACCGGTGGAGCTCTCAACGACGGTGGATCCCTTCTTGGTCACATCGGTGCTCTCGGGAGGAGCGTACTCGGAAGTAGGAGTGGGAGCCTCGGTGGTATCCTCGGCAGGCTTGGTTCCAGCAGGAGGAGGGTACAGGTCGGTCGCAGTAGTCACACCAGCAGTGGCAGCATCGCTAGTGACATCTGCAGTGGACTCTTGAGCAGACTCAGTAGTGGGAACACCCTCGGGAGGAGGGTAAACATCAGATGGGGTGTTGGCAGGAGGAGGGTAGACACCGGCAGAGGTAGCCTCGGCGCTGGTCTCCTGTCCAGCCTCAGTGGTGTCTTCGGCAGGCTTGGTTCCAGCAGGAGGAGGGTAGAGATCGGTAGCGGAAGTGGCATCAGCGGTAGTCTTCTGTTCTTCCTCAGATGAAGGTGTGCCCTCAGGAGGAGGATAGGCACCAGTGGCAGAAGGGGCTTCAGCAGTAGTCTCTTGTCCAGCCTCAGTAGTAGGAACTCCCTCAGGAGGAGGATAAGCGTCAGAAGGGGTGTTGGCGGGAGGAGGGTAAACACCAGGAGTCTCTTCTTCGGCAGGCTTGGTCTCAGTAGCAGCAGACTGAGGAGGAGCGGCTTCGGTAGTAACGACAGTAGGACCAGCAGGGGGAGCATAATCGGTAGTATCCTTCTCAACGACCGGAGAGGTGGTCACTTCAATGACGGGAACCTCGGAGGTAGGCTGAGGAGGAGGAACATGCTGAGAAGATTCCTGCGCAGCAGGCTCAGTGTTGTCAGGGACATCGGGAGGAGGATAGACATCGGGTTGAGTGTTGGCAGGAGGAGGGTAGGCATCAGCAGGAGGCAGATCGTAGTTTCCTCGAACTTGGTGTCGACGGAAATCTAAAACGCCAGCGTTAGCCGCGCTAAAGGCAACGGCGCTGAGAAGAAAGAAGCTTCTCATTTTGAATGTTTCAACGAATGTTGTAGCGAATGAAATAGTAAGGAAAAAAGAACCAAGGAAAAACGAAAGTAGAAGTTGTTTGCTGGTTGTTGTTGATGAGGAATTGAAAAAAAAGCTGAGATGGAGAGGATTCTTTATAGATGAAACAGAAGTTGATGATCGACTGCTACGTTGGATCTATCTCAGCGCGTCAATCCATCGCATCGTCCATAATTGGAAAGTCCCCGTCGAATACGGGCGCTTGCATGGTGAATATGGCAGGGTGAGGTCATTCAGGGATGCCAAAACGGGATTGACAGGGCGGTCAGTGGTTGGATGAGGTGAACGCGCTGGATAATAGTGGGGTTTGGAGATGTTCCCTTGTCATTTACCAAAGGACCACTGTAGATTGGGCTTCCAAAAATACAGGCTGCACGATTCGCGGTCGATCATGGATGAGAGACCGTGAGGTGGGCAAACAAAAAGTGGTCTCGCGGTCGGGCCATGGCAGTCGATCACACCCATGGATCTCTACGAATAATCTGTCTTTACTGACATGGGGCCAGGATAGGCTGCTAACTATGGAGTAGTCCATTAGCTCTGCAGGAACGTTCTAATAATGAACATGAACAGCATGTCTCAACTGAAAGGTGCATCTACTGTACGTTTCGTGTGTCAAAGAACAGAAGAAACAAAAAGAAAACCTGCAGAAATGCTCGTGTTTGGACCGGGGGTGATGTGATTGTGTGCTATTATTATCCCTCTAGCCTTTAGTCTGGCCACTCAGCGGCTATAAACAGATCAGCGCATGCATGTCCATAATCCCTGCAAGTGGCCTTTGGTCTTCTCATCCAATGATTGGGGAGGCTCTGCTAGCCAAGAAGATCTAGAAGAAATCAACTCACCACGTCAAAGACTCTGTGCATTAGTTATTCAGTATACGAGATGGAGAAAAAAGAATCAAGCCCGGCCTGATGTTTGCAGTTCAAGAGCGGGGTGATTCTTTTCTTAGAATTGAATGCCCTGTTTTGTGCGGAAGCAACAGCATCGCAAATCTGAGACAACATGTCAAGAGACAAGACCATGACGAGCTGAAAAGTATCATTGTAGAGCGCCTAATTGTCTTAGGATTTTGAAGATCATCACTCAGATGAAAGTCAAGGCGGAAACGTAAACCTGAAACAAATGGCGTAGTGTTGGCGCTTATGGAAATTGGTTGGTTAGCGCGCGGTTCGTGGGGGAAAAGCCACTGATCGTCCACCCGGGCGCCACTAAACTGTCAAAATCATCATGGCGTTAGCATTCAAGCTACCCGGGAGTAATAAGGAATTGCCAAATACACAGTTAATGAGGTCAATTAATAGATATAATCATGTCTAAATATTGAGTAAGTTATTCTGTGATAGAATCAAGAAGCTTTCACTATTCTGTGAATATAAAACTTGTAGTAGCCTAGCATCTCTGCATCGACAGGCGTTGTTGTGTTCAGTAAAAAATGTTGAACAACCTGAGGGAAAGTGTGACGTGCAGTACATGGTGTTCGTTGACGGGTTGAACACAAACGGTCAAACAGAGATTCAACCCATAGCAGTGGCATATATTTTCTCTAACATCTATACTGCATTAAAATCCAAACCACAGCCTGCGCCACCATCTCTGGTGCTACAAATTGAATTTCTCGCCCAAGAGACATCACAGGCCGCAACTCCGAACGTTCAGACAACCTCAGTAAAGCCTCGTCCCTCATCTGGTCCAGTCTTCCTGATTCTACATCCCCATCAACGTCCGGTTGGAGGACTACAAGAGGCACACGTCCGTATTCGTGTTCTTCGCCATTCAACATCTCCTGATATTCAGCTATTTCTCTTCCAGCTGCAGCTTGATGTTCCGCACGAGCCTCTTCGTCTAACAAAGCTTGCCACGCTGTGTCGCTTAAGCGATGATTGTCTCCATACAGCGTATCGGTGCCCAATCGTCTCGCTTCGAGAGTCGGATCCGATTTTGCATCCACAAATACAAAACCCTTGAATTGAGCTAAATTTCTCAAGCTTGTGAATTCTCGCAGTATGGCAGACGAATAAGAGTGGGAGATCATTATGTAAGGCGGCGCGATCTTGGCAGCTCGTAGGAGAAGATGCAATTCCTCAGCTAGAGCAGCTGGTGATCTGGGTTTGTCTGCAGCAACAGGTTCACTTTGTCCATATCCTGCCCGCTCATAGCTTACGACGCTCATGGAATCTGCGAGAATCGTGGTGACGGCATTCCATTCTTTGACGCTGCTGCCGACATCCGGTAAGATGATGACAATCGGATTGTGCGCCCGGCGGGGCGGGCCGTGGATTGTAACCTCGAGTTTGTATGACCCCAGATCCACAAGGGCCGTTGAATTGGGCTTGATAGACATGTTGATACCCGAGACTTTTTGAGTGCAGCAACAGACCTTGCTTGCGTCTCGACAAGCTGTCATCCTTGGAGTTCGTGAATCTGACTCGCGGGGCATTCGTTATCGCGTTATCGCTCGCTATCTTATCTGGTATAGCGTGCGAAGTTATTTTTAGTCCCGCTGCTGCAGACCGCTTGCTGAAGCCCACCATGACGGAAGTGCGGAAGTACACTCCAGGATGGTATGATTCTACGACTTGGCAAAAGTCGTTTTCACAGAAATAGAAAGCTCAATTCTGACCGCTGTTGAGGCGTTTGGTCTGGTTGGCTCAGGCTCATTAGCCTTTGACCCCTCACCTACGACAACCTAACTCACGAATACCAAAATCCACCAAGTCTGCAAGTTTTAGTTCAATACCTTCGTCACTCTCTTGGAATACGAGAATCGGTCTATTTCTGTTGTGAACGGCTCTTGGTCTAAGAATACCTGGAAACCTGCGCTAAAGACCATGCAGCACACCTGTCCAGCATCATCTTCCCCAAAGCCACGAGAGCATGTCAGACCCAATGTAGGTATTTTCTGAGGCGACCTAACCATGGTACCCGAATATAGGTTTCTCAAATCGGCTTTCTTCATATCATTTCCCAGAAAGCCTTTATTTAGTAGTCCTAGCTTGCGTTTCAAGCTGTAAAGCTACAAACATATGCATGATTGGACTGAAAGGATTTAGAGCGCTCAAGTTTCATGGGTGATTTAGAAACTATTATTAATATTGTGTTCCTTTTATCTATAGCTCCCTAAGCTTTGTCAAGGATATAGCCTCCTCAACCACTCGCAGCTCCCTGCAGGCTTTCTCAGCATGAATATCTACTGCCACGATGAAGACCTACGATACCACGAACTCAACTTCAAGTCACTATCTCTCTTTACTATATCCTTAGTAGAGGCTAAGCATAGCCAGAAGTGCCAATGCCACGGCCGTGGTAAGCTCGAAATGCTTGGCGGCGCCGTTGACAGGGACACTAGATGGCTCGGGAGTCGAGGTGGCCTGTTGAGGATTAGTTTGGTTGTTCGATTGACGAGAGCAATATTGTAATACGTACAGTGGTTCCAACAGTACCAACCTCGTCAACAGAAGTATGATCATGGCTGGGCGTAGCATGTGTCTCGGTAGCGCTGACATCATGTGTAGTCACGACAGGCTGGATAGTCGTGATAGAGGCAGGGCTCTCACCAACAGCTGAAGTGACCTCTGCTTCCGTTGTTGCTATTGCTGACGTGGACTGTTCGGTAGCAGCAGCACCTGAAGGACTGGGTGAGGGAGAAAGGTCACACTGCTTGGCAACCCTGCTTATGCCCTCACCGTAGTACTTCCAGATGCCGTAAGTGTTTGCACATTCCATGCATTTATCATAGTGGCCGGTCCACTCGTCGTTTTCGCAGAAGTCCTTTTCCTCGCGGGCGATTGTGATCAGAAGTCCTGGCATGATTAGCATTGAGATTAGGCAGAGTTTGGATTCAGACATACCACAGTCCTCATGGCATGCATACTGAGGGGTACCAGGCTGTTGGCGCTTGACGAGAGGAACAGTGTCCGGGAACTCGAAACGAGGGTCAACAGCGAGAGAAAGAGTGGCTGAAGCCAAAAGACTGTATGCAACGAGGGAATGCATCTTGAAATTGTAGTTTGCGTTGATAAGACAGGTGCAGGAGATCAACAAGAGAAGCGCGGATCGGGGACTTTATATCCGCATTCACTACCCATGGTCCTAACTGACGAGTTACTCAATGAGTCCTAGCCATAGTTACACTATACATGAGATATTTGCATGCTTAATTACCTTAATCCGTGGCATTCCGAACAAACCGAGGATCGGCTTCACCCAAGACTAGCATGATTGGCGGATTCCATATTCCATGACCTGATGCCAAGTCAAATGAACGCTCCAGGCCGACCAACATGCAGATAGAAACGTAAATCCGATATCGCTCCAGCCAAAAATGGACTAACGCTTGCAATATTGGTTGTTGTGGTGGAAACGAGGCGTACTTGGCGGACCAATGATAGCGTCAGGATGCATCAAAATCTTATCTGATCATCTGATAAGCCGGGGTTGGTGACATGCTAGCTACACCTTCTCAAGAATGAGTCAATCAGATGTCTAGGCTTGATCTGATAATGCACTTTTGTCCGGTGAATGGTGGTAAAATGGTCTAGCAGGAGCTTGGCGGTTGAAAAGTCCCGCATGCAGACATGTGAAGGTGGAGGGCGAATGTGTGCATCTGGCAGTATATCACGAACGAGATTTCCCCTCATCTAGACTGAGCCCATCAGACCATCAATTGTTCTTCAGTCCATCTTGTCCGCCATGTTGAGAAATCTGCTTCTTCTAACTCTGGCGTCTTTCGCTTTGAGCCAAGATGTTCCGCCTACGAATGCCAGTGCCACTGATGATGAGATGGGGCCTGCCGCCTTCATGTGGCCTCCAGACCGTGTCTGGTCGGGAGATGTAGATAACCGGGCTCCCTGTGGCTCACGTACCAGCGCTGGCAATAGAACCGAGTTTCCCTTGAGTATGTCAATCCATTACCTTGTCTCATCATTGCGAAAGCGTTTACTAGATGTCACGTTGCTAATATGATACTCTAGCTGGCGGTGCCATATCCCTCGTCGCACAAGACGATTACTACAACAGCAAGATCAGTATCTCGTATAAGGATGGTAAGTCCACATCTTCCCCAGCTGCCATCAACGACTGACAAAGTCCTAGATCCCGCCTCAAACAGTGACTTTCAAACCCTCATCCAGGACAAATCTATCGCAGACCTAAACCCTGGGCACAGCTGCGTTCAAGTCCCCGATGCTCCATCCAGCGTCTCAGCAGGCGACAACGCAACAATTCAGATCATCTACAAAGCTGACTGGGACGCTCCTCATAACCAAACCTTCTACGCCTGCGCGGACATTACGTTCGTCTCAAAGGCTGACTTTGACTTCAGAATTCCTTGCTTCAATGCCACTGAGCCGGGTGATGATGATAAAGCAGCTGGTGTAACGGGTGAAGCTAACCCTACTGCTACGCATTTACATGACGCGTCCGAAAGCTCTGAAGCTGCGGAAAAGAGTAGTGGCGAGGGCGGTTTGAGTGGGGGAGCTATTGCTGGTATTGTGGTTGGCTCTGTGGTGGGCGTCTTGTTGATTGCTGGTGCGGGCTTGTTCTTCTGGCGAAAGAAGCAGCAGGCAAAGAGGAACTCGAGGATTGCGCGCATGGAGGATAATGCGAGGAAGCATCAGCTTGCGACAGACGGTTCACAGCCCAGTCTGAATGCCTAGCCATATTGAGCTAACGTGAACTTGAAGAATTGAGGAAACATGGGATGTCTGTCTCTACCAGATCATGTCAATAGGAGCTAGTGAGTATGTTACGTCTAAAACGTCGCCTTTATATACGGGACAGTATAATTTACCGGCCGACGTGATAGCCTCACTCAGTCGCGTGGCAGTATCACATGATAGCACATCTAATTATGCTTCATTCCCCAAACCCCCAATCATTTATGCAAACTTATGCTCACTACGCCGCACTAGCCACCATCCCCTGGATTGAACGACTGATAATTGCCAAGACTTATGAAGGTTTGCCGACGGGTAGTACTCGCTGCGGGGCAGTGGACATCGTCAGTTGAGAACGGTACGAAGCGTTGTTGGTTCTGGGGTTGTATTTCGCGATACCGCGGAATCCACTTCTGTATCCAGAACCAGGTCCTTGGGAAAGGTTCGTGTCATGGTTGTAGCGCAGGGACTGGGCCTGCTCTGGTAATTTCATTAGGGGTCTTTGGATTTCTCATCGCCGATCGTCTTCTGCACGAACTGCTGTCTTGTTCAGCTTGTCGCGTCCTTCACCAGGAAAAAGACCGTGCAAAGGTGAGCTGACAATTGAACCATGAGATTTCCGCTATCGGATAAACTCACGGGCCGCTCTTGTAGGTAGTGAATGCTTTGGCTTGTCAGGTTGATTTGTATTGTCAGAAAGTCACCTGTGTGCAGCATGCGATATCTCGGTTAGGCCTTGTACGTTCCAACATCAGTAGTGTTTTACATGTAATGGACTTCCGCATGAGTACCTAAATTAATGAACTTACTGCTGTGGAAATTCATCTTACATTATATGTCAATTGGATTGTAAACGCTTCGTTTCTGTCCCAAATCCCCTTGACTTGTGCATCCCGTGAAACCTACCCTATGCCTTCTGGACCACTTTTCCCGTCGAGGTACCTTCTTGCAGCATTTAAATAGGTTAACAATCTTGCCACACCTTTAGATGGCTGTTGACTGACATGCTGCGCCCGTCGTATAAGGTTTGAAGAACCTGTTTCTTTTGCCATTAAATGGTAGAGATGGGAGGATTCAATGTCCAACTCGGTGAGTTCTGTCAGCGGTTAGATAAGCCATGAAACGCTAAGATAAGACCATACAGCCAATCAAATGTAGTCGATTACTGTCATCGGCATCTCAAGAATCAAGATCTCATGTACCAGTGTTCAAATTCCAAAACAACACGATCAAGGAGAACAATATTCTCAAAGAATCAAGACCAAAGCATAGTGCAAGGACTCTCCGAGTAATCCACCGTTCAATTGAGCACTACATACTTTAAAAGGCCAGAAAATAAGACTCCAATGAACCAGCAGGATTATGATGCCTCGCGATTGATTGGCAGCCATACGACTGACCTGTCCGCTTACGGGACTACACTAAGCAATCCAACGTCAGCGCTACCGTACAGGATTTGCGCTGCGCCTTCGGATAACCAAGTATTTATATGAGAGGCGCCACTGCATGAAACTAGAATTCATTTTCCACCACGAAATAAGCAGCAAATATGAGTGAGACTAAGAAGCCGTGGGTTGATGGCCCCTTTGCCCTCATCAGCGCCTCCAAGTCTGGAGACTCGGTAAAGCCCCATAACAAGACCCTGAATTTACCCCGCTAACCATGGAGCACTACAGCCAGAAAAACCAGCTGAAGGAGCCAGGAAATGCGCAGCTGAAATGACTGTCGTACACAACCTTCTTCTTCGAGGCATCAACGCAATTTATGTTCAAGCCGTCAATGTCGCTGAACGAGGGACTGCGAAAGATAAATCAGACTTTGCCAATTTTGCATGGTCTTGGAGTCAAGAAGTGCTGGAACATCATGATATTGAAGAAAGTCGGATATTTCCAGAGATCAACGAACTTGCTGGAGTTCCAGGCCTCATGGACGCCAACATCGAAGAACACCATCTCTTCCACACCGGCCTCGATAAGTTCAGAGAATACGTGGACAAACTTCGCAAAGAAGACGAGGAACTGGACGGGGAGAAACTCAAGGGTATCATCGACTCGTTCATGCCCGTCCTGCGAACACACCTGGAGAATGAAATAGACACCCTAGTCGGCCTAGAAAAGTATGCCGATAAATGCGACTGGGGAGCGTGGTTCCAAAAGGTGGCACAAGACCTCGGCGCTCAGGGCATGAAGAGCGCATCACACCGCAACGAGATCCTACCGCTCGCTATGATTCTTCACGATAAGACGTTCGAGGGCGGGATCTGGGGTGACTTCCCACCGTTGCCATGGCTCGCTATGGTGGCTATCCGGTGGCTGTTTGTGAGGACGCATCAGGATTGGTGGAGGTTTGCGGGATGCGATAGTACGAGTATGCCTCAGGAGTTGCCATTCGCTTAGATGGATTATGATTTTCATGAAGTTTTACAATTAGGGAATGAGGGTTGGGTATGGGATAGCGGTATGTTTAATGAGTATTCTTTTTATAGATGAGTTGTTGAAGTGAATTCGAGGACTGCAAGATTTGACTTGATATTTGAGCATCTCAATCTCCATCTTCAAGAAGTCATTCAGGGCAGATGTCAAAGACTTCAACATCTACCGACTTGGTGTTGGGTACCGCCTCAATCAGATCATCCTGATTGCGAATATTACGCGACGGCTATAAAACATTAACTTCAACATTTTATTCACAATGACACGATCATCACGGCAGCAAATCCAATTTCCCATGTTACGTCCGCGGGACCATTTGTCAAACAGCCGTTAGCGCAAGCAAGTCGGCCATTCCACGGCTCGTGCAAACGGGTAGACGGAAGCTTGTCTTTGACTCCATGGATCAGCAACTTTAGGGCTCGTCTCGAGTCCAGCCCGTAATAACCCAACCTATTGAGAACTTTTCCACACGGGCTGATCCGCTCGGGATGTTAACGAACCAATTCCGGACCCAGAGAACTGGGATTGCGTAGGGTGGACCTGGTTACGACGTTGTTTCCCCCTTCATTCCTTCGTATGCAGATGGTGACCAGGACCAACACTAGGTTACAGTGCAGGTGTGATGTAATTTGCCAAGATGACATGCACTCTCTACCGAGACATGAATCACGAGACTTAGGTATCCGTACGAATATCACAGTGAGAATTCATATGCCGACGGGAATTATACCCTGAGTTGGGCTCTTTGATAGGGCGAATGCGGGTGTAAATTAAATTGCCGAACGAACCTCGTCACGTTTGGGCCGATCTTCTCCATCGTAGAGGGTTCTGGATCCATCTATTTGCTGATCGCTGCTCAATTAGACTGTCGCTTGATAATTGACATGTAACGTTTGTATGTAGGAGAAAGGAGAAACAGAAACATGAACAGACGAAGAGGACACTGTTAATAGCCTAGTGCAAACGCGTTTGGAGCTGAGATAACGCGACTCAAGATACGCCCGATTGCCTCGATCTGCCATTTTACAGGGCAAAATCAGGCCCAAACCACAGACCATGGCATCATCAAAACACCAAAGCGTTGGGCGTGACCAACGCCTCAATCAAGTGTTCTGAGACACGGCACTGTACCACAATCGTATTTATGCAGTTTCCAGTAAGGATGAGCAACTAACCACCAAATAAACCTTCGCTAACAACATCCATTCAGCCTAGCGTTGTTGTCTCGCCTTGCATCAGAACTAGACATCATGTCCGCTGTCATAGCTTCGGCATGTCTCCCACTACCTGATAAAGGAAACTCTGTCTGTTATTAGTTTCAGAACAGGACCTTTTGGTTCAATCATTTGGGAGAATTGCTGCGGAGTAGAGTAGCATTTTGTTATTTGCGCGAGGCTGCATCAAAACAATCCAATCCCCACTGCCAGGAATGGACCCTAGCTGCAGCCAACAGCAGTGTTTGGTTGGCACCCGACTTTGCGATCCCTGCTTCCTCTCCCTTGTCTTCTGGTCAAGTCACCCTTGTCTGCTCCAACGGCTTTTTTTTCGCTTTGACCTGTCGTAAAGCGAGAATAGGATTTGACCGCTCATTTCTGCCGTTCTACCATGTAACGTCGCTAACCAAATCGACATCATACGAGACAATCTTTTAAAGACTGTCATTTCGGCACTTAAACCATCTTCTTCGTTATCTCTCCCACGTCTTTTCATCTCAACTTTATCTATCATCCATCCCGTATTTAGTCTCTCGTTAGTACGAAGCTTCAACAACCTTTACACATTCACTATGGAAACTATGGCACCACTACAGCAGGCTCTGCCCTCTCTTCAAATCTTCCTTAGCCAGGAGGAAGCCCAAAATCTGGGCATGACGCCATGGTTCAGCTACTCCGTCACTCTACCCGAGCGTCCCATCCCAGGCGCATCCGAACGAAAGCCCATTGAGACTGAGCGCCTCGTTATTCGACCCTTCACAATGAAAGACCTTGAAGCTTTCCACGATCTTCGCAAAGATTCCGAGCTCCAGATCCACTCAACATCACGTGGCCGAGCCAACAAAGACAAGGACGAGTCCGAACGACAGCTTCATGCCCTAGTACAGGACGACCAATGCCACTGGTGGTTTGGTGCTTTCCTCAAGTCTACTGGCGAACTTATCGGCGAGGCTGGTCTACCAGATGTTCTCAGCATGTCCTCTTCAATTTCAGGCTGGCCCGAAGCCGAGTTCCTTATCAAGCCCCAATACTGCCGCCAAGGATATGGAACAGAGCTGTGGAAGGCCGTTATGAATTCCTGGTGGGATCTCCCCCGTGAGCGAAGACGGCACCAGCTCGTTCCTCTTATCACACCCGGCAAGGAACCCGGCGACAAGGTTGACGAGTGTGTCGTCTTCCAGTGGGAAGCCAGCAACGATGTTGCCAAGCATTTCTTCGCCAAGGTGCTAGCACAAGCGCCAGTTGCTGCGCAGGGTGGCTGCGAGAGCATTGATACCCGAGATGGAAGAGAAGGAACCCTCATTACATGGGCTGGCACTATGATCAGCAACCCCAGGCCGGTCCCTGAGGATGAGTCGGACTCGGAATAGACTTTCATGTCATTGGGATAGAATGGGGCGGCAAGCACTGATTTTTGATATGCGTAGCATCAAAAGCGATCAATCATTATACATGATAGCATTAATTCGAATTAGACAACCATACTGGTTCAATATGAAGACATTGGTACCAGACAACAATATTGCCTTTCAAACAACCTGTTATCTCCACCGAAGACATGTGATCAAATATCACTGCGACCTATATGATAAGACAGCGGAATATACCTGAGGTGTCAGGTGTCAACTTCGCTAAAGGAGGAACCTGAAACAGGAGTTCAAGTTGTGGATATGCATAAACATGAACTATGGTCCTTGCTTTTCAATGCCATAATTCATAATTCAGCCAAGTGTTACAAAGAAATGCGATCAGATGTAATTATGACGTCTCAGTAATCTGATAGTTTGATACGAGTAATATTATCGATAGACGTAGCCTGCCCAATAAGGGGCTCACTACAAGTGTCAGATGACTGAAGTTGCCGGTGGGAAGGGCAAACAACTGGCAAAAGCAAATAAAAAAGAAAATCATTCTGATAACCGGCTTCGGACCCGGTCGAGGCTTTTGAAATACAGTCAGACAAAAAACGGCGTGGCAGACATCGTACGTTCAAAAATGTTTTCTTGTGATCTGTCATCTATCAACTGCTAGACTTTTATCACCTGCTACCTCGGTTTGCCTCGGACACAATGAAGATTTACCAGGATGATCAATTGGTACGTGGCTTGCGAGCCGGCAGACAGAGTTCAGGATCTGCAATTCTTGCAGTAGTTCAAAATGTGCCGAAACTCTATCAGTACGGGATGTTCCAGTGCCGTGATGCGAACGGACGGATGGACGACAAGCGAAAGTTCTTGATGGCCTGTAAACCTTCCAAATTTGTTTAGTGCTATGCCAGAAGGGCTTGCATTATCAACGGCGCAAACAGCCTATCCACAACCTCGACATTCCAGCGAGGACCGTCTCCAAAGCAGACGCAGCTGTCATAGAGTTTGCACAAGACCTCTCCCAACAATGAATGCAAAGCAGAAGTTCCTTGGCGGTTCGCAACCCTGACCAAAACACTAACTCCGGGATATCCCACTGCCTTTCGAATGCGTTTTTCAATAGCGACACATGACAACCACTGATTAGGATCTTTTCCCTTTGATCGATAATCAGCCTCAACAAGGTTACATAAAACCAAACCTAGATCATTCTCTGCAGCCACCGCATGCTCTTGACTAATGGAGCCGGTTTTCCTGTACTCTATTCTTGCCCTGACCATGGTATGAACAAACGACGGTTTGATGTCTTGTGTTGCTTCAGAATGACCGAGGCTCGACTTGATGATTGCTGTATCGTGGTTCACGCACCCACTTTGGCTATGTTCCATGACAGACCAGAAGAGAAGGCCTCCGAAGGACTCTGCGCCTGGTCCAAGGTAGGGAAGGATGTCTTGAGGTGGTAGTGAGACTCGTAGGTAATGTAGTGGATCCAGCCATACGCTGCAGTCCAGGCGATATTGTGTGGTGGTGCAATTCGGAAGGAGATTTGTAGAGAGCAAAAGATCCGCATATGGGTCGGGTAGTTTGCTTGTGTAACACATATCAGCTGCTGTATCTGAGGTGCTCTCTGACACCTCCGTTATCTGCGAAGACGCTTTCTGGGACAAGGTCGTAGGAAAATCAAGCTCAGCTGCCGCAGCCAATTCCTGTATGATAACAACCATCTCAGGTCTCTCATCGCCCCGAACTTCTTCCAGCAATCGCTGAACACCTTCCCTAAGGCGAATATACTCATCGGCTAGTGCCTGAGCAGACTGCGCTTGGCGCTTGCGAAACGCTGCCTGCGAGCGGCGGCCTCGTTCCCGACGGCGCTGTAAAGATTAGCAAACAAGGTCGTAGCCGGTTATGTGACACTTACCGTTAGTTGGTCTTTGACCTCTGGAACGACCATATTTTTAATAAGTGGTTATGTGATTGTCGGAGATGAGACGTCTGGTAGAGACCATAAGCAGCGTATCGGGGGATTTGTCATCTGAAATCTGACCAGGACGGGCTAGCCTGAATCCTTCTGGACAGCGTCACGTAACCGCCGGCGACAATAAGCCCGACTCATGATCGGTTTATATACGCGAACGGCTTTGCATACGCCGAGGGTTACGTGACTTTGAGATTGTATTCCGTATTGCCGAGAAGATATCATTTGGAATAGAAGATGCGGAAAATGGTATAAAGTCAAAGACATTCAGCATCTCAACATAAATTCAATAAAAAGATCTATTCTATCTACAAACCAAAGCAACGCCTGAAACCTTCATATTTCTATCTTCGTCACGATGGTCAAAATTGCTATTGCCGGCGCGTCGAGTGGTAAGTTTCCCACCCACTCACCAAAGTTGTCATTACTGATGGCATTTAGAACTCTCCCGAGAAATCCTCGACAGACTTGTCGCCGCCGAAAAGCACGAGATTAAAGCTCTTGTCCGAAAGGTAAACACTATTACCATACAATTTGCCTCGCAATGAACTAAGAAACCTAGAACCCATCGGATTTCCCCAAGCTCAAAGGTGTCGAATGGATTCAAACAGATTTCTCGGACAAGTCAGAGCTTGTAGGTTTGCTGCAAGGAGTAGAAACTGTCCTCTGTTTTTTTGCCGTGCACCTTGATTCGGGAAGCGAGAATCAGAAACGCCTTATCGACTCGTGTGTTGAGGCGGGTGTCAAGAGATATGCTCCGTCAGAATGGGGACCGTGAGTAATTACAGCCAAGCTGAGGTGATGAGTGCTGACAAAAACTAGCGGCGTCAAGCTCGTTGATTCCCTCGACGTTATGTCCTGGTACACGGGCAAAGTAGAGGTCGCCGAATACCTGGAGAACCTCAACTCGAAAGAAAAGGTATCAGAGACAGACCTGCACTTCTACGGAAGACATATTGACGTTCCATTAGATTCTCGAATACTGTCGGTTCCAACCTGGCTCATTCATGGATTATCTCTGCCATCCACACAAAACGTCCAACTATCTTACTACCACAACTACCAACTTTGACTTTGAGAACAAAACCGCACTGGTGGTGGAAGGCACACTTGATGATGAGATCGTGTATACTTCCGCCGAGGACGTCGCCAATACTGTCACCCTGGCAGTAGATTACGAAGGCGAATGGCCAACCATTGGAGGCATTGTCGGTGATAAAGTTACCATTCGCAAACTTTTGAATATTGGAGAAAAGCTAAGAGGTAAGCACCCACGTCGCGCAGTCGACAGTCTTACTGATGTTATGAAGGAGAACCATTCACGATTGAGTGGCTTAAACTTGACGACCTACTTGCCGGCGAGCTGAAAACAGACAAATACCCTCGTCTTGCACTGCCATCTGTTCCCAAGGACCAGATCGAAGCGTTCTCTAAGATGGTAATCGCTGGACTGTTGATTGGGTATCATCGAGGCGTGTTGACCGTCTCAGACGAGTGGAATATGCGTCTTCCTGAGTACAAGTTTACTAAGGCCGAGGAACTTTTGGGCCGTGTTTGGTGAAAGAGGCTTCTCGGAATGTACGGATATTGTCACCACTGTCGCTTGTAAACTGATGTGGACGTCGGGCTGGTGACTTGTTTGAGCCTAGCTTCAATGATTGAAGTCACACGAACTGATCGGCTTCCCAAATGCACTTCTTTTTCAGTCTGGAACGCTGACCTTGATTGACACGGTGTAGCTCTACGTCTGTAGATGCTCGTTTTCTCGAAGCTGAGCCACCCATATGGGAAGTAATGGTGTGACCGGTACAGAGCCTTGTTAGAGGAAGAGCTCGTGTAAAGTTGTGGCCCAACTTCCATTCTTGACTCGGGAATCGGGGCGACTGATCTCAGCTCTCTTTCCGCTTTTTCATCCCGCCCCTCAATGCCTCCTCGCCTACGACATCGCTTTAATTGCATCTATTCTTGCATAAAAGCAGGCTGGTGTAGAAATATAATCCAGCCCATGCACCTTAAACTTAGTGAAATGTGGTGGCGATGAATCCAACTCCCGTCGCAGGCCTCAACAGCCCCCACAGGTCAAAAAAGTTTGCGCTGACCAAGCCACGAGAGCCTGCCTTAGTTCTGAAACCGAAACACCGGTAGAAATGCAGCTCGCTCGATATTGACTCAACTAGTCACGTGTGTCATAAACCTCTCAGCCACTTCTGTTACCGTCACATTGATGGCGCCGCTATCTAGATGTAACTTGTTGGAATAGCGGGAATATGGTCCCTAGGAATTGTTCATCCTATAGCCTGCCTTAGCGTATCATTAAGATTGGCTCCCTACGGATATCCGGAAGTGCTTTTCGCCCGGTTAGTGAGGAGCCAGTTGTGATATAATAGAAAGCCCAAGAGCAAGGACACAAGGGACAGAGTAGGCAATGGACAGCTATAAAAGAAGTGGATGAGCCGTCAATACAACGCTCCCCCAGAACAGCAGACACTTCACTCCAAGCTAATATTCATATCATAATTGTCCAAGTCTACGATGCTTTTCATCAACTCTCTACTCATCCCCTCCCTCTTCCTGGGCATTGCTTCAGCCAGCCCGGCACTATCAGTCCATGAACTTGCCGTTCGAGCAGACCAGCTGCCAAGCTGCGATGACAAGTCCAAACACTACGATGGACGCTACAAGGATGGCCAAGGTCAGTACGTGACCTCAGACGGCATCACCCATCCGTACAAGTTCCCCCGAATCCGCAAATGCTGGTGGGACTACTACATTGTCGAAGCCAATAAGGAAGTTTTGCCCTGGCAAAAAGCTTCTGGGAATCGATACTGCACTGGCACTTCGACCTGCTCCATTACCCAACTGACAGGCAAGTCCGTTTGCAAGGAACGGTCCGAGAGCATCAGCGCCAGCGTCGGACTCGATATCGAAGGGTTCAAAATGGGTGTTGAGTTTACAGTTACGAACTCTGAATCTCGCTGTGTTCAAGCGTCTGACACTACTCAATGCGTGTGGAGTGACCAACAGTGTCATACCATTTGGACCCAACAGCATATTTTGAGACAAAAGGGGTATCGAAGGCAACGTTGCGATTGGGGCAATGGCGATGAGACACAGTGCATGGGGAATTGGGAACAGACCACGCCTTCGGACGATGTTGATTATGGCTGTGGTTCTAAGTGTACTGATACCAACGCATGTGGTCACACCGATGGAACGCCTTGTAACTAGGTTACATGATGGGCTCCAGGATCGAGGACGACGCCAAGAGGCTTAGTAGGACAGTGGACATGTTTGGATGCCAGATTGACTTGATGGCTACATAGCCTCGGCTTTGATACTTTCCTTACAACATTTCTTTAAGCAAATCTATAACTCAGCCTTATCCGCACTGATCAGTTATACGCATGAATAATGTCTCGTTAAGCGTGGCGCAGCTAAGCAGCTGTCATTAGTAATGGAACCGCCAAGCTCAAAGCCAGGATGAGCCTGACAATTTTCCGTACTAACCTCGCCATGGCCAATAGTAAGCGGGCGAGGTAATCGTGAATTTCAGTTCTGATTGCTCAGAGCGCATGATTTCGCTACAAGAGGTTAGTTCAGATCCGCAGCGATCTCCACTTCATAAGTGAAAAGAGGCTTATTTACCTTACCAATGCTGTGTTCAAACATCAGCTTTCCATAGCTTTGGCCAATCCTCTTTCACATTTATTGACTGGTGACGTATCCGCCGTCTCTGTAAAGAAATGGTAGAAGTCGGCTCTCTTATATAGACCCGACTCTGCCTCTCGGCTTCCCCTTCACCTTAACACCTTCACTACCAAGCCTTTATTTCAATATCTCAGCACTTAACAAAGAGCGAGCTCTTGACAGCACAGAGAGGTCAATATGTCGAACTACCAATACCCAAACCAGCAAGGCTATTCTCAGCCATATCAGCAGCCTCACCAACAACCTTACCAACCGACATATCAACAACCGCACTATCCTCCAGGCCCTCCACCTCCAATGATGCAAAACTCCTCGCACAACTTCCAGCCTCCTCCTTATGGATACCCACAAGGCCATCAACAAGCTCCCAGCTTCCCTCAAGGGTCACCCAGTTACTACCCTAGATTTGGTTTCACTCGACTTCCTTCCAGATTCCACATCTGGAACGTTATAACAGGTGGTGGCTCTGGTATCCTCGAGCTTGGTCCTCAGTTCAAAGGACCTGTTGCTTACTCCGCAAAGATGTTCTCCAGTAGCAGACTCAAGATCAAAGAAGGTCCTTACGAATCTGAAAAGGAGCCTATATGCACTATCGAAAGCCGTCACACTTTCAGTCAAAAGAGTACTATCAGTTTCAACGGATTCCAGTCCCAGTTTACTGAGACAAGCATGTTTATGGATGGTGCTTCGTGGCCGTTCGATGTTGATGTCAATGGACAGATGCAAACATGGCGATGGAGAAAGAGACAGGCAGAAAGCAATTCATCGCTAAAGAGGTTCTTCGGATCTTCGTCTCAGAGTAAATTTGGAAGTTGGGACCTGATTCCCGCATCTGGCCAAGGCCCTCCTGTTGCTACATTTGAAGCTGGGGGAGGAAAAACCTCTGAGAACGACGCGGCAATTGGGGAATTTCTATTCTATGGCCCAGCAGCTGTTGGCCAGATGGGAGATATCTTTATAAACGTAAGCATTGCGATTTTGCTTCGCATCATATCCCAGCATTACATCAGCCGAATTGCGGCGTCGGTTGGGTAATGCTAGGAGAAGGATAACACATACAGGATAATGTGGAATAAAATGAAGATACTAAACGGATTTTGATGTACAAAAGGGTTCAATCTGTATACTTTGCAGGACTCGCTCCTTAGAAAAGTCTCAACTGGGGTACAAAAGCACTGACTCTCGTAAACTAGTTATAGTCGCTAGGTACTACCTACTGGAAATAGTCTGTCATATGGTGGAGAGCTTATTCTGCAGATATTCCAACAAAATCAACGAATAGATCAACCTTTTCAAGTGTTGAGTAAGATGTCTGATAGGTGTCTGCCAAGTTATCCACGCCGAAGAAAAGCCTGCTCTCCCCAGCCAGTTCGCCCGCTGTGATATGTTCAATGAAGAACTGGTTGTTCCAAAGCGGGTCTGACTCAGCCTCCTGGCATCGCTGGCTAGAAGGACCAGTCTGCCAGCAGTCCAGCTTTGCAGCAGTACAATGCAAGACGTCTCCGGGAGCGGGCGATTGGTCGCAGACAATGTAGGAGATTCCATACGCACGACTCTCGTTGTTGCATAGGCTAGTCTTTGCTCGCTTCTTATCCAGGTAATCGAAGACGGCGCACATGGGCGTACCTTCGTTGTAGAGCATGCCAGTAGTATCGTCGACAACGAAACGGCGAGGGCCGAATGCGCCACCTCGGGACAACTGGATATTGAATGCAACGACTGAGCCTGGGCTGGTGGTTGACTCAAGCTTTTCTCCAAGGGCTTGTCCGGGGCCGGCGATAATAAAGAAATCAGTAGGTCCTGCGGCTTCAGTTGCAGTGGTCTTCTCAGCCGTGGTAGTCTCAGAAAGAGTGGGAGTCGTGGTTTGTTCAGTCGTCTCGGTAGTGAAGAGGGTGGTAGTATCAGCCGAGCTGGTTATAACTGTTGTAGATACAAGCTCATTACTAGTGGTGTCGACAACGCTTGAAGTGAATGTCTCGGTGGCTGAGGTATCGACAGTGAAAAGTGTGGTGGTATCAGCCGAGGCGGTAGTGAGCGTAGCAATAATAGTATCACTGCTTGTGGTGTCGGTAATGGTAGAAGGGAGAGTCTCAGTAACTGAGGTCTCGACGACGGTCGAGATTTCGGTGGTGGTTGACTCAACGATTTCAGTTGCACTCGACGTCAAAGAAGACTCAGGCAGAGTGGTGACAGCTGAAGTCAGTGGCTTGCAGGGGCTGGCAGCCACAATGCCTACAGTCAAAGACAGAATAAATTAAGTACGCATATTGAGCGAAAGACTCTAGTTGGAATTAAAACGGACACGACTTGAGAGTAGACGATTGAAGAGTTTGGGCGTTCTGTGGCTTTTTAAAGTGCAGAGCTCTTCCATGGCAGTTCTGGGCGTTAGCCCGCTGTCATTTCGCATTATTGACTGCAGCTGAGCGCTAGAACCCCTGTAGCCCACATTGTATAGGGACTATTGAGCGTAGAACGTAGGGGGGAATTGGTGGTTTTGTTCACTTTGCCAATCTGAGAGAAGCAATTAATTTTTATAAGATCTGATAACCCGAATTGTCCGAATAGAATCTTGGAAGAAAGATTTTGGATCAACCGGAGGCCGATAAGAATGTTATTGAGTAAAAGAAATCCTGAAAGACTCAAATGTGACTGCATCTTAGCCCTGGCACTCAATCATATAATCCGCAGCACTATCATCAAGCGGATTCCAAACCTCTCCAGGTGTATTACTCGGCATAAAAGTCCCTTCATGATGATCCCACTTTGGAACCCAATAAATCTGCCAATTCTTTCCAGAGCCACAATCGACATTGATCTGTGTAGACTGAGAGTTCTCAACAGTGTGGCTACTCTCAAAACTGGCGCTTACACCTGCTACGAAGACCTTGAAGAAACCACCACTGATCTCGAAAGATGCTCCTACAGAGATGGTATTGGCTTCGCCCTTGGTAACTGTGTAGGAACTGGCGCTCGGGAGGCTCGGGCCGACTTTTTGGCGGAAGCCGGGACGTTCGATTGCCCGGCTTAGGACTTCGAGGCTGTAGGTCTATGAGAAGAACTAGCAAGCAATTTCTTGAAAAGTTTACCGGGAACTTACGTCGCCTTCCGCTTGTCGACGATGCTTGGTAAGAGGATTATACCGCGGATCATTTGTGACGCGCACAGTCCAATTGTCGTCAACACTGTCCGACTCACCGCCAGCTTCGCTACGAACAATGCACTTGTCCTTGATGATGTTGATGTAGGGCAAGAGAGAAGAAGTGATGATACTGAGACGGTTATTTGGGTTGTTCCAAGCAATACCAATCTCACAGTTCAGAGCATGATGGTCATGGTAAAAGGTAAGGCCGCCACTAGGGTCTGGGGCAATAATCAGGACGTCATCTAGAGCAGAGTTTGTTCTCCTAACGCACCGGGTTCGATTTTGCTGGTGGGGGTACCAGTCCAGCCGAGAAGAGCAATCAGACTGTCACCTATTGGGGGTAAGTAAGGCTATCAACTGTATCAAGGCATCTTGACTTACAATCGTTCAAATTCGGGCCTTTGTCTCCATAGCAGGTCGCGACGCTTTGACGCTTGCTTAGTGCTGCACTCTTCGCAATGGCAGTAAAGGTAGCTAGAAAGAGGAAGATAGATGGCTCCATTGCTGACTGTAACATATCTACTACTTGAGATGGTTCTGTTTGAGTTTCATGATGTTCTGGCCCCCAGACAACGGTGACCTCTCACTGTTAAATACTCATTGCTTTATTGTACCACATCGGCACAAGCGATCATGGTTCCATTAAGTCTTCACTCACATGACAACTGGCAAGACTGCGCCATAGAGCAGCCGTATGCGGTTCTTGATAAAGATACACAAACACAGCGTTGAGAGACATGTGTCAGTCCCTCGCAACTCATTTCCTAAGAAGGTTTAGCTGATGGGCGTTTGGAATTCCTTTTTACAAAATAAATACAGTATTGCCTCAATCGAGTTACACTATGTCAATGTGTGCAGCCAGCTGAGCTGGCGAGATACAATGTTGGCCCGAGTGTTCTTCTTCAGTATAATATGGACCCTGTGTCTGACGAAGAAGGTCACCTAGATATCCGACCTTGTACATCTTCTGCAGCATATTGCTCTTGAACTAACAAGAAATGCGACATCGGGGCCTTGTTTCAAACTTCGCACCGTCGAAGAGCTTCCTCATCCCAATCCCAAACTTCTTCCAACCTGGGAAACCTCCTCTCAGCGTTGGTGCTTGCCCTAGGAAATGGTAAATGCCGAACTCTGATGCCCTCTCCTTTAAACTCATCATCCAGATCTTTGATCCTCTTCAAATCCTTCTCAAAATTCCGTCGAGCCTTCTGCTCCAGGGTCTCCAGCGGCGCTCTGATAGTCTCCAACCACACCCTCTCAAAGCACCACTCCTTTCCCTCTCCCTCTCTGGCTCTTTTCACTTCCACAGCCTTTTGCAACAACCCTCTCAGCCGATCCTCGTGCCTCTTTCCGAAAAAGTCCTTGACCTTGGGTTGCTTCTGCTCCCACCAAGGCAGCACCCATAAGAGACTACGAAGTCTGGGCGCAAAGATGTGCAGGTCAAGTTCAGGCAGTTTCGTCCCGTTGCGCGGATTCTGGTTATAGTTCGATATAGTCGCAGTACAAAGCGCAACATGCTCAAGGCATGGGAAGGTTCTTAGGTCAAAACCGCCGAGTCCAAGCTCATCGTCGCCTTCAATTCGAAGCTGTTTAAGATTGTCTTTGACAACGTCCAGTGGCTTTTGTAAAGTTCCACGATCCACATCATCAGACAGCCGCTGTTTGTTTGTTTGAAGCGCGAGTCGCTCGAGACGTTTGGGCCAAGCCAGCAGGATCTCGAGTTGACGTGTGCCCATTTCGGGACTTGTGAGTAATCGTGTGAACGGCACAGTTCCTGCGGCCTCCTGTTGATTTCATTTTAGCGACGTTTACGAGAAGATGCTTGAAGACTTGCCTGGAACGTGCGTAGATATGGAGCGGCTCTATGCCACGCCTCAACCTCATATGTACTGCAAGTTGCTTCGGACAAGTCCAGTGTCTGAAGTGATGAACACTGCAGGAGATCTCGTGACAATTGTTTGAACATCGCTAGGTAGTGTACCTGACCTGTAATTCGAATGATACTGATGGCCGGTAGAAGTGAGAATGCTACCGCGAAGTAGGGCGTTCCTATCGTCCTATCGCAATGTATTTGAAAGTCGATGACGTTGTCTAGTAAGGCATAGATGTCGTAGAGAATCGAATGCTCGGGATAAGCAAAGCGGCTTCGATTGGAAAAGGTCTCCCACTGAGTTTCAGAGTCGTCGCTTTCAATTTCTCCATTCTCGGTAGTAGGAGGCACCCAGACGCGACTGGAAACCAGACACAGTGATCTGCAGTATTTTCCATATGCAGGACTCTGTATCAGTACATCGCGGAGCCTCTTCATACAAGTACCAAGCCTTTTAGCTTCTCTAACCTGCCAAGTCGACCTCAGACGTACATCTGGTTTTTCTGCCCAATCCCGGATGTCCAATTCGTTTCGCACAAGTAAAATGTCTCTAAAGAAGAAAGGTTTGGCATTTTCGTTGAACTGGCGGGAGACGAGGGAGATCGCATGTGCCGTTGCTTGACTTTTCGCCATTGCTGTTTTCCATTGTCGGGCATCTGGCTGTATATCGCCGGCGGCACCTGGACGATACCTCCTAGGAAGTGGATCGTTCATCATCGCATAGCAGAAGATCTCCCTGAGGATTTCATTTGGTAGATTGTTGATGGAGGCACCGCGGCTTCCAGAGGCCTGTTGGGACTCGTGAAAACTGTCGTTCATCGCGATGTTTTCGGCCGCGGATTAAGACAGTGTGGTATATGCAGACGTGGAAGTGTGGTTCGTATTGTAATGGGCGATCCGTATGTTTGGGGTTGTTTTTGGAAAGCAGAAGATTCAAATCGTGATCACTCGTTCGGTATGTTGCACTGAACCCGAGTACGTAGAAAATGGAAGGTACCTTAGCTCGGTAGTAACCCCGCTTATCTTACAAAGTCGCCTGCGAGACTGGGAAAGAGGCTGTGCGGGGAACAGTGAAACCGAAATCAAGAATTTGTTATTTCCGAACCCTCCTAAAGGCGCCGTTTACGCCTTACACCCGTGGATTACTAGAGCCGGCACTATCAAATAGGAGATACAACTACTGTTACTCAATAAGCTTTAATTCAACTATGTCGATTCTGTCTCCGTATATGCATCATTGCAGTTCATCGCTTTCCCTGTTACCCGAGAGCCAACAATCGCGTCTCTCGTCTCAATCACGGCAACACCATGGTGCGCCTAATTGAACTTTATATAATAGCTAGCTTCAATCTGCCATGATTTTAGACTGATCTTTAAGGTTAAAGTTAAGCGTTATAATCGAAGCCTCCGAACGGTCGCAACGTCGTCATCTTCCACCATGCAAACAAACGTCCAATTGGCTAGAGCTGGTTGACAGCAGAGAAGGATCTCAAGCTTACCAGATCCAGGATCTTTAGTGCGGGGTAGCTCGTTTTGTTTGCTTTTCAATGCAGGCTATTGATTCCTTTGAACTGGTAAATCGAGATGACAGACTTGAATGACGTCCAAGGCGCAGCTAGATTCGAGACTTGGGCGCACCATGTCAGCTTGGCGGGAAAATCCTGTATATGGTGTTTTATGCCGCTCGAGAAGTCGCATAAAATGAACGATTCTCGCTCTCTGCCAGGCCTTGATTCTGCCGCTCTTGTGATCTTCGCAGAGCCTACTTGGGGCTCACCTGTTTCCTTGGCACCCTCGTTCGCTTACACGTGATTAGTATCGTTGTGTTCACGATGCTTGGCTCTACACTCGCTCTAGCCATTGGCTTCTTTTGTGTCCAAAACACATTCGCTCGTCCAATTAAGGGAATCGAGAGAGCAACGATTGAAGATGAGTATGATTTCATCATCGCTGGAGGTAGGTCAATCAATTCGGTGGCTCCGAGCTTCTTGCTGATAGATAGACAGGCGGAACCGCAGGTCTTGTAGTGGCCAACAGACTTACCGAGTCTGGCAAATTTCGCGTCCTTGTCCTTGAAGCCGGCCCAGATCCCAATGTCGTTGCAGCTTACAAGCCATTGGGTGGTAATTCGCTGATTACAGGCAAGATTGAAGGCTGCCCCGAGCGATTGCGTGCTAACAATTGACAGGATCGCCAATTGATTGGAGATTCGATACAGCGCCACAAAAAGGCCTTGATGGAAGGATTCTCACCTACCACCGTGAGTTTCAATCTTCTAGATAAGGGAAGTTGTCTAACTGAACTAGGCGGAAAGGGTCTTGGTGGAAGTAGCATGATAAATGGCTTCTACTATGGTCGCGGTACATCTACAGTCTACGATCTTTGGGAAGCGAGAGGAAACCCTGGGTGGTCATGGGACGATGTTTACCCTCTATTCATCAAGGTAGGTCTCCATTTGGTGCTGTTAAAAGAAGAAACTAACATCGCAGGGCACCCATTTTAACCCACAAAATGAATCGAAGGGTTTTGACGACACTTACAAAACCTACAACAGCTCAGCCTATAGCGACGGACCTCTCGAAATTGCTCATCAAGGTTACGTCCCAGAAACAAGTATCGCCTTTATGAATGCCTGTGAAGCCGCAAACATTCCCATCGTTGAAGACTACAACACCGGAAACAGCACAGGCGTGAAACAAGGGACAGCCACGCTTGACAAGAACCTTCTTCGCAGCTCTAGTTACGATGGATATCTGAAGCAAGCTCTTGATAGGAAGAACCTTGATGTTCTTTACTATGCGCCTGTGCAGCAGCTTCTGTCGAACACTGAAGGCGACAAACCAAAGGTTACAGGGGTGAGATTTATGGATCACCCTACAGGGAGGACGCATCAAGTTCACGCTTCGAAAGAAGTTATTGTTGCCATGGGTGCTTTTCAATCACCACAGCTTTTGATGGTTTCGGTAAGTAATTCCGCTCCTTTCATCAAAGTCTGTCTGACATGACGGTGTAGGGATTTGGTCCTTCTTCTGAGTTGGAGAAATTCGCCATTGAACCCGTGCTGATTAACGAGAACATTGGTCGAAAGTGAGTTACATACTTTATGACAAGATGCACAAGCTTACTGACCATAACCAGCTTGAATGATCACAGCGTCTTTAGTATCATGGCAAGAGTAGAAGACGACATCCAGTTCTCATCCTCTCAATTGTCAGCGGACTATAGCTTACTAGAAGCAGCTCAAGAAGTAAGAAACCTCATAAACTCAAGTTGATGACTTGCTAACACTGTGACAGGAGTTCTACAACAATGGAACCGGTCCATACACAGCCCCGACGGGTATCACTAACGGCTTCCAAAGACTTTCCGAACAGGAACTGTTCGAGATCGGTGCAGGCGCAGTGGTAGAAGCTGGTCTTGCCGACCAATCTCATATCGAGTATCTTTTCGAGTCGACATGGTATCCTGCTGGACCGACGCCATACTACAAGCAACTTCCCAATGAGTCATACATCTCTTTGACGGCGAGTAGTATGGTCGCTCTATCGCGAGGTAACATCACGCTGAAGGGTACTTCGATGATGATGGCTCCCGAGATTAACCCTAATGTAAGTCGCCGAGCTCTATCTGTCGAAATTTGATTCTGACTTTTGACAGTACTATACCAATGATGCAGATCGTGCAATCGCAATTCGAAGTTTCCACTATCTTCGCAAGATTTTAGCTCATCCCGCTCTGTCGCGATATACCTACGGCGCCAACAACGGCGAAGTCAGCCCTGGTGCAGCAGTAGATGACGATGACGAAGACGCGATTTTTGACTATGTAAAGGCCAATACTATTCCGAATTGGCACGCTTCTGGCACGAATCAGATGCTTCCCGAGGCTGATGGAGGTGTCGTGGATCCACGCCTCAAGGTATATGGCGTCGATGGTCTGCGAATCGTTGACTGTAGTATTATTCCTGTTTTGCCGGATGTCAATATTGTTGGCCCTGTTTTCATGATCGGTGAGAAGGGTGCGGAGTTGATTCGTCAGGATTGGGATGACTCGGGGATTTAGTTGTCACTCACTCTATGAGAGGCTTTTTACTCAATCGTATCTACTGTCATATGAGGCATTTCACCAATTGATCAAAATTTCCGAGCTCCTCTTTCTGTATCATGCATGCGTGGGTTACGAATGAGAGTGGAGAGGCTGCATGCACACTGTTCGGACATGCCCTACTTGGCTATGCTCGAGGAACCCCGTTGGCGATCATTCTGTGCGCTTGCACCAACCTGATCCATCTTTCAGCGTGTGACGAACCAGGGGACTACTTTATCTGTCTGTCAAAGAATTTGGACCTTGAGGCTTCCGTCACTGTGGCCATGCTCAATCAAATCCGCTCCATGACAGCGCTTATCCGCTGACATCCATCAAGCCCCTCTTTTGTCATCCCGCACATGTTGTAGTGAGACATGTCCCATTGGCAAGCTTCGTGCCAGATACAAGCCAGCCATATGCCGATGTAAAGAAACTATACATAGTTTCCCCCTCAGAATACTCTATAATAGAAGATGTGAAGTTCACCGGGGCTGTCGACGCCTCATCGGAACGATTCTTCGAAATCATGGCCACCAGATTCGCGAACCTCTTGGTCCGTCACGAGCAAGGCAGTACGTATCGTGTCGAGGCCAAGAGTGGAAGGGTTTACACGCTGGAGAGCCCTCATGACCTCTTCATATCAATATTGGGAAGTGAAGAAAGCGGAACGAAAGCTAAGCTATGGCTTGAACAATGTAAGAGGCAGGGCTTCTCGCCTCGGTTTGTGGTGGGATATCGGACACTTATCGACGCAAAGCTTTCTCGTGGCGAGTCCACGTCGAACGAAGTTCGGGGTGGTGTAGACATGCCAATCAGCACCCTTCATGGCGACATAACCGGAATGGGCGATGCAAAAATAGGCGCTGGTTACAATGCTGTTTGTCGAGGATTGCATCGAGCGCAGCGCGCGCTGAGGGATCGTCATATGGAGGAAGGGGAATCCCGAAATGCCAGGCGGCTACATAAGAAGAGCAAGGGCTCTTTGGATAATACTTATTGGATCCCATATGTTCACTTTGTCTGCTAGGCTGAGTTCAAAGACTTAGAAATCAGAATAATACATTGTGTTATCGGCTTTGTGATTGTCGCTTTTTGCTAAATTTCCCCTGTCTCTAATTATCCCTGAACATACTCAAAGTTCGTAGCCACATTACCCTTTGTAGCTCTCGAATAAGGACAAACCTCCTGCGCCTTCTTAACAACCTTTTCCAAATCCTCCTTCGCCAAGCCCTTGACCTTGATCTTCATATCCACACGCAGACTCATATCCAATTCCTTCATATCTCCAACGAGATGCACCGTTGTGTCAACGACACTATCCTCAGTGTTTGTTGGCATTGTGATACCCATCTGCGCAGCGCACGCGTTCATGGCAGATTGGAAACAAGCGCCGTAGCCAGCAGCGAAGAGTTCTTCGGGGTTCGTCTTTCCCTTGTCGCCAGGCCCGCCTAGGGCTTTGGCCATGGTGAGTTCCACATTGAGGTTCTCGCCTTCGATACGGCCTTTGCGAGCGCCGATGGCTTTTGCGTGGGCTGAGTAGAGAGTTGGTGCGGATTCGGTGTTTAGGAAGCGGCGGGTTGTGGTGTTTGCCGTGCGCAGGGCTGCGCGACGGAGAAGAGGTTGAGAGAAGCGAAGAGCCGACATTTTGGTTATAGTAACAGTGTTGATCTAATTGATGATGTTGATGACAATTGTGAAATTGGAACTTTTGCGAATCTTCATATATGCTCATGGCGTCAAAGTCGAGTACGTCACCATGAGCGCCAGACTCAGATGTTGCTATACCAACTACAAACCACTTCCGTGCCTGTGACGTCTTTGACATCGCGTTAATATAGTGGAGACTAATTGAGTTCTCGCGTATTTATTAGTAATATTCGCGTCAGTCTCTTTTCATGATTTAGTAGAGGCTATTTTGGTGACCAGCATAGAACAATTATTATTCCTGCGACTAAGGACGCACTATCATGACCACCCGCCGGCTACACACTAACTATTAAAATAAGGTTGAGTTAAACCTTTTGCTGACAAGACTGTAATCCATGGCGATAATCAGGATTATATCGAGGACAATTCAAACTCCAAACCAAATTACCACTGACCTGGTAAGACATGGCCTCCATGTACCGATCGATCTTTTCCGGCACAGATCCCTTCTGCTTCTTATACTCATCAATTTGTCTCATGAATCCCTTCTCATACTTTCGTATTGTATCCTTAATCACAATCTTGGCTGAGGGAATGTCCAGGTTCTGAAGACGCATGACAATGGCAACTGAGTTGATGAGGATCGATGATTCTTCCTCTTCTATCTCTCTGTCGAAAGAGAAGTAATCGTTTGTCAAGGCCAAGGCGGCAAAACATGGACGGATGATACGGTCAAGTTCTGCATCTTCTTGAGGTGTCAGAGTCATGCCCATTCCAAAGAGCATGATGGCCTCGACGAATCTGTTCAATATTAGACATGTCGGTATTGACGAGGTATAAATGCAACGTACGGTGCCCCTGTGTCAACCATTCGGAACTCCAAATAATCTTCGATCGACTGGAAGTCGACACGCTTATCTCTCATAGTCGTAGCAATCATCTCCTTCCAGACCTTTGCAATCCTCTTGGCGCAGATTTCATCCGTCTGTAGGAGTCGGCCCATGATCTTCTCATGGATGTGACGAATACCAGACTTGGCTTGCTTTGCAGCTTCCTGACCCCAGAATCAATATTGAATTTTCTGATGATTAAACCCAACTTACCGGACATGTATCCTCGGCCTCGAGGACGGAATCGTGAAGAAATGCGTACTCAAGGACATATGCCACAAGCTCCAACCGATCAGGCTTACACAATGGCAGCACTACGGCAGAGAAGTTCCCATTGATATGATTACAGCCTCCAAATTCATTGACTGGTCCAACATATTTGATCCAATCAGATCTCGCTTGATGACATCCGGCATCAGCCAGATCTTCAAATTTGTGTCTTCGTAGCTGATACTCGGCACAGAGACCCTGAGTATCAAAGCGGGAGATATCCACAAGCTCAGAAGTTCTGCTGCAAGGGTCCATATTACCGATTTTCCTTTACGCAGAAAGAAACACCACGAACGACAGCCGGGAACATCTGTGCTATTTATGTCAACATCTCAACTGTACCACTTTTATTTATTCTAGCTTTTTCTCAGAATCTGTCATGGCTCCGTCACTGAGCTGGCTTTTTATCTAATGACTGGAAAGATTTAATGTCTCAAGGAATGTAGATCTCAGCCCAGATGATTTCTTAACTATGTGGAGGTTAGTTGGACGATCTCCCTCCGTGCGCAAAGATAGTGTGAGGGAGCTGAAGTTTGGCACAAGTAGCCGCAAAGTCCATGATTATCTTGTGACGTCAAAAACCCTCCGGTCAAAACCCTCCGAAGGGAAAAAAAGGCTGTGAGACAAGAACAGGTGTTATCTTTTCAGCGAGTAAGCTTAGTAGATCATCACAGACAAGAGCCAATCAAGGACTGCTGACTTGACCCGCAATCCTTCCTGTGCGACTATTCAAGGAATTGTCAGGGGAACATTTGTAGCCAGATAAAGAAGCGCACCTTACTAGGTTCCTCTGGTTCCCGTCCTTTCAAGATCGCGCTCATTTTAGGCTGTTTTCACAACTACCGTGCACGTACCGAACCGTCATCCTCACTTCATAGACTGGTACGTGGTGTTATTGGGTTCAGATCGAAGACATACTAATTCTCATTACAGGTAGATAAGACAGCGCATACTATTCATTTCCGCACGGGCGGAAGTAATTCTTGTCAATTTTCTCGCAAGTACCATTATGGCGACAGAAACTCAGACCGAAGCCCCAACTGTCGAGATTCCTACTTTCTCTCAGCAAGAGGCATTGAAGGCTCTTTTGCAAAGCCTCGATGAACGAGGTCATCTTCAGCGGCCCCAAGAGCTGAAAGAGGGCGATGTCCCTGATGGTCTCAATGATGAAGCAACCTTCATGTGTGTTCCCGTTCTTACGTTCTGGTCCGTTGCGGCGCGGCTGATTAGCTTCCAGGAGATTTCTTCAAGGCCGCGGCTTTGATCCCCAGGGTGCTCTCAACCAATACGAAGAAGCCTTATCAATCCGCAAAGAGACACAAGCCACTTCAGCTTACGACGCCATTTCCGTAAACGACTTTGAAGAAGCGCGAAAGATGGTATGTCCACGGTTCATTCTTGATGCTATGCTAACAAGATATAGTACCCTTGTTGGTCCGGCCGTCGCGACAAGCGCGGTTTGCCTATCTGCATGTTTGACGTCGGACAATTGACCTCCGAGAATATGGCCAAGTACAACGCGAGTCAAACACCGACTGCGAGAAGCCAGCATACCGCTATCTTTCACGATTACATGACACGATTCGTTCTTCCACTCTGTGCATCAATGCCAGATTGCCAAGCAAAAGGTTCTTCTGTTGTTAGTTCTGTTTATGTGATTAACGCAGCGAGTTTTGGGTTGAGGCAAGCTTGGTCGTTGAAGGGGTATGCTCAGGATGTCAGTCAGCTTTTGGCGATTTGTTACCCTGAGATGGTGGAACGTTGCTATGTGAGTACCGTCAAAGATTGGACTTGAAAGACATTAATTAGCTAAACAGGTCATGAATGCGCCGGCATATTTTGGAAAGATCTGGGGTATCTTGTCCAAGTTTGTCGATCCCCGAACAGCGGCCAAACTCATCATAGTCCCATCTGGAGAGGATTCGCTATCGACCTTGACGCCTTTGCTGGACGTGGAGAACATCCCGACTGAGTACGGAGGAAAGTTCACCTATACGGCCGGAATGACACCCAAGCTTGACGATGGTCTCCGTAAGCACATGAACTGGACAGCCTCTGGTGACAGCCTACCTGAAGGGCCTATCAAGTTTATGCAGGATCAGAACCAGAGACGTGTGGTATTGGCAACAGGAGCCGATAGGAATGATGTTATCGCGACTACTCAAGGTTTTCCAGGATAAAACTTTAAAGACTCATACCTTTTTTAAAAACGATGGGAATGATCGTCCGCCGTACAATCTGTGAAAGTTGTAAAAGCTAAGGGAGGCTGGGTTAAACATTTAATACAATTGTAAAAGATTCAGAAACGACTTCAATTTGTCGATTCACGGCTCTACAAGTGTTGTCGTTTATTAACTTGCATGTCGCGGTACCGGGTAAGTTTCTTGGAAGGTCATTTTGAGTATTGTTAAGCTTATTTAGCAACGTTGATCCATGTATCGGGATTGGCAAACTCTCTTATCTCGAGTCTGGGGTTGACGAAACTGAAAATTGGAGAATGAATTGAATGATGATGATGATTTACCTTGGCGTGGTTACTGACTCAACGCCAAGTGTTGATGATGCTAGGAGACTTTCCACCATTTCGCATGCGCTAATTGAAGCACTGTTTCTTCTAAGCATCCCAGCTACCTGGACCTACCCATGAGCTAAACAGAGCGACCTGGCAAATAAATTCTGGTTAGCTTGATCACTTGTAATGATTGCTCCAAGTCGAATCTGACGTAGATGGATTGATCGCAATTGATTCCCGCTAAGCTGCCGCTATTGCCGATCGACAACAAGCCTGTGGAGAAAATGGTCTGAAACTCTGTTTTTCTTCCCTTGCAAGCTAAAAGTCATCGAATCTCGAGGGCTATTTGCTCCGTTCAGTGGACCATGACTCCACGGGTGACGGCATCCCAGCGCTGCTTGGCTTGCGTCACGAAAAGCCAAGGAATGATGAATCAAGGAAAATATCGTCAAGACTTAAATATTATAACAGGACTCCAGAACATGTGAATTGAGTATAGTGATTGCCGTATTGTACAACGAAGAGACGGCAAAATGTCTCGCAATAACGATTCCACGAGCGACGAGCACCACGAAAACGCGACCGACGATGGCTACGCGCGAAACCTCCAAGGCCAACATGTCGATCTCGAACGAGGAGCCGAGAAGCGCAACAAGGCCTTCCCGGGCGATAACCAAGCGCCTTTACGATTGAAGGATCGCGTTGTGAGGGTTACTTGGTCTTGGTTTCCCTGCACAATGTCAACAGGTGGTCTCGCCAATTTGCTTGGGGAGCAGCCATACACTTTTACCGGGCTTCAAACAATTGGCAAGATTGTGTTTATCCTCAATCTGGTGCTTTTCGTCACGTTTACCACCCTGATACTTGCACGCTTCATTATGAAACCACGGGCATTCTCAACAAGTCTTCATCATCCATCCGAATCCTTCTTTTTTGGCTCATTCTGGGTTTCTATTGCGCTTATCCTCAATGGCGCGCAATCGTACGGTGGACCTGCGACGGGCGAATGGTTCACGACCGCGATGAGGGTCGTTTTCTGGATATACTATGCATGCGAAATGATTGTCGCTGTGTCGCAGTATCACACCATCTTTGAGACTGAGAGATTGGACATTTCTGAGGCGTTGCCAGCTTGGATTTTGCCTGCTTATCCCTTCTTGGTTACTGGTATTTTGGCCGCTAAGATCGCGGGGAGTCAGCCTCAATGGAGCGCTGTGCAGATCATTGTTGCAGGTCTTATGGGCCAGGGTCTTGGTTGGATGCTTGCCCTGTTCATTTACGCTGTTTATTTGTCGCGTCTGATCCAGCATCCATTGCCAGCTGCGTCCAAGAGGCCTGGAATGTTTATCGCTGTTGGACCTACAGGTAAGATACCCCTGCCCATTAATTAATTCGGACCCGATGCTAACGTTTACAGCTTTCACATGCGCTGGTCTCATCTCACTTGGCACCCAAGCCAAGTCCGCTCTCCCAAGCGATTTCCTCGGTAGTTTAAGCTTCCCCATCGGTGAAGTCTGGTACGCTGTCTCCGTCGCCGTCGGCCTTTTCATCTGGCTCGTCGCCATCTGGTTCTCTGCCCTGTCCGCTCTCTCCGTCCTTCGAGGTGTGCGCAACATGGAATTTAGTCTCACCTGGTGGGCGCTTGTCTTCCCCAACGTCGGTCTCGCTCTTGCAACCATCAACGTCGGGAAGAACCTGTCTTCTCGTGGTATCCAGATTTTTGGCTCTGCCTTGACTGTTGTTCTCGTCGCGCTGTGGTTTGTCTGTGCATTTGCTCATATTAGAGCGATTATTAAGAGAGACTTGCTTGCTGTTGGGAAGGACATGGATGTTGAGCATGTTAATAAGCAGCATGACAAGAAGAAGGCCAAGCACGAGTCAAAGTCACAAAAGTCGAACTAGATATTTCATAGTATGGAATTGTAATGATAATATGTTTACGTTTACTTCAATCTGTCGCCGCTTGCAAATACCATTGTCGCGTGCGAGTCCGTCAACAATGAGTAGACAGGACGAGTGCATCGCTCAATGACAGCTTCGGAATATGAGTCTTTTCACATCCAATATCACCAGATCTGATTCAATTCTTTCGCGACGAGGACCGTTTGCTGTCAAAGCTTCTTGGTGTGGCCGCTAAGCCAGGCACTTTAGCATTGTTCTTGCAGCCACCAACCCCTCGAGACGTTACACTCTAGCAGCCATCAAATAAGAACAATATGGGGTGGCTTCAAGGCTAGAACAACTTCCGATAGCCAGTCAATTAGAATGTCGCAAATTATGACAATGGGTTCACACAGACACATTGATACGCAGGGCCCCTCATGATGTATTGAAGGGCGAGATGCCCGAGAAGAACAATAGCTAGTGCGATTGAGCAAGCAATCAACAGGATTGACCACGGTCTACCATATAAGTTGAAGTCCTTTACCATTGCTCGATGGGTTGTGAAAAGCTTATCCCGATCGCTATGCACACAGAATCATGGCTTCCACGTACTTTGCAGAACTTCACCTTGCCTTCCAGCGATGGGCCGATCATCCCCAAGGTGGATATTTTGTAACCGGCGTTGTACTGTCACTGGCCGCAATACTCTTTGGTGTCGTGATACACTTGACCTCCAGCCCGACACCAAAAGTCCCGATTCTACTCAATGATGAGATTGGAAATGCAAGGAAGCGTGCTCTCGAGTATTGTTTCAATCCCCGAGCCGTCATGGCCAAAGGATATGCCAAGGTAGGCAGGATGTTGTTAGTGAGGCGATACGCTGACGGTTTAGTTCAAAAATGAAGTCTTTGGGCTCGATACACAGGACGGTATGGAGGACCATTCTGGCGTTTCTTGACAGGACTAACGTTTTGTAGGGGTTAAGCTTGTCATACCGCCTGGCTTCCTGGATACGCTAAAGAGTCATCCCGCACTCAGCTTTAAGGCGTCAATTGATAATGTTTGTTCATCGTGCTGAGGTAGAGGAACCCTCAAGCTGACCTGACTAGGACATGCAAATCGAGTATACATACTTTGGTGGACCACCCGAGTACGTTATCCATGCGATCAAAGCCAACCTCACCGGATCCCTTCGTAAGCAACTCTTTCTTCATCTATTTTAGCTATCAGAACTAACTGTACCAGCTGCCTTCACACCTTTGCTTCACGGCATGGTAAAGAAGAACATGCCAAATGTCCTCGGTCTATACAAAGGTAAGTCCACCAACCCCAGTCACATCGACCTGCCTGACTCAGACAAATCAGATTGGACACCAGTCCAAATCCACGACCGTGTCCTCCGCCTTGTTGCAAGAAACAATGCACGTGTCTTCCAAGGCACAGCCGCCAGCCTCGACGAAGAATGGCAATCCGCCTCAACAGGCTACGTCCTCGCTTGCTTCGACTGCATCCGCGCTCTCAAACAATGGCATCCATGGCTTCGACCTCTCGTCTACCGCTTCATCCCCGAACGAGCAGCTATAAAGGATCAATGGGCCAAGGGTCGCAAACGCGTGATGGCGTCTATGTTAGAGAGAAAGCGTAAGGGAGGAAACATTGAAAATCCTCCTACGATGCTGGATCATTTGAGTAATGGACGGAATGAGCATATGGCGGATGATGTCGAGATGCAGCTTCTTCATCAAATGACGCTCATTGCTGTCGGGACTGTTACCACATTCTCCTCTACTACGCAGGCTATTTATGATCTTGCTGCTCATCCAGAGTATGTTTCTATCTTGAGACAAGAGGTTGAGAGTGTGCCCAGAGATCAAAACGGTAACTTTAACCGGGACTCAACCTCGGCAATGGAGAAGCTTGATAGTTTCCTCAAAGAAAGTCAACGTCTCAACTCACCAGATTTGAGTAAGTCCTCCGTTCACCTTTGCTTCGTCATCTAACAATTCCAGCCACATTCCAACGCGCTGCCGTCGCAGACATGACCCTGCCTGACGGAACGTTCGTCCCCAAAGGTACAAAGCTCGAAATAAATACCTGCTCCATCCACGCCGACAAAGACTTCTACGAGAATCCCAAAGAGTTCGACGGTCTACGGTTCTACAAGATGCGTCAAGGGCCCGGTCAAGAGAACAAGTACAAATACTCTAGCGTCGGTAGAGATGATTTGTCTTGGGGCTTTGGACGTCATGCATGCCCGGGTCGATATCTCAGTGCGGTAAACATCAAGCTCATTTTGGCTGAGCTTTTGATGAATTATGATATCAAGCTTTGTGAGGGGGCTAAGAGGCCACCGAATATTGAGTTCGAGGTTCTGGTGAGTCTTAACTATTGTTCGTTGGGTTTGTGACTGACCTTCTGTAGTGCTCTCCTGATCCGAATTACGAAATTTTGTTGAAGAACAGGGAACGTTAAACAATGGCCCTAGGCTCCTAGCGATGATTCCTTGAGAGGTCGATCAATGTGGAGACGGATGGTTCATCAGTCCTACTCTTAGATTAATACAGGCACTCTCAGAAAGGCTTTGTGATTGCACAGTGTCAGGTTTTCTACACCAGTTCAAGACGGGGAAATTATAAGTCAGGCAGTTTCGAGGTGACAGTATATAGTCAATTTGCAACGGCAACTTCTATACAATCCATCACACATATGCCATACTCGTAGTCTTCCCATACAGTCGACGCCATACCAATCACGAGACAATGACTGTTCTGCCAGAATTGTTCCGGTCCTCGTATTCGAGATAGAACTATATGGTGGCAGGCATTCTCCGCAAGCGACTGAGAAAGAGCAGCTGTAATACCGGTGCCGTGTATCTAGACAAGAACACCTTCAGCTCTAAGAAGCTCAACAGTCTCGCTTACCCACTCCTGGCAACGGCGGAGAGGCTTGGTCTTGTCGATACGATGGGGTCCGTTAAACTGTTTAGATGGTGGAGGATTGGATCGACAGATCGACTCCAAGCGGTCGATGTCACTAGCCTTGACCAAACCCAGCTTTGACATTGAGACGAACGATGATTCCTCTCGGGGACTTGTATCCTCTTTCTTGATCTCAAATACCATACCGATCTGCACAGTTCCAGTGACATGGTACTGTAAGCCCGTTTCATTTTCGGGTGATGTTTCAACAAAGATGACTTGATGGTTCCGAGGCATGCCCAAACGTTCGACAAGGTAGACAGTATAGTGTGACATGTTGAGCTTAGGTGAAGAAAGCAATAACGATTGATAGTTCTTGGTATTGATTTTAAATGAGAAAGAAAGCTTAAAAATTTAGATATAGTGAAAACAAGGAAAGCTGTGTATGACACGAGTTGGTTTGACAATGCGAGAACGAAGCCATATATAGACACGTCTCTAGGCGACTTCACGTCCAGGTGTCTTTGCCCAGGCCACGCCCCAAAGATGCTGCCTGGGGGCCCACCCACTCTCATGAGTTTCCAGCACCACCTACTCTCCACACATCTATGTATTGTACTTTTCGTTCTCGTAATGGCTCCCTGGCTGGCATAACTACTCGACTATTACTTTTGATGGCTACCCGCATCCGGCTCTTTGGTTAGCAAGCATGAGGCTTGAAATGTGGTCTTAAATAGACACATGTTCAAACGCTCCAAGCCGATGGAATCATTCATATCGTGCGATAAGGGAAATAATATTCCTATCTAAAGTATACCGATCCGCTGAATCTTGCTCCAGGAAATTGGTTGCCGCTGCCGATATTATTATAGGAGATCCCACCAGTAGTGTTGTACTGGCACCCATGGCCATAGTTATAGAACGATGACCCGCTACCCTCACCCATTCCCTTACCAGGACCAGAAAGGTATCGGTCCAAAACGTCCAATAGCCGGCTGGACTTATCATTGAGTTCGCTGACTTCTGACCTTGTAGATATGTCATTAATTCTCTTCAGGTCTTTATCGATGATTCCCTCCAGGTCCCGTATCTTCGTTAGCATGGCCTTCCAGATACCAGGACTAAGTATATCGCTTGCAAGTCTTTTGACCCAGACTTTATGAAACCTTATAACACTCCTGAGTTGGAATTCGAGTATCTGTTGGTATAAGAGAACCATGCTATGCTCGACCTCTTTCCTGAGACCGATAACTTGCGTGAGATTGGAGGGGAACAGGACAGGCTCAAGTTCAGAATAAAATCTCATTCTCGAGGTGACATAGAGGAAGCCATGCCGATTAGCCTCCTCTGCAGCGGCAGGATTTGTTAAGATGGGCAAAATGGTGCAGACTCCAGCCCACGCCAGGGACGCTTCAGGAGAGGCTTTGACAGCTTGGTCAACAAAAGTCTTGAGATCTTTGATAAATTCAGCCGTTCGCGCAATCTTATCTCTCAAAACGAATTCCCGACCAAATATTGTATAATTGGCTCTATTTTGATCTAATCGTTGCAGGCTGTTCTCAGCCATCACTTGAAGTTGTTTCTGGCGACAATCCACCACTGTGACACTGTTGACACCATCAGGATCCGCTGAGATACTAATATTATGGTCATGACTATCGTCATCTATGTCATAGGTTAACTATGACCTTTGGCGGATGAGGAAGGATGAATTCTTACTTGTTTGCGAGTCGAGCTCTTCCGACAGCAGTTCCTCATATTCTTCAAGGAGCTGTCTGTCCGTCTCCCTGAGACCTTGGTAAGCTCGTTGCCACAGGGAGTTTATGGTATCGTCAAATTTCGTTTGAGTTGTTTTGCAGGTGACGAGTGGCGTTGCGACCAGCGTGGAATTATTTGTCGGTGCTGTTATTGGTGCAGAGTTTGGATGAGAATCCAGAGCCATAGTGCCCTCACCAAGTGATTGTGGAGGTTGTGACCCAGCGGACGGTACAACAGGTTGAAGGTCCCCTTGTGAGGTGAGTGCATGTCGGTTTCGCCGGTCTAAAGTCAGAGAAGACCGCCATTTTGAGATAGACTTGAGAGGCATCGTACTGTCAAGTATCTATTTCACGCTAGAGTTGACAGCAAGAAGACCTTTGTGCGGCAAGGCCCGGTAACAGAGTAGCTTCTTGAAGTCGAATCACTGATTGAGAATTTTCAAGGAGCTCTATCATGTTCCGAAAGATAGCACTCGTACTTATCAGATCATCGTTTAAATAGACCAGAAACAAACCCGACTGAGAGTGAGTAGGTTTGAACCCTTCCAGGCAACGAGGCAGGGAGGAAAGATCGAGCAGTTCGCCTCGCAAGGTTCCCAATCTTTCAATATGAACTGACGTGAAGTATATCAGATTGTGATTGAAAATCCCACTACAATCTCAAGCAGGCTGATGTGGCCAAGCCACCGCCAGGGGAGTGTTCTGACCTATCCCGGAAGACCACGTCAAATATGTGGAGAACACCATCAGCACAGCTCGCCAGTTAAAGCAATGAGTTGTGCAAAGGTATTGGAAGTATTGCTACGGGATCAGGATACCAGCATTTCTTGACATTATACATCCAAACAAGAATATACACAGCCAGGGCGAATGTGACGGCGCAAATTGCCAACGGGGGTTGCATATCAGTCCGACACAAGCACCCGAGTGAGTCATAAAAAGATACGTATCAGTAGGGCTACCACACCCAGCACATGCCTCTAACTCCATACCTGCTAATGTATTGGTACAACCAGGGGACTGTAATCTTGCCCGCCAGTCCTCCACTTGGTGGTAGAAAGTCTCCAATCTGGAGGCAGTGCCAATTGTCTGTAGATTCATAGAGGGAATGCCTTATAATCAAGGAAAGTTCCAGATCGGGGATGTCTGACAATCTTCCGCTAACCCATCGGCTAATTTGTAATATACTCTTCAGTCAAGGCTTACTGTCCAAGGTCCTGCATCATGTCAAGAATTCCAGGGTTTATCGACAAAACGCAGTCCCATCTTGCCAACGCTGCTGCGGAGTATGAAAAAGTGAAAGACGACCAAAGCCTGCGATTTGCCTTCCACCAAGCTGGGAAAGGGCTTACTCAGGTGGGAGACCTTCTCGAACAACTGAAGGATCTTCTAAGCGGCCACAGGCTGGACAATTGCTTACATAATGCCAAGATTCCAATTAAAGCATGCATGTCGAAAGCCGAGTGCGCCGCATCTGTCTTCAGACATGTTTCTCAGGCACCCGAGGGCTCGAGATTCTCGATCTATAACAAGCTTCTCAGCACCGAGGGGTCAGGCTTGATGGTTGAAGTGTTGCTTGAGGGGATGGTCAAGTGCGTTTGTGAATTGGTGTCGGAGACCGGATGTAACGAAGAAATGCGAGATCATGTTGAGGATCTTCAGGACTTCGTGGACAGAATCAAGAGCATGCAACCTTCTGCAATGGTCGACGAGCAAGGCGCAAAATTTGTCTCGATGGAAGGACCTCAGTACAATGCCGCGGGATTTGCGGAACAGAACAACAATACGGGTGCTGGCAACCAATTTCCTGGAGCAACATTCCAGGGTGAAGTCAGGATTGGAAACAATAAACCTGAGGGAGTTTAGTTAGAAGTGTTTACAGGCAAACTTGTAATTGTAGTGGTAATTTGTAGTAAAATTAAAAACTCCAGGAAGCCTCTTCCGGGTCATGTACCTTAACAATTCTATATTCACTTTTACTTAGAGGTCCATGCGCACCTGGAGTATCTTTCCATCAGGCCATACTCTCCTGCCAACTCTTTTTATTGTAGAGGAACACGCTGAATATTAAACTGACGAGTACGTAGACCCCCAGCTTGATTCTGTATTCGCTTTCGATTCATAGAGGTCAGACCATCTGACTATGCCGAGACATGATCCTGGTCCATCGGTGGCAGATTTCCTAACCATGCCGGGCGATGGTAGGAAGGTAGTTTCGTATCAAATCAGGCTGAGCTTACGTGCTCACCATGCCCATCATCTAAACTTAGCCACAATGACCAATTGGAAGTGAATGATTTACAAGGCATCCATATGATGCAGTTCGCCCTTCAAGCGGGGTAGTCTCTTCTTATTGTAGACTCTCAAGTAATCGCACCTGGTCGCATTCCCCAAATCGCTAATCCTCAGCTCCTTGGACACAGTTAAAGTCGTTTTCATACCATAATTGCCCTTACATACGTGTGCCTTGAGATGGCTGGGTCTGCGGAGACACCATTGTTGCCGCCCAGAATGCTCTCCAAAGGTACCCAGAGAACTGAAGATAGATGGCAGAAATTGGAAGACACACAAAATTTCAACACAGGTCGAGGCAACCAGTTTCCAAGGGCAACATTCAATGGCCCAGTTCACATTCAAAGTAGTCGTAAGGGGTTTACGGGCATCCACTCTCTCTAGTCGTTGTCTAACCATTTTAGTCCGAGATTGTTCGCCTTATAGCTATCCAGCAGATGCTTCCAAAGAGCGCGACCATTCCCAGGATCTATCCTGTAAGAGCATACTCTTTCCTTGAGCACTGCTCAAACTCTTGCCGCTACCGACTAAGCTCATTTAGGGATCCAAGAAGCTGTGGATGCCTTCTACTCTCGGACTCTTCCGATTGGTCTTTCACAGAAAGTAGAGAGCACAGTCCCGAAGAAAGAAGTGGTGGAGTCTATGAGCTTTTTGAACTGTAAAGCATTTCGAAATTGGTTGCTGCACAGATCTGGAGTTCTCTTTTGCTTGACATCACATATGGTAAGGGAAAAGGATATGGAAATTCCATTCGCTTTGGGAGCGTCGCTCATGGAGCATATCTCGGAATCAAGCGGTGAAGGCGCTCAAAATGTATACCTGAACTGTTTTTCGCAGCCCGATGAGCTCCTATCTTCCAAAGCCGAGCTACCCCAAGGACCTTCTCAAGAACAGAAATGCGACATGGTTGACACCGCCGATTACTTCATGGTCGACGAAAGCTATGGGAGTACTTACCAAGGTCCCCCACATAAAATATCTGCTGGAATAAAGGGTTCCATGAACAACATACGGATACTGGGCATTATATATCAGCACATCTTCGTGAAAAGCCCACGACGAAAAAGAGCATTGGACGATTACGCGATGTCCTTGCAGGCTGGTTCTGCTTTAGAATTCATAGCTTACATTCGGCAAACAGGCATGCCCAGCATAACCCACTTGCTTCCCCTACTTGAGCGACTCATCAAGTCCACCCCGAAAAGGATAGACATCATAATCGATAATGTTAACTACCTCTCTGGGTCTGTCCGCACAAATCTTGTAACAGCGCTTGAACAGCTTTGGTCATCTACATCGCAGACCCGAACACTGCTCTGTGGTGCAACAAGCCTGGCAGAAAGCGGAGATGTCAGAGCAATCCCTATTATCAATGACACGACAGAACTCAATGGCAAGTATATTATTTCTTCTCTCAGCTAAGATGCCTATCTGACACGTTGTAAGTAGAATGCCGGGATTCCCTGATGTTTGCGGAGCTTAATATCCGTAAGTCGCAAGTCGCGCCAGCCGCTCATGGCACAGCCACCTGGATCTGGACCAATCCGGTCTATCAATCCTTCAGCACTACCAACAGTGGACTACTTTGGATACGAGGTAAACCTGGCAGTGGCAAGACAGTGCTAGCAAGGTCTATACAGAGAAAGCTATTTGAAAATGCTACTTCCACGCGCCAGGCCAATACCACACTCGTTGCTGACTGGTTTTATCATGGACGTCGAGGAGGCGGCTACATCCGCCACGAGTCTTTCACCCGTTCAGTTCTGTATCAGTTCCTACAACAGGACTCTGAGCTTTTTGATGGATATTTCAAACAGCATTATCGCGAAGTGATTCGGCGGCAGCCAGATAATCCACACTGGGCGCTGGAGACTCTTGAAACCATTTTGTCCCAAATCTGTCGTGGAGGGAGAAGGATCTTTTGCGTCATTGACGCGATGGATGAAGCAGAGGATGTCCATATTCTCGAACTACTCCAAGACATCGTCAGACCAGGAACATGTTCGAGAGCGAAATTCATTGTGCTAAGTCGGCACAATGTGAATGTGGAGCGTCATTTGCACAGTGTACCGTCCTTGATTGTCGAAAAGGAAAACGAAAATGACATCAGACAACTAGTTGACCTGGGGGTAGAAGCGTTGAGGACCTCGATCCATTCTCTCAACTTCGAAGGAGCTTGTCGCACCTCAGCAAATGTGCCACGGTCAATACGGCGCTCCGCTGTTCATAGAGCTATTGCAGCATGTCATTCCAGGGAAGAGGAAGTTTATCAAAGAATTCGAGAAGCTATCTTCAGGAAGTCCCAGGGCACAGTTCTCTGGGTCAAGCTGGTCCTGGATAGACTTCAACAAGAGGCAGCCGAGCTTGGCAAGGCGACTTTGGATGACTTAGAGCGTATGGTGGATCAAATTCCAGAAGAGCTAGTGGAACTGTACAAGTTGATCCTACAGGATCTGATAGGTGGGAGGTCGCCTGAGGTGATTGAGAATACCAGAAAGGCTTTGATGTGGATTAGTGCAGCAGCTGAGATTGGGGACGTGACACTCGAGAGTCTGTGGGAAGCTCTCGCTCTTATCAAGACCGATGACGAGGGAGAGTCATTAGATGACATCTGGGAAAGGGAGATGCCCATCCAGACTTATGATGAGCTCTGGAGGAAGTTATACACCATGTGCGGACCATTTATTGAGCTTTACACCCCTGGTTTATCGGCGGAAGAATCGCAGAAGCACCACCGCCTACCAACCTCCGTTGTCCAGCTAATGCATCAATCCGTGCGCGACTTTTTTGGCGACAGAAATGCGTCATACCCGCTTCATTTTCTGCCCACAGAGTCGCTGTCCCTAGTCCGAAGTCAATTGAGCAGATATCTGTCAATCATAAAGCGAGAGAGCATGGAGCAGAACGCAGGACAGCCCCAAGATCCTGAGCAGGTCATTGACCGTCTCGACCGGCAAAGACTTCTGCGCCAAGCTCTTAAATCCGCCAAGATTCTTGGGCAGAGTTTTCAGAAACAAGACCTAATGGGCATCCGGTACCGCGTACCTGTTACTGGAAGTGAGGAGCATCTTCTAGTATGTGCCGTTGTCAACTATGGTATGCTAAATTATAAAGTTATACATCGGGAACAGAGGGCTACAGTACTGAGCCTTGGCAGGCTTTTCTACCATGCCTGCAAGGAAGGTCTTATAACAGCGGTCGGAAACCTTTTATCTTTGGAATGGCTCAGTGTTACCGACATGAGGGATTCGTTCAACAACATTATGTTTGGTTGCATTTACTTTGCTGCATCGCGAAGCTGCCACGATGATATACAAGTGTCAACTCGAACCGATGCTTTTTATCCAGCAAAATGGAGTAACAATCGCATAGGGAGAACTGGGTTGGACTTGCCATCAGGGTTAGTTCAACTTGCGATCCGGAAACGTGGAGTTATCACTGCCCACTCAACAGAATTCTCTCCTGGGTCTATATTCATGGAGTGTTTGTGTGGTAGTGACCGGCTGAGCAATGCGGAAGTATTGAAAAGGCATGGGGCTTTAGAAGAATTGCCGGAGGCGGATAGAATAGCAGTCCATGATAACGTCATAGACGCAATTCTGTTGGCACTCAAGCTGGGTGTAAAGGGTGGGAGAGAGTAGAGGATGAGGATACGAAGGTTTTATTTGCCGTTTATACCATGGATCGCGTTTCGTACATAGTATGTGGTCTAACATATGCTCTGGAACATAAATCACATTCCGTCACTTTCGTTAGAACGAAGGACTACATCGATAGGGTTCTTGTTCCAATGAGGGCCACCTAACAATCCATCACAGTGACCCATCCGGCCACTCGTACTCCGGCCAAGGAAAGTCGGGATTGTAGTTCTGCTGCAGCTGAACACTTCCAGGAGGAAACTTTATCTTCGTTCCATCGTCATTCTCAGCTGGTTCCGGTTTACTGGGCCATGTCCACCTGCTAACCACGCCAATGGATCGCGCAACCTCTTCTTTAAGTCTCACAACCTTATCGGGACGAGGCAAGAAACCACTCCGATCCTGATCATCAGTGCTCTCTTCAAACTCGCCAGGTTCCGCTGTAATCCGCGCGGAGTAAGACCTCTGCTGAGCATCAAAGTCCATTCCCCGATCATCCAGCACCTCCGGCTGATGGAAATCGTTTTTGAGAGGAAACTCTACGCCGCAGGTTTCGAGGTCCTCTTCAACTGACATATTCGCAATACGGTAGTTTACTGCAGCTAGAGCAAAAGGCACGGGCTGGATCAAAATCTTGATGACGACGTCGGTACTCTCAGCTGTCTCGTTTTCAACTTGATCTTCTTCCGCGAATCGATCAATGTACCATATTCCGCCTCTTTCTTTGGCTTCATCGTCAATGAGAGCGAAAGCATCTTCTCGGCCGGCATCATTTTCTCGGGCGCGTATGTATCGGTGTGATTTTCCCAAATAGTCTTCAGGTGCTCGGACGATCTTGAGTTCAAGTAGAGGATCGAATCGTGAACAAGCGCCAAATTCGAAGGCTATCTTGAGCTCTTTCAACTCATTGTCTGTAAAGTCCGTGGCAAGGTAGGCAGTGATGCAATCAGCATCGCCAGTAGGATAAAGGTATACCATTTTTGGAGAACTAAAAGCTGAAAGAAAAAAGATGTAAAGACAAGGTCAATGTCAGAGATATCTTTGTACTCGATTGGGATTTATGTAAGACTTGAATAAGATGACTAATGGTGGCATCCTTCGTCTTTAGGCAACAGCGTCGGCCTAGAAGATCCAGTACCAATCATGGCTTCTCATCGTAGACATAGCTGTAGGTGCATTTACCACCAGAACTATGACTGACATGAGCCGCAATTTTGAGACCTCTGACAGATCTAATCAACAAAAATTGTTTTATCTTCTGTTCCATCTCCAAAGGTGTAGCATGACGTCACTTTTGGACAGTGGTAGTAAGGAAGGTCATGATGATGGATGAAACACGGAAAAGAACGTGCTCTCCAGCTGGAAACAATAGAAATGATATGTTCTGCGACAATAGCTGATGCCATAATATACGATTAAATATGAAGGACCGGAGGATCTAAGCCGTTGCTATGGTTATTCTAGAAGAGGCAAATGACACTCAAAGTGGAAAACCCACCCGGTAGGCATTGCGAGTTTACTGTGGGTAGTAAGTGGTTTAGACCATCCATGGATCCGTGCCCTAAATTGAAGTTATGCAACATGCATCGTAATATTAAATTGCGCACAATGATGTATATATTTGCTTAACCGATTTTCATTAAAGCCTTTGCTTTTCGTGACCACTCTGACAGGGAAGAAATAGTACCGGACCACAGCATCCACAATAGCCAGATAACCACAAGAATCTTACGTCAACCGAATAACACCATCCTGACTCTGCATCATGTTTTATTAACATAAAGAGAACATCAAAATCGCGCATCTCATTACATAAAATCCTCTACCTGAGCGGAATCTTCCGCACCGAAACTTCGTTTCGATGCGCCACAACACGCTAGCGATTTATCAATCAAATCTTATCAATCAGCTGGGTCGATCATGAAGCAAGTGGTTCCGTCGCATTACCTTTCTAGGGATAGATCGTATCGTTCAGTTGCCGGTTAGCCGTTAGATCCCCATCTAAACACAATAGGTTGCGGGTCTGGATTACTCAAAAGGTAAGGTTAAAAGTTAAAGAGTAGTTTACAGGAAGAGATTTTACAGTGTCTCGGCACAGATGAGGCCTGTTCTACGGTACTTTGTGCCAAGAGTCAATTGTCGATGAGCAGTGACATCCTGTTATCTCCAGAAATTGGCATGCTTGGAATGACCAGATCTTAGATATCAACAGTCGTTTACTCACCGGGGCTTGGGCAAAGGTTAGACAGGACAATATGCAAAGCAGGGATGTTCGATCAGGCCATTGACGATGAGATTTCGGGCGACATCCGGGTCTGGAAGTGTGCAGGGAACGGGGCTTCATCCAAAGCCACTTTCCCTTTGCACACTTTTGTTCCTTGTCTAGACCAACCAACAGATTTGAAATCGAACCACCGAGGATTAGAATGGATCTAGAGTTTCGCCACGGATATGACGGCCCTACTGTGTCAATCCTTTTAGTTCTCAGGGACCTGGGTGATAAGCATGTGTCTACCGAGACGGGGTTGGATATAAACCCTGGGCTTGCATCTGATCATTCTGATTGCTACTAGTACACATCTTGTCTTCTTTTCTCCCCCGACACTTTATTCTGTTATTGAAGTCACGTAAAGATGAGGTGTGGTACTGGTCTGTTCATACCAGGAGCTCTGCTCTTAGCATTGTCGACACTACCCTCCCCTGTATCAGCCACTGAGCTTTTACAAGGCTATGGTAGAAATGACTACCCCCTGCCCTGTGCACAGGCTTGTACATGGGCCATGCCCACCACGTTGGATTGCCCAGAGTACGCCAGGATGTCCACCGAAGAGCGTGCTGCAGCTTATCCGTCTGCGGCATGTTTCGGTAATGACACTTCCTACTTGACCTCAATTGCTTGGTGCATCTCTTCTTACTGCTCGAAGACCACCAAGGCGTACAAGGTTGAGTACTTCTGGGGAGCCAAGATGATCTATCAGGCCGAAAGTATCAAGTATTCTTATGCTGAAGCTTTAGCAGAGGTGGACTCCAAGAAGCCCCCCAAGCCTATGTCCCCGGAAGCAACGGTGCTCAATCGAACCATTTCTATCGATGGTGCAACGTATGAAAGCTACTTGAACTCCGTCAAGGGCTATATAGACCTTGGGAAGATCGAATCCAGGTATTCGTAAGTTGACAATTATTCTCTGCATTGTTGCTGCTGATAACTAACCTCGCAAAGTCTACTTGCCTTTATATCCTGCGTCGCAATCCCCATCGGCTTCTCTTTATTCCGCTTCCTAACCATCCCCAAATCCGTTCGAAGCAAGTTCTACGCATACATCATTGATCCTCCAGCATGGGGCAGAAGGCATGCTGTTCCCACCTTGGGACTCGGCATTGTTCCTACTCGAGGGCAAGTTCTCTTTATTCTCTATGTTATCGCCATCAACGCCCTAGCTACCTTTGATGGCTACCCTCGCTATACCCCCAATGCATATTTCCCAGACCGTCGGTATGAGCTTATGCGTCACATCGGCAATCGCGCTGGTATTATCGCCTTTGCAAACGTCCCTATCATCGTGCTTTATGCTGGGAGGAATAGCCTGCTTCTTCGGTTGACAAACTGGTCTTACTCCACATTCATTCTTCTACATCGCTGGGTGGCGATGGTTTGTGTAGTCCAAGTCATTCTACATTCTCTCATGTGGCTTCAGATCATGGTCGAGGCTCATTCCCATGCTGAGGTCGTCAAGGTCCTTTACTGGCAATGGGGTATTGTTGGAACACTTGCCTTCTCCTTGTTGCTACCTTTCTCTATACTACCCTTCCGTCGAGCTATGTATGAGATATTCCTCATTCTGCACATTGTGTTTGCAGTCATTGCGTTGGTAGGATCTTGGTATCATATCTGGTACCTATTCGAAGACACAAGCGGGTTCGAGCTTTGGCTCATTATCGCAATAGCTATTTGGGGTTATGAAAGGGTCCTGCGTATCGTTCGCTTTTCAAGAAATGGGATCAAAAAGGCCTACGTCACACGAGTTGATGACAAGTACCTGCGTATCGACATTCCCGATGTGGATGCGGATGGACATTGCTTTGTCTATTTTCCTACCCTCTCTTGGCGGGTGTGGGAAAACCATCCTTTCTCTATTGTCAATTGCACAAGGAATTATACGAAGAAAGAAGCTACAGTGTCGAGCTCAAGTTCCCAGGCTGAGAATGACGTTAAGAATACTGTCAACTCCAATCAGACCTCACTGTCTAAAGAGCTTGGAGCTGTGGCAGTCAAAAACTCCAGTAACCTGGGGGAGAACAGTGTCGCACGGTCAGGCATCACATTATTCGTCTCTATCGAACGTGGTCTTACCTCTAAGCTACCCAAGAAAGCCGATACAGGCATCCCGTTGTCGATCCTTGTTGAGTCTTCCTATGGTCATGAAGATCCCACCCGCTTCCAACCAACCACCGAATACCCCAACACGCTCTGTATCGCAGGCGGCGTCGGCGTCACCGCAGTCTTACCAGCTCTTCAAAGCTCCTTATCTATCTATGCACGATCATGTGGCACAAGCAAGCTCTATTGGGGCATCAAAAACCGCAATCTAGTCGATGCAGTGAAAGGTATGATCGTCAGCCAAGAGAATTATCGCGAGGAGCAAGGTGACGGCCGCGCGTCGGATTGGGGTCACTTTGAGGCACACGTAACAATCGGGTCCCGTATGGATATCAAGCAGGTATTGGCGACGGAATTGGAAAATGCCGAGGGCGGCACAACAGTCATTGTTTGTGGTCCACTGCAGATGTGTGACGACGCTAGGTATGTATGTGCTGGTCTTGCACGACATGGAGCTGTAGTTCGATATGTGGAGGAGTCCTTCTCTTGGTAGATAGTCATGAAGTTACGGGTCTTTTTTTCATGCGCCTCCCATTTCAGCTACTGTCGTTTGGGTAAAGTTCTGAATCAGAAGAACGGGCCGCCTTTGCCAAGTTCCCAATGTAAGATTATAGTGCCCTCGATGCTCCCCCTCACCACCTATGTAACACGGCATATAGATAAAAAGGCCTGTGCCGCAGGCTAATATCTCACCCGATGTGCCTTATACGCAAAAGGGCTGGAAAACGGAGGGGAAAGGTCCCCAAGTACGACAAAGATAGAATTGGGGGCCACAATAGCCTCATTGTGCCGCCTGGAAACTTAGCCATTTGAAGAATGGTGTATCATCCTGCATATAGTGAACGACAGAGTGCAACCTCATTATCAATTACAAAGGTTGAGCCAACAGATCTGCCTGCTTTCGCATGGGGGCCAATTGCAATATTCGTTTTGGGTAGTTTGATCCATCACAGCTGAAGGTGCGCGACTTCCCGAAATGGTGCTACCTGGCGCCTGCAGGCAGTGCCTCAAAGGCAGGGACGGGTATATCCAGATCGTACCTTTCTATTGAGAAGCCCACGAACAGTCCTGCCAAGTCTTTGTTTGAACCATACAAATTTGACACGCAACAACAATGATCAACGATATTGGTAACGAGTCCAACCATCACAACGACTATGCTGCCAGAAACGGCACGCATACCAACGGCAATGGTGTGCACACCAGCCAAAGCACAACTAGTGATGGCCATTCCAACTCACCTTCGGCTGAGCCCATCGCCATTTGCGGCATGTCAGTCCGTCTTCCAGGCGGCCTTCATACACCACAAGAGCTTTGGAAATTCTTAGTCGACAAAGGCGATGCTCGAGGACCAGTCCCTAAGTCAAGATACAATGCCTCCGCGTACTATTCCGAAACCATGAAGCCAGGAACGGTCAAGACCGAGTATGGCTATTTCCTTAATGAGAGTATCGACATAGCCAGCGTCGACACCTCCTTCTTCACCATGCGCAAGGCTGAAGTTGAACGTGCCGATCCGCAGCAGCGCCAAATGCTAGAGGTTGCTAGAGAGTGTCTTGAGGATGCGGGCGAATACGACTGGAAGGGAAGACCAATTGGCTGCTTTATGGGCAGTTTTGGAGAGGATTGGGTCGAGATGTTTGCCAAAGAGGCTCAGCAGTATGGTCTTTACCGAGTTATGGGCTACGGTGATTTCATGCTGTCTAATCGAGTCTCTTATGAGCTAGATCTTATGGGTCCAAGCCAAGTCGTCCGTACTGGATGCTCAGCAGCTTTAGTTGCGCTCCACGAGGCATGTCTTGCGTTGTCGCGAGGGGACTGTGAAGGTGCCATTGTCGGCGGCGCTAACCTCATAATGGCGCCTGGCATGACAGTCGCGATGACTGAGCAGGGTGTTCTGTCACCTGACGGCTCGTGCAAAACATTCTCTGCTGATGCCAATGGGTACGCCCGAGGAGAAGCAATATCTGCCGTTTTTGTCAAGCCTCTTAGTGCTGCCATCCGCGATGGAAATCCCATTCGAGCCGTTATCCGATCAACAGCTTCGAACAGTGACGGCAGAGGTACGGCGGGTGGTATTCAGGTGCCGAATGACGTGGCGCAGGAGGCTTTGATCAGAAGGGCATACAAGACAGCGGGCATTAGCGACTTTTCACAGACAGCCTTCGTCGAGTGCCATGGAACAGGAACCGCTATCGGAGACCCCATCGAGACAAAGGCCGTTGGGCGCGTATTTGGTCCTTCTGGAGGCGTGTACATTGGCTCTGTCAAGCCCAATCTCGGTCACTCTGAAGGTGCTTCAGGTCTTACGTCACTGATCAAAGCGGTCCTGGCTCTCGAAAATCGCACTATCCCTCCAAACATCAAGTTCAACAACCCAAATCCTGATATCCCTTGGTACTCAAGCAGCCTGTCTGTTCCGACAGAGCCTGTGCCATGGCCAGCGACCAAGCATGAGCGCATTAGCGTCAACTCGTTTGGAATCGGCGGTACCAACGCTCATGTCATTCTCGACTCGGCCGACAGCTTCAAATTAAATCCTCCTGCGAAGCGCGACATCACCTCACCCCGACTACTGGTGTTTTCGGCGAACGCGGCCGATTCCTTGCAGAGGATGATAATCAATTACCAAGAATATGCCGAGAAGAATCCGGAGAGAGTGAATGATCTCGCTTTTACTTTAGGACATAAGCGCGAGCATTTGCCACACAGAGCTTTTGCTGTGGCCAGTCCTCTTGGCTCTCTCACAATCTCCCCACTCAGCAAGGCCGGAAACAAGCCCAACATTGTCATGGTCTTTACTGGCCAAGGAGCCCAATGGCCTCAAATGGGCAGAGCCTTGATCCATAGCTCCGACTTTCCCATCTTCAGACAGACCATCGAAGCCTTGGATTCACATCTTCAGTTTTTAAAAGACGCCCCCCAATGGACTATTATGGACGAGCTTCAAAAGTCACCCAAAGACAGTAGACTCGGTTCGGCCGAACTGTCGCAACCCCTCTGCACAGCATTACAAATTGCTTTGGTAGACACCCTCGATTCAATTGGTGTACGGCCTGAAGGTGTGGTAGGCCATTCCAGTGGTGAGGTCGCGGGTGCTTACGCTGCTGGGGCAATCACTGCAAGGGAAGCTATTATAATCGCCTTTTACCGTGGTCTTGTCACGAAACGCCAGACAAAGCCTGGATCTATGGCTGCAATTGGTATGGGTGCTGAAGATGTTGAACAGTATTTACAATCGGGAGTTGTTATTGCCTGCGAGAATTCCCCGAAGAGCATCACAATTGCCGGCGACACCGATGCGGTAGAGGCGACGGTCGATGTAGTAAAGGCGTCGAGGCCAGGTGTTTTGGCACGACTTCTTCAAGTCGATATGGCATATCACTCTCATCATATGAAAGAGATTGGGGGTGACTATCATAGTCTGATGGAAGACAAAATATCACCCAAGAAGCCCACCAAGGTGTTTCTCAGCAGTGTCACTGGTCAATCGCTCACCGATGCCTCTGACTTTGGTCCACACTATTGGCAGAGGAACATGGAGTCCAGAGTGCTCTTCAGCCCTGCCGTCTCAGCGATCATCAAGCAACAAAACATCAAGAACCCAGTGTTCCTGGAGATTGGGCCCCACCCCGCCCTGGCCGGTCCTCTGCGACAGATTCAGAGCAAGCACTCCACTTCATCGCCCTATTTCTCTGTTCTGACTCGCAATCAGAATGATGAACAATGCTTCCTCACATCTGTTGGCACTCTCTTTACCCTCAACGCTCGTGTCGATTTGACCAAGGCCATTCCCAAGGGTAGTGTGTTGCCGGACCTACCAAGATACCCGTGGAATCATTCCGAACGACACTGGTATGAGTCGAGGCTGACTAAAGAATGGCGAGAGCGCGAGTTTAAATATCACGATCTACTTGGTATTCGTGTCCCGGAAAGCACCGACTCAAATGTCCTTTTCCGTAACTTGTTCCACCTTAACAATGTGCCATGGATTCGAGATCACATGGTAGGAGAGGATATCATCTTCCCATTTGCTGGTTATGCTGGTATGATTGGTGAAGCCGTACGACAGCTGACCCACGTCAATGAAGCGTTCAAAATGCGAGCCGTCAGAGTTAGCACAGCTTTGGTCCTCGCTGAGGGCAAGCCTGTTGAGATGATGACAACCCTCCGTCGAAAGCAGTTGACTGACTCCCTTGACAGTGACTGGTGGGAGTTTACAATTACTTCATATAACGGTGCATGTTGGACCAAGCATTGTTCTGGTGAAGCGACGTCTCATAGCGAGAGCAGTGGGGATACAGCTGATCGGGAACAATTCCTACGCAAAGTCGATACTAGTCGTTGTTACGAATCTATGGCCAGGTCAGGTTTACGATTTGGACCAGAGTTTCAACGACTCAACGACATTCGAGCCGATACCCTTGATCAAAGGGCACAGTCAAAGGCAATTGGGAGGTCTGGGGACGATATCAACTATCACCTTCATCCGACAATTATTGATTCTTCCCTGCAGCTTCTTAGTGTAGCTGTTTCGCGAGGATTCGCCGAACGATTTGACAAAACCATGGTTCCTACCAACATTGATGAGATGTGCATTTATCGCGCTGCCACCGGAGACTTTGACGTCCGAGCGGACGCGTCTTATACTGCTACTGGATCTGTTCTTGGTGGGGGCCACATTGTCGACTCTCAAGGCCAGCTTGTCCTTCAAAGCCAAGGTATCAGGCTTACTACTGTTGGAGAACAAAGTGGAGGGGGGTCTGATGAGCCGACCGCACGATCCGAGTGGGCTCCTCACATTGACTTTCTGGACACAGAGAGCCTCATCAAACCTTCCATTGATCATGGACAGCATATGCCGGATCTTACAGCCTTGTACCAAATGTGCATGGTGCATAGCAAGCGCAAGCTCGCAAATCTCGACACCACCATTGAGCACATGCACAAATACCAAGCATGGATCGAGCGGCAGATTCAAATTGAGGGTTTAGAATCTCTAGAATGTCTTGCCGACAAAGAGATTGAGTCAAGGATTGGCGACTTGTTGTCAAAGCTAAACCAGTCGTCGGGCAAAGATGCTGCTATCGCCATTGAGAAGGTGTTTGCCAACGCTTCCAACATCTTTACCGGCGAGAAAGAGGCTCTTGACGTCCTTTTATCCGACCAGACCTTGAGCAAGCTCTATACTTTTATGGATCAATGCGACGAGTCGGAGTTTGTCAAACATCTTACTCACAGCAAGCCCAATCTAAGAGTTCTGGAAATTGGTGGTGGAACCGGCGGCTCAACTGCTCAACAGTTGAAGTACCTAACACCGCCAGGGAAGGTGTTTTACTCGAACTACACATTCACGGATATTTCATCTGGCTTCTTCGTAAATGCTAAGGAGCGGTTCAAGAACTACCCAAACATGGAATTTGCGACGTTGGATATCAGTCGAGACCCCTTCGAGCAGGGTTTCGACGGTCGAGAATATGACCTTATCCTGGCTACCAACGTCATTCATGCAACCCGGTCACTCAACGAAACATTGAGAAACGTACGCAAGCTTCTAAGTCGTGATGGAAGATTCGTACTCCATGAGTTGACACCAACTTCAAAATGGATCAATTACATCTTTGGCACACTAGCAGGATGGTGGTATGGTGAGGAGGATGGCCGATCGCAAGAGCCATACATCAGCAGAGATCGATGGGCGGAGGAGTTACAGGCTGCTGGCTTCAAGGCTCCAGATGCAGCAGTTCTAGACTCAGCGGACCCGCATCAACTGAATGCCATGATCATCTCCAGACCAGCTATTGAAACGTCTCTGGATATAAACGTGGAGCTCTGGACCCTTTCAAGCGCGGAGAGTGAGGTTGAAAGGAAACTGCGCCAAAGCTTAGAGCAGAGAGGATATACCATCTATCGAAGAGGAATATTCGACAGCGCCACACCTACCGGACACAGCATCATCGCGTTGTTGGATGAAGACGAACCATTCTTTGAGAACATGACCGAGGAAAAGCTTGATTCTTTCAAGTCCTTGACAACCAACCTTGGAAACAGTGGTCTCCTTTGGGTTACACATCTCTCCCAAATACAGTGCTCGGATCCTGGGTTCGGACAGGTGCTGGGTGCAGCCCGGGCTCTTCGTTCTGAAATGCTCCTCAATTTCGGCATCTGTGAAGTCGACAACATGGTGGAGTCATGCGACAAGATCATAGACGTTTTCGAGAGATTCCAACAGCAGCAAGAGGACGAGACTCTGAAACCTGACTACGAATATGCTATTGTGGACAATACCGTTCATGTCAGCCGCATACATCCCTTTTCCGCCCAGGAGAGTCTCTTAATTCCTGACCAAGACGAACCAGTGGCGCTGCGGACGAGCAAACCTGGTAGATTGGACGCTTTGCATTGGGCCAGTTACCAAACGCCCGCACTAGAAGGGGACGACGTTGAAGTTCAGGTCCAAGCTGCAGGTCTAAACTTCAAGGTACGTGATTCATACTTGGAATTTTCATTTCTAACTAGTTCCTAGGACATTCTCTGTGCCATGGGTATCGTTGAAGGTGACAATGGCTTCGGTCTCGAAGGTGCTGGCATTGTTAATCGCATCGGGCCCAATGTCAAGGGACTCCAGCCCGGAGATCGTGTTCTTTTCATCGCACACGATTCCTTTGCTACTCATGTTGCCATGTCCGAGAATCTTTGCGAGAAGATCCCTGATGATCTCTCATTCGAAGATGCAGCAACCATACCTTGTGTGTTTGCCACGTCATACTACTCAATTTTTAACATGGGAAACCTCAAGAAAGGACAGGTGGGTGCACTAGATTCTCTGGTAAATATTGCGCTGACAATTATAGTCTATACTGATTCACAGTGCCTGTGGTGGTGTTGGCATCGCTACTATCCAGTTGGGCCAGATGGCAGGCGCAAAGATCTATGCCACTGTTAGCAGTGAGGAAAAGATCAGGTATCTCGCAGACAACTTTGGTCTTGATCGGTCTCGCATATTTAACTCTCGCAACGAGTCGTTTGTCGACGACCTCATGAATAATACTAACGGCGAAGGTGTTGATTTGGCGCTCAATTCACTCTCTGGGGAGCTTCTACATGCGACCTGGAAGTGTATCGCGCCATTTGGTAGGATGCTCGAAATTGGTAAGCGAGATTTGATCGGGTCTGGCAAACTTGATATGAGCGTATTTTTGGACAACCGCACCTACGCGTGTATCGACCTTGATCAGCTTTGTATCAAGCGAAAGAAGATTGCAAAAGAGTAAGTGATGGCAAAGTCACTATCCCCACATAACTGACATTTTAAGGCTACTGAGAGATATTATCAGCCTTTACAAAGAAGGTCACATCAGCCCAATCAGACCTATTAAAGTTTATCGCCCGCAGGATATACTTGATAGTTTCAGATACATGCAGCAGGGCGTTCATCTTGGCAAGATTGTGGTCTCTATGAACACGGAATCTGGTCCGCGCCTGGACGCCAAACTCCGAAAGCAACCTATACGTCTCGATAGCTCAGGTGCCTACCTTCTTGTTGGTGGACTCGGAGGCTTGGGACGATCAATCTCGCGATGGTTGGTTCAGCGAGGAGCCCGTAATCTGATTTATCTTTCCCGTAGCGCAGGGACTAGCGTACGTCATACAGATCTACAGCAAGAACTCGAAAGTCTTGGATGCACAGTTAGCTTTGTCCAAGGAAGCATCACCAGCGTTGGTGATGTGAACACGGCGATCGCTAGGGCCAACGGGAGTCTCAAGGGAGTGTTGCAGATGTCTATGGTCCTTGCCGACCAGGGCTTCCCGAGAATGACAATAGATGAGTGGAACACCGCCGTCGACCCAAAGGTCAAGGGAACGTGGAATCTTCACAATGCCACGCTCAAGGCCAAAGCAGACCTTGACTTTTTTATCCTCTTCAGCTCTCTATCTGGCGTGGTGGGACAGCCTGGACAAGTTAACTATGCCGGGGCCAATACCTTTCTTGACGCCTTTGCCAATTACCGAAGGGGCTTGGGTTTGCCAGCCTGCTCAATCGATATCGGGGCAGTGGAAGAGGTCGGGTATCTGGCTGAAAATCAGTCCATCATGCAAAAGCTGCGAGTCACCGGTTTCAATGGCAGTGTATCAGAACACGAGTTTCTCGATGCATTGGAGGCGGCGATGGCCAAGACTTCAGACAACTTCTGTCTTGGCTTTCGTCCTGAGGTGTCACTCAGTGACCCAGCCAACCGTTCTCTCTGGAAGAAAGACGTTCGCATGGCAGTCTATCACAATAACGGAGGAGTCACTAAAGCTTCGACGGGTTCAACCAATGACGAGCTTAAATCATTCATTACAAAAGCCAAGCAAGATCCCACCATCCTCAAACAGCCCGAATCGTCTCGCTTGCTTGCGCAGGAGATTGGAAAGAAGGTATTTGGTCTCCTGCTAAAACCTGTTGAGGACCTGCAAACATCCTCATCTCTGTCAGAGTTGGGCATGGATTCTCTGGTAGCGATCGAGGTCCGGCAATGGTGGAAAACCGTTTTCCAATTCGACATTAGTGTACTTGAGATGATGGCTATGGGAAGTCTTGATATGCTGGGAGAGCATGCTACTAGGGGCCTGTTCCAAGTTTTAGGAGGGAAGCAGGCTAATTGATTGGGTATTGATGGTTCTTTTGAAGAATTTTACAGGATAGTGAGAGTACTTTCAGGTTTTTTTTGGATGCTGGGCCCTTGATCAATCTTAAGTTCAAACGTATTCATTGGGACTGAACCTGGCTCACTCCTTATCTCTTGGCGCTTATCGCATGAATGTTCGCGGGTGAACGTTTACGATCTCAATTTTAAAACACCAAAGTCTGGGCATCGCGATCTCCAGCTCCATCGTGAATCAAGCATTATAGACCCGATATCAGATCATCAAGCGGAGTTATCAGCGGATGATTCGCAACGATACCCGTAAGGAGATTTCCTTGATTCCGGAGCCTTAATCCATGATCGGCGATAAGCGACGTGTTGAAAATCATGTTATAGAGTAGAGTTTCCTTGTATGGAAGGCTTACTCCGCCGTCTATAGAAGCCACTTACATCTTATCTATATGATGAATTGTTATATCTGGGGTTTCAACAGGTAACAAAGGTATCTGCAGGTACGGTATGAGAATTAATAGGTGCAGAGACATGCAGAGACAACAAATCGGATGTTCAGGGGGACAAGAACGAGGCTCAATGGTCAGCTCTCATTTCGATCGTCCACCGAGAGAATACAAGCGAGTCACCTTTTCAGCGAATCAGTATGCTCACGGTAGCATTCCGTCAACAATGACATCGGCCGAGCAGTAGCATTTCCAAATTAGCTCTTAACAAGTCCACTATTCAGACGAAACTTGAGAACTTGGTGTGATGATTTCGGCACTCGGTTGTTCCTTTCAGCGATACCTCCGACGAATCAGCCAATCAAAAGCCCCAATTAGTTGCGATCGTCGAAACATGTTAATGCGTTGGCATCCCTGTCCAGCTGGCGTACCTCGCCGCTGCAACGCTACAACAGGTTTCGAGGCTCCATTTAAGTCGTGATATAGACCGGGATGCAGACGTTAAACGTCAACGGCTTTAACATGATTTCGGTCATTGGAAACAGGCCATTGAACAATGACGACAAGAATGCCATCATCTTAGTAGATTTAAGATTTCTATAGCTCATGATTTGTATAAATATGGAGATGCTATGACTGGAATTCACTTTTTGAATCTCCATCCTCATTCCATCAAGCCCAATTCAATCAATCACCTTTCAATCCACTCACTCTATTCATTATGAAGTTCTCACTCGCTGCCGTCACCCTTCTGGGCGCTGTTGTCTCTGCCCTTCCCGCCAACGAGAAGCGACAGACTCCTTATGTTCCTTGCACTGGCCTTTACGGCTCTGCTCAGTGCTGTGCTACCGACGTTCTCGGTCTTGCCAACCTCGACTGCGGTGGTCGTAAGTATTGGAGTCACTGTCACCAAGATTAATCTAACATAAATAGCCCCTTCTACTCCCAGCAACGCCACCGAATTCAGCGCTGTCTGCTCCGCCATTGGCCAGCGAGCTCGCTGCTGTGTTCTCCCCATCGTAAGTCTACCTTATTCAGTTTATGATCACAGTATCTGACATCTCCAGCTTGACCAAGGAATTCTCTGCAACACTCCCGCTGGTGTCCAGGACTAAGGTGTTATGGTGATGACCTTTTAATAATGCGAATACGAGGTTGATGGATTGGTTAATGTAAATCGGGCTATGGATTGGTTGGAATATTAATTTTACCGAATATATATTTGAATCAACCTTTTTATCTACTTTCTCCCTCTGAACTGCTCTTCGTCCATGTGTCTTGACATGCAGGTACTTAAGCTACCTCTCCCGAGAAAGGATGCCGTAACGATCGTACCCGTTCCAATGTTTCACCCCACTCCGGAGACGTTGAGCCGGGTACAACATAACGGTCTTGGCTCATTAACTCCGGAAATTACGCCCATGCGTTCTCTAGCGGTCAGATCGATCGATCTTATTTCCAGATCTACGCATAAGCCCAGTGAAACAACTCATAGAACCAATATCAGTTATGCTACTATAGTTTGGAGCTCTTGTTTTGGTGTTCCCTATTCTCCACATGGATAATCTCAGAATCAGCAACCTTATCATCGCCAGCCCAAATCTTCACAAGCCCTTCACCCTTTCCAAACACAGGATCACGGTCTGGCTTGGGTACCTTCCAAGACTTTCCATAATCACCACCACTCTTGACAAAGTCCCACTCTCCGCCATTATACGCTCCCATCATGCAAAATCCCGATAACTCAACCTCCTTCAACGCCTTCTGCGGATCATCAGCTTCAATCCCGTGTCCAACACCAGGTGACATAAGCTTGAACTCTGCCTCAGGCTTAGTATTGTGCGTCTTGTGCGCTACACCCGCTGGAATGATGAACACGTCTCCAGCTTCAGCTTCAAGTAAAACACCGCCTTTCTCCCAAGCTGAGCCGTATGTGCTTTCTTGAAGATCGTCTGATGTATCGGCGACACCAAAGCGGATAGTCGCTGTGCCTGAAAGGACTGCCATGCACTCGTGAGCCTCTGAGTGGAAATGCGATGATTGCGTGGAGCCGTATCGAAAGATCCATTCGACGTTCCATCCATTCTTGGTGAATGTCTGCCAGACTTCTGCTGGATCGCATTGCGTGTTGTTACGGGTTTTGGCTAAGACATTCTTATAGTGCAGAAGCGGTCTTGGTGAGTTTGGGATGAGGTCGGTTGGAGGGAGATGATATTCCTGAACTTGATACATGTTGATTTGGGATTGCTTATGATAGTTTTCAATTGTGGTCAAGGTAAGCTGGGATAGTTAAGTACCCCGCGATGCTCGCGTAGACCTTCGGAAGCTTATCCGATCGGATTCGTCAGCCGATCCGTATGACGCTGTCGCCCACATTAGAATTGACGGCAGTTTGAACAATTGCCGTCTTTTAGACTGATGCTTTGCGTAGTCTAACTAGTTGGCGATTATTTTTGGGGTAAGCGCTGTGAGGGTCAAAGTGTAGAGTCTCTTGTATATGGGTACGCTCCGCAAGACCGGCCAATAATTCCGAGAACAATACCTGGAGATCGGCTATGGACCAACAGCGACTTCAAGAACGGGTCAGCGAGAAATTCGTAGAAGATCAGGCCCGTGATGTCTTTCAGATTCTTCATTATCAATAATTCTCAATTAAGCTAATTACTATCCATTACTCATATCTATTCCTCAGCACCCTTCAGGCTGAAAGTGTATTTGGCCTGGAGAACGTAAGGGTTGCCACCAGGCTCAAAGAATTGCTTCTCGTCGCGCATCCACTCAGGGTGGTTAATTCCGTCAATGTAGTCCTGAACTTCAAGAACGACACATCCGTACTTGGGAATAGTTCGGGGGAAGTCCTCGTTGTCTTCAAGACCCTGGGTGCGCTTGAGAGGGAAATCACCCTTCTGCTGTGTGCAGCTGTAGAACTGGAAGGCATCTTGGTCAGAGTAGATGTCGACCTGGATACCGGACCAAGAAGAAGCGAGGGTAGCGACGGGACCCTCGGTGCGCCAGTTGTAGTTGCCGAGTTGGCCACGGTTGACGGTGTAGCAGTTGTCTAAGTTGTTAGTTGAGTCTTCAATAGCTGGGTAGGGATTACTAACCATAACCGGTGCAGTTGAAACCACATTGGTTCTTCAGGTCCTCGTTGTTATCCTGGTCGCCAATCATCTTGGGCTTGCTCCAGAAATCATGGACGGATCCCTTCTTGTTGGCAATGATGTCACCAGTAGGAATGAGGATGTTGTCAACGTCAACACGCTGGCCACTGTAGGGCATGTGAAGAGAGTGGTTGGCGACAGTGTTTGTCTCGTTGTTGGCGAAACCGTCGAGGTTCCAGTAGGTGTGGGAAGTCAACATGATGGGAGTCTTCTTGGTGGTGGCAAGAGCAACAATCTTGATATCCCAGTCCATTCCCTCGAGAGTGTATGTCACGTATGACACAACCTCACCGGGGAAACCCTCCTTGCCATCGGGGTCGACGATGGAGAAGGTGATGCTCGAGTCGGTGTAGGACACAACAGTGAAGTTGCGGTAATCCCAACCATCAGGTCCACCGTGAAGAGTATCAGCGCCCTTGGGAGACTCCTCAGTAGGGTTGTCGTTAGGCTCAACGTGGTAGTCCTTGCCGTCAATCTCAAAAGTGCTGTTTCGGATACGGTTGGCGTATCGTCCAGGAACACCACCAAGATGGGGATGAGCCTCGTCGATGCTGTAGTGAGTGGCGTTGTCGAAACCAGCAACGATATCTCGAGAGATACCGTACTGATCATCGATCAAAAGGTTGGTGATGGAGGCGCCGTAAGGGATAAAGGCAGCCTTGATACCGTCTCCAGAGAGCCAGTATTTTCCATCCTTGTCAGGACCCTTACCCTTGGCAAAGGCCGAAGGGAGGAGAGCAGCAATGACAGCAGTCTTGAAGAACATGATTGCGGTTGGTCGAGTGGAGACTGATCAGCAGAAGAAAGTAACGGCAGCTCGGGCAAGCTTTATAGAGATTGACGATGCAGCGTCGGTACACAATGCGGAGTCAACAAGCGAACATCCACCTTCAGAGTTCCCCTCTGTAAGGATGCAAAGAGGTGCAAAATGTTCGCATGACGAGAGGTCAAGGTTAATGACTGGCGCGCCTGATGAAAGCTTGCTGTTGCGACTTCAGAAGTTCCTGGGGTAGCTTTGAAGCTAAACCTTTCCCCAGGTTTTCCGTTTTCCGCCAAGTCGCCATTGGTGCGCGTGGGATCGGGTATATTAGCGAATGCTTAGCGTCAGCATCCATTGCACCAGTTCGATTGTGATCATCGTGCGGGGGAAATTCAGCCTGTTTTGCTGAGAGTCAGACTAAAGAGGGTTGGAATCCTTTGACCAGGCCGGGGCAGTAAGCGATACGGTCTAGCTGTAGATGGACAACATCCCACCAATGAATGCAGTAACTAACTGAGCATGGACAGTTGACAACAATTACTCCGGTTATTAAATGAGAGTTGAGGTTATTGAACAGGCTGAATTGATATCAATTGACCTTTTACTTAGAGAATCCCGGCATTTGTCCAACAGAAGAGGGATCCAAAGAGGCTGGGCATAACAATGAACCATGGGTCTGGATTTCTTGGTGCGGAGAAGTCCTGACGTCACATGGGTACCCTGCACACAAACACGATGTTGCATTGAGTGATACCACGTGCGAGAGAGGATGAAGATCTTTACTGGAAGCAGACAGACATCGCGTGGTGGTGCAAACACGCGAGAAAAAGACAGTCTAAAGTCAGGAACAGAGGATTAGTAGACTTCAAAGCATGAGACATTGTTGCAAGATCTTCGACGTTGGAGCTGTTGATAATATGATTGGGTTCCGTTCAATTGGAACGAGATGTCAGATGAATGACGTTGTGCTTTGGCTTGAAACATTGTCTTGTCGCGTTTTATGGTGGTGCAAGTGTAGGGTAATGTTGAGGAAGAACGCATTGGCAACTTCGCAGGATGATAAGAAACCTCTGTTGCCGATAAATCATGTCTAGCTTTAATTTAGAGTTGATAATTGATGACTCGGTGTAGTCTAGGCTGAGACTTTACACGATAATTCAAAATACGTTGTGGTGAATTTGACCAGAGTTTTTCTCGGTAGAAGTTAGGATTCTTTTTGGTAGACGGAGCTCACTTTTGAGATTCAGACGACAAGATGACCAGCTCCACCAATGGACAGTGCGTATCTAGATCTTCCACCAATAACGGCTCAAGACTAAGACGCTAAAGTAGACGAATTTGCAGATTATCTCTCCGTGATGACCGTCTTGGCACTAGCGCCTTATTTCTTGCGATGCTGAAAAAAGTCTACTGTAAAATTGGTATCACTATCTACTCGTCTAACATATTCTCGTAAATCACCACAAGTAAGCCATAGCGGCAAACAATCCTGCTACCAAAAGACCCTTCGAGGGCGCTGTGAGAACTCCCTGAGACATACCCTCTTCAAAACCCTTCTCTTCACCGCCCAAATATTCAGCACCAAGCTTCGTCAAGCCTCCATCGCCATCAAAAAGCGAAACACTCTTTCCAGTCCACTCGTTCGCGTCATCCGTCCTAAAAGCTCCAAACCACGCGTAGGCTTGGACATCATCTCTGCTGTCCAAGTTTGGTAGCGTCTCATTCATCATTGCAAACGTAGCCTCCTCATCGGCTTGCGGGAGAGCCATTTCTGTGATCCAGAATGGCGCATCAGGTGCAGTCTCATTGTAGAATTCTCGAAGGCTGTTCAGCCAATTATCCAAGCCTAGCGCATCACCGTACCAGTGCACAGCGATGAAGTCGGTAGGACATCCGTTATCGTCGATATCGTAACACGACTCGTTAAAGTCGCGTAGCCAATCCAGACCGCGTCCTGAGCCTGTAACGCTAGGATGACTTATCGACCACTCGCGCTTTGCGTCTCGTAACGGAACGATATTCTCGATGTATGCTTTCGCTGCATCTTTGGGCGAAATCGAACTTCCTCCTGTATCTTTCTCACCGTCTGGTTCATTGAAGGTGAGAAGATGAGTTGAAGAGTCCGGAAGGCCATTCAGACGGTTTGTAAGCTCTGAGTCTGACGCATCGTCGAGGCCATGGATTAATGGGATGAATGGTAGTGAGTCTCCAATGTGTTGTGAAGGCCAGAGTGACCAGGTGTAATACCAGGCGATTTCGGAGTTGTTTGATTTGAGAAGGTTGTTATCAGACTCGTGTTCGTCGCCATGAAACGCAAGTCCTCGTTTTGAAGAGAGATCAATTCCCTCAACGACTCCGTAGAGCCATAATAATTGATGAAAAATTGACTGACGCATTTTGACTATAACAAATGATGATTATTGAGCGACTGTCGATGTTGTATTCAAGGCTGTATTTAATATGCAAACATCACCAATAAAAACAGGATTGAAACACATCAGCCTTGTCAGTCTACGTTTCAAAAAGTCAGGGATTGCCTTGGAATTTCATCCCATCTTGTACGTGTCGTTCATTTCTTGGAGTGGCGATGGCCTGACGCCTTGACCATGATGTCATAGCATGGCCAAGATGCCCTGCCACGATACCAAGACTTGGCACCGTCAAAGATATCACACCGCTTGAGTCAGGAAGCCATGATAAGCTTATCGATAGAGAGAATGTTTATTTATAACCTTATCTTTATCGATACCGGAGTCCAGTCAACGTCTAACGATTAATAAACTGCACAAGTATTAAGAAGATATTGCAGCACTAGAGGAAAAGATGATATTTGTTAAAATATTTGTTAGAACATGTTGCAAGGGGAAGAGCGATAAGAAACAGTAGTAACAGCGTTCAATGAAGGAACCAGTTGCGTGACATATAATGGCTGATTGTAGTGTACAGACAAGATTTAGATGCAATTAAGAGAAAATAGAACTCTCTAGATCTTCTAACGCGTATTTAAATCACTATTTAACTTTTGATGCAAGGTACTGATAGACGTAAGTCTGAGAAAAGTCCCATGTACTTCTGTTGATATGACTTAAGGCTTGAAGTGCTTGACGAGTTTACCAAGTGAACTTAAAGATGCAGAACTGCAAGGTCTTATAATCAACATACGGAGGCATGCTGACTTTCAATCAGCTGCTAGAATATAGTTTGGGGTGTTTGACGTGCTCACCTGCCGATATAGGTAGTCGATTTCTCCGGAGGGATGAATAAGGTTAGATCTCCGATAGAGGCCCGAATATCAGAAAGCGACCGACATGTCGCCGCCACGTGGTTGGGTAAAGAAAGAGGGGTATTGGTTACTATGCGAGCATGAAGGTGCAAAGTCTCGCGATAGTTTCACATGATCTTGGTCTTTTCACTACACCCTAGGAAGGCTGACCAGGTAGCTCGTCTTGAACACAGCCAGACCAGTATCGGAACGGAGCGTTCTTGTTCTCTTCCAGCGTTGATAAAACTTCACTAAACTTGATACGCGGCTGTTGAAGCTGAGGTTTTTCATAACATGTCCAAGTTACCGTTTCTTCTCTTGACCCGGTCTTGGAAGCATGTCAGATCATCAGCACCCCAGATTTGCAAGGATACGGAAAACCTCCGACCATCCCCAGCTCTGGGCGGAGTCTCCGCCTGATGTTCAGGACCAACAGCCTAGAAACGGCTCTTTTTATGCAACCTGTCTTGGCATTGACCCCAGACATGCATGCATTCGGCCCGCGGCTGATCGACGTAATCTTGTAAGCCAATCCCTTCGCATGGAAACTTCTTTGTTAGTCACTCGATCATCGTGAAGGTGGCCATGTCATGTTAATGACGTGGAAAGCGCCGAAGCCCTCGGCATTTGGTCCCATATTCAGAGGTGGGTGAGGAATTGGAGGCCCTTTTTACATTCATAGGGGAATTGTAAGTCCTCGCAAGGAGATTGCCTACTGGATAAGGAAACTGGTCAAGCTACGGGACAACGTGAAGAAACGGCAGTGATCATCGTGAGGATATTAAGAGTCTGAGATTATATGAGACATATCGCATATAAAAAGGTGTCGACTTCCTTCGACGTAAAACACCATAAACCAGACAGATTACACCAGTATCACTATCAACAGGATATCAACATGTTTGTTCGTCAAGTTCTTCAGCTTACCTCCCTTTGCACCCTGGTTCATGCCCATGGATATCTCAGCAAGCCCATGAGCCGTACCGGGCTTAACGCAGAGGTATTTATATCCTCCCCTCTACCACTCCCATACTGACAACATCAGGCCGGTCCAGATACATGCCCCGAGTGCACCATCCTTGAACCTGTAACCGCCTGGCCAGACCTTGACTCCGCTGAAGTCGGCCGCACCGGTCCATGCGGCTACAATGCTAGAGTCAGCGTCGACTACAACCAACCCGGCCCAAACTGGGGCAAGAAACCCGTCGCTACATACTCACCCGGCCAAGTCATTGACGTACAATGGTGCGTTGACAATAACGGTGATCACGGAGGCATGTTCGCCTATCGTATCTGTCAAGATCAATCCATTGTCGACAAATTCCTCGATCCGGACTACATACCTACCCAAGCTGAGAAGCAAGCTGCGGAAGATTGCTTCGAAGAAGGCCTTTTGCCCTGCACTGATGTCGATGGACAGACCTGTGGATATAGTCCTGACTGTTCGCCTGGTCAGCCATGTTATCGCAATGACTGGTTCACGTGCAAGTCGTTCGATGGGAATCAGGACGGCAAGGGATGTCGCGGTGTTGATAATGCGCCGATCAATTCGTGTTATACATCCATTGCTGGAGGCTACACTGTTTCTGGAAAGATCAAAATTCCAGAGTATGTGTCAAACCACACTCTCCTTTCTTTCAAGTGGAATTCGTTCCAGACGCCTCAGGTTTACTTGACTTGTGCTGATATCGCGATTACCGAGTGAGAAGGTCTGGATGGAAGGGGGCCTGGATTAGTATAAGTTGGAGACAAACGCTTGTCCTTCGTTTACCATGGAAGAGGAGTAGTTAATAAATATGCCACAAAGTCGTTAATCCATGATATCTTTAACATGAAAATCTCATTGAATCGAACAGTATTATTTGGAACTAATCTTTAAAAAGTTCAAGAACCCAAATGGTGCTTCCAAACTGTCCCAGCTCTTTCTACCCTTTTCGTCCTCTCTTCCTCTTCCTTCGCTCTCTCGTTGTCAATTCGCATTTACGCATTCCTATGCTGCTTTTTCACATCCTCCCAGAACGAAAAGCGACACATAGGACGTTCCTCATCTTTCAAAGCCTCGCTAAGCAATTCGAAAATATTGATGGCATCCTCAGCCTTCTCACCATCCCTCAGATAGAGCTCAATCGCATTGAGATACAAATTATTCCTCTTTGCTGGGTTGTGGTTTCCACGGAAATGATATAGGAAGAGAGAGTTACCCTTTTGCTCGATCTCATTATCCACAAGATCCTCTTGATACTGTTCCTCAAGTGCGTTCTCGACGCGGGCGAACACGTCAATAATGACATATGTGATTTGGGGGTAATTGAGGCCTGCAAGGGGCCTTTTGGGGTCGAATTGGTTGCCAAAGCCGTTTACATCGTCAATGAAGTCTTCTCGGATACGGCTGAGGAGTTCATATTCAGCCGATTTGTTGTTCTCAAACTCGGGTAGATCCTTCGGATCGGTTGTTGATGATTCGGGTATCGGTGTTTGAGGAGTAGATCCTTCCAAGGATACGGGCACAACAACGGATTGTGTTAGTGGCTCCTCTGCTTTACGGTCTCTGCCACCATCGCCTTCAGTTGATATCTCGGTCTGTTCCAACCACACTGTTTCTGAGCTATGCGTCCTGCTGGCCAGTCTCAGCATACGTATATCTTCCTCTGAACGAATCCCTTCATCGGTAACCTTTTCCCAGTCCCAGCCAACTCTTCGATAGGCTGTTATGGTAGTCTCCAAGTTGAAAGTGTTGCACTTGGCCAAGTCCCAGTAATCGTGCATGTCCCTCCCAGAGATATGTGTGCGCGTGCCTGATTTGGTCTCGTGTAGCTTTGCTAACAATGCACGGGTTTTACCCACAGGAACCGGCATCCTTTGAGTTTCTATCTCTTCCTTTGTAAAGAAACATTTCTCAAACAAGATCTCCAGACCTTCCCAGAGAGGAATTCGCTCCGTCAGATACCTGGTCCCCTTAAGATATCGGTAAAGACGTATCAAGAGCAATGGTTCGCGCATCTCTTGCCATAGATGCATGAACGGTTTATACGACAGTGACAATGCCTCTTCGAGTCCGGCACCACATAGGAATGGCGAGAAATCTTGCAGCCCATGTTTGGTATTATTAGCAAATAGCGATGGAGGTGTGTTCTGGAACTCGTTCTCGTATTTTACTTCGACCGTCTGGTTCCTTGCATTTTTGGCTTTGAGTGGGAACCTGCCAGCAATGTCCTTCACAAGTTCCTGGTCTTTGGAGTAAATGTGTGAACCAAGGAATTTGGCAAAGTGAAGGTTGACCTGGTCAATACCAGCCCGGGTCTGTGCATGACCGGTGGCATCATGACAAGATGGTATTCCCAACGTCCACAAAACACTGAGTGAAAATGGGTAACCGCCAAAGGAATTCTTCTGCTTACGATCCATGAATAGATCGATGTCGCGAGTTGCTGAAAACGTTGCTGGGTCTTGCAGACGGTGACCAGCGTCGGCAGAATTATACCATCCCTTGAAAACGGTGAAAGAGTCCACGATGCATTGGAGCTGGAAAACGTGACGGGGTTGAATCATCTCCTCAATCTTAGTAGTCGGCTGATTCGGGGTTTGCATTGCCAAGGTTGTAATTTCGGCGGCGAAGTCATTAAGACCGAAGATTGCCCTAAGATCTTCTAGGTCGTTGGCTGCCAACCAATTGATATCTTCCAGCTTTTGACTTTGATCAATCTTATCGTTGCGCAGTCTCCTAGGGTTTGAACACACGTTGACTAGGTCGAAAAGCCACCGGATGGTGTAGCTTCGTCTCCAGCTCATTCGTTCCTCTTCAGATGCCGCTGCCAGGTCGAGGTTTTGATCCCAGGTACCAAGACTCCTCTTCATACCTTGCGTTGGCCTCCCAGTCCTGTTCATTTGGTGATTCTCAAGGAAGTCTTTCAGAATCTCATACATGTTCCATAGGAACTGCTCCTTGATATCCGAAACCACTCTAGGGTTCGTCCGTTCCTCAGGCGTCAAAGCCTCCAGTTGAAACCTCCCCTGGGCTTGATCGATACCACCTCCGGTAAGAGTGTTGATGAGATTCAGATAAGACGTTTTCTTCTCGGGAAAACGAACAGCCATCTGAGAAGTCGTTTTGCTCATCATGGAGAAGGCAACCCTGGATACACCAGCTGCCGCAGCGGTGTTAACACCCTCGTAAGCAGCCTGTTGCCAGGTATCTTGGACGAATCGTCGAAGCTCGATCCATTGCTGAACCGCGGAGTATGTAGCAAGTAAATAGCTGTCTCCGCCATCGGCGACTCGAATCTCCTCGAAGGGAATTGGCTTGTAAGGTTCGTCTTCAGGCTTCGGTGCCTCGGTTCTGTTCTTGGATTTGTTCGGCTTCTTTCCGCCCTTTCGCCCTCCCTTCTTCCCCTTTCCTTTTTTACCACGTCCTTGTTGTCGTCCTTGTTGTGACGATGGTCCGGCCTCGGCGTCTGACTTCTCTTCACCCTCAGATGCTTCACCGGCTTCACCGGTTTCAACCTCTAGTTTGTCGTATTTACCGATGACAAACCTTTCAACCTCCTCGACGGACACTTCCACAGAAACCTGGTTGTTCTTCTCCCATTCTGGGCCATTAAGACGATTGTAACACCTTTCGATAGTGCGAATGAAGGCTTGATGGGTAGCATTACTCTCAACCAATTCGGGACTGTTGATGAACCCTGAGAGTTCATCGTACTTCTTCCCGGCGCTCTTTCTCTTGTCGATAGCGGATTTCAAACAGTTGTAAACGAACGTTTCACCCTTTGAGAGGTACCCTTGTGGGGAAAGGTGGCCTTGTTCAACCAAGAATTCGGTCAGAGTGATAAAATCGTTCGTAGAGATCTCTTTGGACCTCTGAAGCGCATATTTCGGTCGGTCTTCTGATTCTCTGTTGTTGTTCAGGTTTATTTTAATGAAGTCTGAAGTGTGCACCAGCCAGTAAGCGAAGATGCTGGTGTCCTGTTTGTAGGCGATATACAGTGAGTCAGAAATCATCTTGGTCACGTATGACATGAATTCATGAATACTGAGGGAAAATGTGATAAACAAGGTAATTGAGATGGTGTTGTAAATTGAAACGCGACAGTGAGTGTCGAAGAAGTACGTTGATGAGAGTTGGCAATACCTAAACTTAAAATATCTTCCAGTGTGGTGGGACTGATAATGGACTAGCGCTATCCACAGTTGGCTTGAGCGCCATGGGTATCTGAATAGAACAAAGAGCTTTCCTCATTGTTCAATGGTGCTTACGACAATGCAGTGCTGATTGACCGCCATAAGCTCGGAGACATCAATAGACAAAGAAAAGCACTTGATTGCCAGCCCTCGGCTAGAGAAGTGGACGATCAAGACAAGGGCACGAAACGTTGAACAAAGAACTCGAAGTGTTTGTTAGGCACATTAAGTTCGTCTAGATATAACAATAGATTTAGCTCAACAGCCACTTGCGTAGTGACCTAAACTCGAGTTGCCCTCAGATTCATTCATTGTCTCCAAATCAAGAGCTAGTAGGCATACTCGTCAACTTCTCTCCCGTACTAGCCTCATCCGCTCTCCAAAGCGAGGTTACAGTCTTCCACTGTGTATAAAATCTCAACCCATCCTTTCCATAAAAGTTGGCCAATCCTGTTCCAGCCACACTTCGCTTGTTACCCGTGAATGAGAACATGGGTAGAGGAACAGGGATGGGCACGTTGATGCCAACTTGTCCAGCGTCAATTTCTTGCTGGAACAAAGAAGCCTTGGCGCCGTTGTTGGTAAAGATCACCGCGCCATTGCCCCATGCGTTGGCATTGATAATCTCGATTCCTGATTGAAGAGTTGAGGCCTCCATGCACAGGAGGACGGGACCAAAGATCTCTTCGCGGTAGCATTCCATTTCGGGGGTGACACCTGCAATGACAGTCGGGCCGACCTGTGATTGTTAGCTTAGACTCTCAGTGTTAGAATGGTGACTTACCCAGTTGCCATCTGGGAAACCCTCAGGCTTCCATCCTCTTCCATCAAGAAGAATCTTGGCTCCCTCCTTTTCAGCACTAGTAATAAGAGCCTCGCATCGATCACGAGCCTGAGGCGTAATAAGTGGACCAAAGTCAGACTTGGAATCGAATCCACTACCAGCGATATGATTCTTTGCCTTTGTCACAAGATCGTCTAACCATTGCTTCGCATCGCCCAGGGTGATCAAAACACTCAAAGCCATGCATCTTTGTCCAGCAGCGCCAAAAGCAGCCCCGGCAATCGAGTCAAGGGCGTGGTCTTTGTTTGCGTCTGAGCTCAAAAGCGCATGGTTCTTTGCGCCGAGGTTAGCCTGGACTCGCTTTCCATTGGCTGAACCCCGTTGGTAGATGTATTCTCCAGCTGCGTTGGATCCAACAAAGGAAATGGCTTGAATTTCTGGTTCATCGAGGAGGAAGTTGACCGTGTCCTTTGATCCGTGCACGACATTGACGACACCAGGAGGAAAGCCAGCCTCTCTGCACAGCTCAGCAATCATCATGGCAGCTCCGGGGTCACGCTCTGATGGCTTGACAATCATGCAGTTTCCAGTGACTGTAGCCAAGGGCAGGGACCACAAAGGAATCATGGCGGGAAAGTTGAAAGGACAAATGGCAGCAGTGATACCCAGAGGCTGTCGGTAAGACCTTGTCTCCATATCCTTTGCAACCTCAAGTACCTCTCCAGTAAGCTGGGTGGTAATTCCACAGGCCGTCTCGCAAACCTGCAATCCACGCAGAACATCACCCTTGGCATCAGCAAAAGTCTTTCCTTGCTCAGTAACAATGCTTGTCGCGAGATTATCCATATGTTCACGGATCAAGTGCGTCAGCTTAAACATGATCTGCTGACGCTTAATGATGCTCGTCCTCTTCCAAGCTGGAAAAGCAGCCTTTGCTGAGCGGACTGCTTCTTGAAGTTCATCAGTTGTGCTTTCAGGAACACGAGTGATGGTGTTGTTGGTAGCTGGGTCATGAACGTCGATCCATTTCGTCGTCTTTGAGGACACGAGTTTGTTGTCGATGAAGTTTTGGGTATCTTGGGGCGAAGATAACTTCTCGTGGTTCCCGGGATAGATGACTGACTTGTAGATTGAAGTTGAAGGCATTTTGACAGATTATTACGTTGATGAACGAGGAAAGAAGTTGTTTTACAGATTGATATATAAAAGGCGGAAACCTTCCTGATACACGTAATATGAGACGGCCGGCTCCGGAGGCAGACCGACAGTCCCGTTTATTTACCCCGCACTCTTTTACTTGGAGTTCTGGGTCTTGTGACAGCTTATCTAGTGCTAAGCGGGGCCGACAGCCGCTGTATCTGGCCTCTAAATGTCATTGAACAGGGCAAGCCTATGATAACTGTCCGTTCAAGACATTGTCGTGTTTGTGTTACTGTTAACCTAAGCTGTAGGATACGTGGCAGGTTGGCAGTCTTTCTAGAGAGGTCCCCTGCAAATTGGCGAGCGGTCTGCTAAGTCCTGTTACCAGTGGGTGTAATCAGCGCTAATTGTACCGCCAGTGCACTGCCTAGAGAACACCGGCTGCGGTTCCCTTTGGGCCGGTTTCGCTTCCGGACCCACATTGACGATAACGATGGCACTTCCTACGCAACACAATAGAGCTGAAGGAAACTGAACACTACTGACTTGATAGATTTGAGGCTAATGTTAAAGAGAAGTGTATATCATTCATGCTAGATAAAGGTGTATTGTACTCTAGGCGCCAAGGAGAGGGAAATGAATGGAGCCTCGTTGTTAGGAATTCCAATTAGAGATGGACATTGCCCTATGGCTATGACCACAGGTAGCGAGAGATAACTCTCAGATACCTAAATTACAATACTATTTAACGCTTTCAGAACTATTCGAATAATGATAAACTCCAAGAGAGGAAGTAACTGTCACTAAAAAAATGACAAACGTTACATTGCAGTTGGGACATAAAATTAACTGTAATAACAAACAAACAGGGATCTTACTATATACACTATTGTACAAATAAAGTATATACAGATACAAGTTAGAAGTGTCTTTCCTCATGGACTACATAGCACTTGACGGTTCAGAGACATCTGCCTAATCGTCATGCAAGATTGCGTCACGTGCAAGCGCTTCAATGACCAGGGAACCGTGAATTTCCATAAAACACAAACGTGAACCCTACAACCACCGAAACCATGGAAGTCGGTCTTTTGCCTCTCAATGAGCAGATATCTCGCTTCAAAGATGCCATTCAACAAAACAAAACACTTATGACAGTTCTGGAACGCGCAGCCGGGATGGATCTTCCAAATTGGTACCTCGCAGCTGGTGCACTCACCCAAACCGTCTGGAATGTCGTCACAGAGAAAGATCCAGAACAAGGCATTGATGACTATGACCTGATTTATTTTGACGGCTCAGATCTCTCATGGGAAGCCGAAGACCAAATCATTCAAAAAGGAAAAACGATCTTTGCGGATATTCCAGTTGAAGTTGAGATTCGGAATCAAGCCCGCGTCCATCTTTGGTACGAGAAGAAATTCGGCAAGCCGTGCCCTCAGCATCGTTCTTCTGAAGGTTCAATGTTGACTTGGGGAACTAACACGGCCTTGATCGGTGTCAGATTGAGGAATGATGGGGAATGGGATATTTATGCGCCGTGGGGACTTTCTGATATGTTCAGACTTATTGTGAGGCCTAATCAGCAGATCATGACGGAGGAGACGTGGAATAAAAAGGTCCAGAGGTGGATCAAGATTTGGCCTGAGATTACAGTCATGCCGTGGAAATAGTGTATCTATAGACTTCAACAGATAAAGGTAGTTGATCTCAACTATTGTACTAGAGCTGTGAAAAAGAACAATGTTGGACACCTGTCTAGAGCTCAACCTTTGGACCAACGTATACCTTGTTGGCAAACAAGAAATAATAAATCGTAGCAAGAATCGCAATTCCGCCAGTCATCAAAGGAGCATAGTTCATACTCGCAGCATCAACAGGAGTCTGAGGTGGCCACAAGCTAAAGAACCATACGATAAAGATAAACATGCATGCAAAGGTATTGTTCAAAATACCAAATATTCCCTTGAGATGCCAAGGACCCCACTCGAGAACCTGTCCGTCGCCGGCAATGTTCCTGATCTTGTAGTCCCTATCGCAGCGACGATAGAGGAGGAGAATGGCGGGCATGAAGTAGGATGCGTAAAGACCAGAAATTGCAACTGAAACGATGGCGTTGTAGACGACTGTTGAGCCGAGGTTGATAAGTCCGATGAGGCAGGAAATGAGACATGTGATTGAAATGGACCAGACTGGCATGTTGGTTCGAGGTTCCACCTAAACTGTTAGCTGTGGAGATACATGAGATGAAAGGGCGTACCTTGGAGAGAGTGCTTGAGAAAGGCATAGCATTGTCACGAGCAAATGCCCATAGCATTCGTGATGTGGAAGCGATGACACCGACGGTAGCGGATAGTGTCATGAGGACGATGAGAGATGCCATACCCGCTGTTCCGTTGATGGATCCTGTTGCTTGGTAGAAGATCTCCATAAAAGGATATCCAGTCGGAGTTTCAACAGCTGCATCAATGTCGGTGGCGCTGTAAAGCATGGCAATGATCATGCCGAAGCCCAGGAGGCCGTTGATGGTGATACTGCCCATGATGGAGCGGGGTACAACCAGTGAAGGGTTTCTGACCTCCTCGCACATCTGATAGGGTCAGTTACGATCCTGAACGGGGACGATAGACTTACGTGAAAAGAGCAGTCAACGCCAGTAAAGGAAAAGACGCAACCCAACAATCCAACCCACCAAGAAAGACCCTGCGAAGGCCACATTCCACCATTTCTCCACTCGGTGAAGACTTCCGTGCCATTGTCGTTATCTCGAAATACAAGAAGAGTAATAAGAATCGCAAAGAACCCAATAAGATGCAGAATCAATATCATGCCCTCCAGGATAGGAAGCAAAGCGCTGACAACAGTGTTGATGATAATAGCCACTAGGATACAAGCCCAGATCAGCAATGTGCCGTGCCAAGTCTGCGCTTCATAGTCCGGCCTCGTGAAAATGACAAGACCCTGTATCATCGTCGCGGTCAGGAATCCCGCTGCAGCAGAAGTTCCCTGCCATCCAGCAAAGTTCATCCATCCAGTGATGTAGCTAAGGTATTTCGAGTATCGAGGCGGTGCTAGCATGGCGACCCAATGGTATTGACCGGCTGCCATGGGAGCGATGGATACGAGTTCGCAGAGGGTCGCGAAGGACGAAAGGACACCGATCCAGACAAAGATGAAGCCGTATATTATACCGGCGCTGCCACCGTTTGTCAAGCCGGGAGCAAAGTTCATTAGGGTTCCTTCCCAGGTAACGAGGACGGCGCAACTAAATCCGAGGATGGTCCAGCCTCCAAAGTTTCTCTGGGATGTGTTAGTAGTGAAGATTGAGTCGCGATGTTGGAGCTTACCTTGAGAACTGACTTCTTTCCTAGCTTGTTCAATTGTGCACTGTCCATATGGTCTTGGTCGCTATGCTGCGAGACATCCTCGACCGTAGGCCTGGCATGCTTTCCAGTAGCCATCTCGTCAAGTTCGTATCGATTCGCCCTATTGAAGGGACCGTAACAACGAGAGAGTTGAACAAAACAAATTGAGGGGAAAAGAAGGACTCTGTGATTGAGAAAAGAGAGTTCGTACGACTGTTAAAAAGTTAAATAACCCATGCTCGCTCACATGTTGTTGATCCCTGCCTCATTGTGTTGCATGCAGTCCAACCAACAGCCGAGAAGAGAGACACAATCTTACAATGCATGAGACGACGTGCAGACACTGAAACTGCTCACTGCTGATCATATCCTTGTCCAAGCCAAGTCCTCGTTTAAACAGATGGCACATTCAATTAACCTAACGGCCCGCAGCGGGTGATACTTCTAAAAACATACATACAATGCGCATATCGGAAATAACTTTAATTCCTTGCACCAACAGAAGGAGGATCGACAAGGGCCTCCTGGCTAGTCTGCAGTGCCACAGACGCATTCCACGTACGACCATACTTTCCAGTCCCCTGTAGCTCAAATGCCTGGTGGTGAGATGTTCCTCCGCTTCTTGTGTTGTTGCTTCTGCTTAGTGCCCCAAAAATATCCCCTGCGCCCATTTGTCCAGACTCGAGGCTTTTTAGAAATCTCCACCAAAAAGGAATGCAGGTTGTTGTTATGCCGACACATTGAATGACCTGGTTAATAATTGTCGGCCTCCACATGTCGAAAATGGGAGTTTGTGAGGAGATTGCGCGTTGGTAGTACATGATGTGACAAATAGCTGGCGGGATTGTTCTGGTTTGTTAGTTATTGTGTTGGAGGAGTTTGATTGGACTTACAATATGCGACAGCCAAAGACGCCAATTACCATGGCTTTCGTGCCCAATGGCATTTGGAGATGGACCAGTATTCCGAGGGTGACGGTGGTAATGATGAAGTCTGTCGCCATATTGACGGCATCGGCATAGATCCAAAATGCGACCTGACAAAATTAGAAGAGTTGACCGATGATGAATGGCACATACCATATCGATGCATTGTCCGTTGAGGTAGTCCCAAGGATTGGACACAGGGCAAGAAAATACTCGTACAAAAATTGCAGATACAGTCCAACCTCCGACCAGTATTTGAATGGGTAGAAGTCTTCTGTGCGACAGAGGCGACATGTTCCAAATCGTCGTCGTCGCCGAAAGCTTGGATAGACCCAATGCCAGGAATAAAAGAATATCGGATGCAAGTTGGCTCTGTGCATGTTAGATTTGACTGTACAACCTCAGACTACCATACCTTCAAAATTGAAGAGACTTGTGACACTGATACATCAAACCTGCCAAGCCCATTCAAGCCTTGGACATAAACGGTGGTTGATTGAGCAATGCAAACAACCTACCAAAGTCAGCGAACCGTGCATCGTGCAACACAACAGACTGACCATTGACGTAAGTATCATTATCTCATCCGAAGTAAAGAAGCTTGACTTTTTCACAGCAGACAGCCGAGTAAGGATGCGAATAAACACCGAAAATACCGTAACGACCATCAGAATCATCGATACCGCCCTTATAACAGGCGATTTGTTATAAGGCGTCTCATGCTCGCGCGCAAAGAGCATCTTGACGTTGCTACCAAGATATTGAACAAACGACGTCAGCTATGGAATGGGAGGGTCTGCATTGATATGGCTCTTTAGCTGCAAGGCACGGATTCGACCATGGCCCCGGTACATGTCACACTACAGAGCAAACTTTCGGGAATATCGCCATTCACTTTGAGCATGAATGATTGGAGGTTACAGGTCAAATTGCAAGGCGTACAACACGCAACTTGTGCGGCTGGGTGTTGGCTACAGGACATGACAAAACATGTAATACTAGCTGTTGGTTGTACGCAGTCAATGCCGTCCTCCTAAAGGATCTTATCCTCGCCCAACGTAGGAACACTACCAACGTCTTTGGAGACATCATCTGCAGACAATGGCCCCTTTGTTATGACCTTTTGCTACGGAACTTTCCATGTTTGAGCCAAGATGGGTAAATCCTCCTTGCGGGCCGGGATCAACGCCCGTCGGGCCTATTTTGCAGATCAGGGTTTGAACCAATCAAGTTTCGATGGTCCTTGTCTCGGCTAGCAGGCGAAGACATCCGATTCTCGCGTACAGTGTTGAGGAATTTCGTTCTCTCGGGATATCTTGGTCAATTTGCTTCTTGTAAAGGGACTTGTACCTGGTTCCTCACCTACTTCTCATGCGTTGGTTAGAGGCAGAGTTTAGATTTTCCCCCTTTTGCTTTGCATGACCAAAGACTAATTCTGTCAAATAAAGTTCCTTCCAAAGTTCCGTGTTCCAGAATTATTAATTTCTTAGTCACATAGTTCCGCGGCAAAGGTGCACACACCTGACGTTTCCCACTGCCGAAAGCTTATTTAATTGAGGTAAAGCCAAATCCCATACGTGGCGTGCTTGTGTCGAAAACCGTTAGGTTTCAGGGTATCCAAGCCACGATAAACACATGTCGGTTGACAAACGAGAAGAGAAAACTCAAACCAGGTCAAGGGTTGTCACAGCGTTACATTTTGAGTACGAGCCGGTCCAATAAAGCCCAGTCGACAGGGTTTCGGTGTGCACAACCAACAACTGCAACGTTGGAAAAGTCAGATCATTGTTTCTAGCACCGAAAAGGAAGGAGTGGCCGCTGCTGCATCGCGTGCAGCTCATTGCTTGAATTCTTCTCGACTAGACAACGGAGCGCGGAGACAAAAAGCCGGAAACCGGAAGCTGGGCCCAGAGCCTCGATGGACAAAGTGGACTTCGTAACTGAGATCAAGAATTCTATAGGGTACATAATAATTGAAATAAGCACAGTAGTTGGTACCTCAATATATGAAAGCTCCATTCTCTCAACTACTTTACTCTAGGAAGCGCGTGGTTCGAATGTCTACTCATATCCTTCGAAGACGACTTACCAGGAATGTTTACAGGTTTCGCCGTTGTCTATCGATATTTGTTGGCGTCGGTTCGCCCTCGAACCAAGGTGAAGCCTCATGCTCTCTTCACCAAAATCACCGCAACAGCCAGCCTATCTGCCATAACCGACCAGTCCAGTGAACCACCATTTTCCTCAGCTGCATCACGTACTTTCTGCAAGAGAATCTTCACAATGTCACTCTCGGTCCCAACCAGCTCGGGATTCGCTTCTTGCCATCGATTGACAGCTCCGAAACTGTGAACAAGCTTTTCAAACATCATCAGCTGCTTGTCTAGCGGGAAACCCCCAGCTTCAGTGAACCGCGTGTAGGTTTTGGGAAGATATCCATCATTCCCCTTGAGCTCGTGGCGCGCAGACGATTTCTTGTCGTACAATGAAGCGGTGTCTGGGTCATCCCATGGCATAGGCAGATTGATGTATCCGTCGTGCGTGAGCTTTGTACCCTCTGCGGTGTACGGTGCAAGCACGTTCTCTGAGAAGTCGTCATATATGGCTGAGAGTTTGTCCTCGGACGCGTCTGTTAATGTTAATAAGACTGCTAACTTAATCTAGGCATACGTACTGGAGTTTCTGAAAGCTGTCCATATACCAACAGTTCCTCCTGGCTTGAGTAACTTGGCAGCCGCTTTCCAGAACTCGGGCATTTCAAACCAGTGAGCCTGGATGGACGTTAGCGATGGACTATACTCAAGCTCACAGATACTTACCGCAGTAGCGGCTGTGATAAGATCAACTGAAGAGTGTTCAAGGCCATCAATCTTGTCAATATCCTCAGCGCCAATCACCTCATACACAATCGGGCTACCATTCTTAGTTGTCCCACTGAGCTCCTTGGCTGTCTGGATCATACTCTCTCCCGGATCAGCTCCATAAACGACATCAAAGTGCGGCGCCAGCAATCGCGTCGCAGGACCCGGTCCACAGCCTACATCCACCACAGTTCCGTTGCTACCACCAGTAGAGTTGTGCTCTTTCATCACAAAGTCAATTAGCTTTTCAGAGTACCCAATGCGACCTTCCGCATAATTGGTAGCCTGTTGGGCGGTGAAATTTCGAAAGATAGCATCTTTCGGCTGATTTTCTGGGTGTGATGCCTGCGTCATTGCGGAGGTCTTGAATTCCGAGAAAGTCGTCGAGATTATCAGCTCACTTGCATGAATCTTGTTGCGTCTGACCGCAGCTTTATATCTCGATGATAAGGATTTCGGGAGACATAGTAAATACCGGTCCGATGATGACGTGACGACAGTTGTACGGACCGCCGGACTAAAACGGTCCTGAGTAAGACAAAGATTCTTGGCATGATAAGACGGGCAGATATGCAGACATATAATACAGTCGTGTATATTCAGTCATATATCTCAAGTGCAAATATTTTTATCAACTTTTCTGATGGTCATCAGTCATGTTGTTATATGAAATATCCAGGCATCCTCGAATCTGGGAAATCCGCATTCTTCTTTACATATACCAGCTGGAAATTGACCTCATACCTTTTTATAGGTTTGCAGTTAACTGGAAGAATAGTCAAAACACTTGCAAACACGCTGTCAGATAAATTCGAGTCCTGATGATTATATAGAGTTTGAACTCAATAGAGTCTGGGTTTCTGGGCAGGTTTAGAGGGTCTCTATATTTGTGGATAGTTCTTCTTCTCTATTTCTGTATCGTTAAGCTGTATTCTTATATAATACCATATATGCGCTCAGGATAAAGCTAACTATGAATATCTATAACTTTATGACCTTGGCGGAGCTGTAAACCGGAGCTCTTTATTAGTTACTGCTTACCTATCTTATCCTAAAGATACATATTTGGTAATTCGACGATACGCAAAAATATCACCCTAATGACAAGATGCTAGGCTTCTTTTTCTTATTTGTTTCTCTTTTTATTTCGGATATATTCCTCAGCAGTTTACAACACATGTCAAACCCCTTTACCCCTGTTAATCCGCGGAATCCCCACGGGCCAACAAGGTTTCGTCCACGTTTCAGGCAAGGCCGCAAAATTCAGACAAACTACTGGCCACGACAAACAGTCCAAACTCGATTGAGATTTAATGGAGATTTTGCCTCGGCAACTGTGGATTAATACTCCAAAAGTAGCATTATGTCCACGACGCAATCTTCAGTCTGTGGGGCATCACGCCACGGGTATCCGGGTTGCGGATATCCGGGTATCCTACAAAACTACCGGTCTGCGCTTTTTTTCCCAACACTCATAGAGGTGATTCGTCCAATTGCCGTATTTATTGTAACTCGCACTAAACAGTAACCCGAGAACCCGAAGATCGGAACTTCGTGGCTCACACGCCGATAGAGACGACATATATATCTAGGTGAGCTTCAAAGTGAATACAGCTGCAATCAGTCGATTGACCAATATCGTACCCAGGCATCAACAAAATTCGTCAAAATGGAAAAGCAACAGCGTACAGTTATCATTGCCGGAGGCGGTATATCTGGCCTCTCTCTGGCTAATATGCTGGAAAAGGCTGGTGTGAATTATATCTTGCTGGAATCCTACGACAAAATTGCACCTCAGGTAGGCGCAAGTATTGGTTTACAACCCAATGGACTTCGAATTCTTGATCAATTGGGTTGCGCAGACGAACTGATATCGCTTGTTGACATTCCACTCGACAATTCATATATCAGAAATCATGATGGTTCTGTTATCAGGCATCATGGCGATATTCAAAGGCGCTTATTAGAGGGGTAGGTAGAACTGACAGTTACCAAGACCTCATATGCTGACTTCAATAGACATGGATATCCAACTATCTTCGTTGATAGACAGTCGCTCTTGGAAAGTTTATATAACAACATTCAGTCAAAAGATACGATTTATCCTGGTCAAGCTGTCAAGTCCGTTATGGAAACAGAGGACGGCGTCCAAGTCCTTACAGATAAGGGCAAGGTTTTCAAAGGAGATATCCTCGTCGGAGCAGACGGCATCTACAGTACTGTCCGAGAAGAAATGTGGCGCATCGGCAACAAAGAGTCTCCAGGATACTTTCCCACCGACGAATGGTCAACCGTACCTTGCTATTATAAGTGCATCTTCGGCCTTACAACCTCGGTGCCGAAGTTGACCAAAGGAACTCACTACATTTACAACGACAAGTTCTCTTATCTGGTAATGGTTGGTCCAGGAGGAAAGTTTTACTTTTTCCTCTTTGTCAGACTGCCTGTTCCTTTGTACGGAAAGGATATCCCGAGATATACGAAGGAAGACGAGAAGAAACTTGCTGAAGAGCATGCTGCTGATCAAATCACGCCTGAGGTCACGTTTGGCGATCTTTATGAAGCTAGAACTAACTCTACCCTAACGCCACTTCATGAGTGGGTGTTTCAAAAGTGGCATTACAACCGCATCATTACAATTGGTGACGCGGCTCATAAGGTAAGATACTCCAATCCCTCTAACATCAGACGCTGACGATCTACCCAGTTCGAACCTTTAACAGGTCACGGTGGCAACTGTGCTATCGAATCTGCTGCTTCAGTTGTGAACCATCTCCTCTCAGACGAATGTTCCGACTGGACCACTTCCCAAATCCAAGCTGCCTTCAGTGCTGTCCAGGCAGAGCGCCACGATAGAGTACAATGGCTTGTCGACGACGCACATAAAACGCAGGAAATGCAAGCCAAGGCTACACCTATTCTATCAGTTCTCGGTCCCATCTTGGGTCGACTAATTAATACCGAAGTCGCTCTTCGACTCGGTGGTAGGAAGCTTGTCGATGCTACTCGTGTCAACAGTCTTCCTATTCCACACCACGACCACAAGGTTCCATTTACCGACGAGTTACCTGCGAAGCCTCTATCGAGCTGGATTCCCATCGGATTCGGTATTTTGAGCCAGGGAGCTTTGTTTCGTCTTGCGAACCAGATTCTTCTTCCTTTTGAGCTGCCAACTACTTTCGCAGGCGAGCCTCTTGTAAGACACTACACAGGCCACAAGACTGTGGACAAAATATTGTCTGTCTTGGTGGCTGTATTTGGAGTTCCTCTGGCATCGCAAAACAAAGCGGTGACGCTGCAATTTCTTGCCTTTACGCCCGTGCTTTTCTCAACAGTTCTTGACTGGACTCTTGAGAGCTACCGAGGTGGTTCAAAGGGCCTTCTGTCATCGTTGTAAGTAATCTAATCAGAACCAACGCAAGTACTTTGCTATATTAACACTTATTTAGCCCCTCCGTGTTTGGCATCGGTTATCAACTCAAGGGCATCGGAAGAATTGCGCCTCTGTACCATTTGATCTCAACATGCGAGACCATCATTGGGGGCACTATTATGACTGTTGCGGGCCGCTCAATCGATAAGGCAGCTATCATGTCAGCTGTTACTGGCATTGGCCTTGGATATATTCTACCTACTGCGCTAATGAGCTGGCCTTTTAACAACAAGGCTACTTGGCAGCAATTTGCAGCCCTGTGGCAGCCTTTCCCAGTCTGGGTCGGCTTAATAACTGCCGGTACTACAGCCATACTGCGCAAGAGAGAGGCTCCTGTCCAAATTGACTCAAAGAAGCCGGCAGCGGAACAAAAGCGAGAGATGCGCTCGTTGCTGAGAAAGGTCTACATAGCCGGAGCAGCAGGTGCAGCACTCATCCATTTCTGGTCTCTCTACCGCATCGTCACCAGTCGAGACCTCAGCATTTCTAGCGTCTTTGGGACCTTCAAGTCTCTCCTTTATGGTGGGTACAGTTCTGGGACAGAGAACAAGATCTTCAATTTCTTACAGCGTGATATGTTCCTGAACGTTGCGTCTGTTTTGGCTCACAGTCTGTACCGAACGCTGGATCTGAGATGCAAGGGATACATCACGAACAAGGAGGCTGTGACAGCTTCTCTTGCCACTATGGTTGCGCAGCCGATTGTCGGACCTGCTGCGGCGCATATCGGCTTCCTTGGTTGGAGAGAGGAAATGTTTGCCCGAGTTCATAAGCGAATCGAGCACTAGAGCCTGTTCAAGGATTGCTTTCAATCTTTACCCTTGCCTTCTTCTCTTTTCTTTTTTTTTTTTTTT